AACAAAACAGTCATAAATTAAATCAGGAAAAATAAATAAATAAAAATGGCAATGTGCGTAAAGATCAAGATATGTTGAATGAAATAGAAAAGCTATAGGCTATAACCTAATAGGTTCATTGGGCATATCATAGCCTTTCATGTGTGTTTGTTGTACCGCATTCATAAACAGATGCTTTTTCTAAACTGTATTTATAAGAACATTGTCCCCTAAAGACTGATTAATACTATAAGATCAGAGAGGGATTGAACCCTTGGAGCAGGATCATGTAATACCGTGTCATTGTGTAACACTGTCGTGCATCCCCATCATCCTGCCTCGAGAGACTGGTGTTTTAAAAAAAATAATCTGACCCGGGGACCAACCGGGATGGGGGAGATTACGGTATAACCGTGTCCACATTAATTAACATGCGATTAGTTTGTCAGGTGCGTTGAGAAGATGCAGCCGTCTCGGAAATGTCGCCGCGGTTAAATGGACGCTGCCGCCACGCATGTGATACAGGTTTTCATGCAAGCCTCATTAAAAACGGAGGGTATATTATAGATGTCTGTCATCTATAGCCCATACATTTTCTGAGCCAGGGTGCATCCATCCACCAGCACTGTATAAAAAAAAATTCTGGGGTGAATTGAAATTGACTCAAAAACCAACCAATATATAGGCCTACTTAATAAAAATGAAATCAGGTAATTTCAATAATTTGTTCATTTCATTTTACCCAAAAATATATATACAGTGCATTCGGAAAGTATTCAGACCCCTTGACTTCCACATTTTGTTATGTTACAGCCTTACTCTAAAATGTATTAAATTGTTTTTTTCCCTTATCAATCTACACACAATACACCATCATGATAAAGCAAAAACAGGTCTTTAGAAATTTTTGCAAATTTATTAAAAGTAAGAAACTGAAATATTAACATTTACATAAATATTCAGACCCTTTACTCAGTACTTTGTTGAAGCACCTTTGGCAGCGATTACAGCCTTGAGTCTTCTTGGGTATGACACTACAAGCTTGGCACAGCTGTATTTGGGGAGTTTCTTCCATTATTCTCTGCAGATCATCTCAAGCTCTGTCAGGTTGGATGGGGAGCGTCGCTGCACAGCTATTCTCAGATCTCCATAGATGTTAGATCGGGTTCAAGTCCAGGCTCTGGCTGGGCCACTCAAGGACATCCAGAGACTTGTCCCGAAGCCACTCCTGCGTTGTCTTGGCTGTGTGCTTAGGGTCATTGTCCTGTTGGAAGGTGAACCTTCGCCCCAGTCTGAGGTCCTGAGTGCTCTGGAGCGGGTTTTCATCAAGGATCTCTCTGTACTTTGCTCCGTTCATCTTTCCCTCGATCCTTACTAGTCTCCCAGTCCCCCCCTCTGAAAGGGATCTGTAGGGATGGGGCCAGGTTTCCTCCAGACGTGACGATTGGCATTCAGGCCAAAGGGTTCAATCTTGGTTTCATCAGACCAGAGAATCTTGTTTCTCAAGTCCTTTAGGTGACTTTTTGCAAACTCCAAGCGGGCTGTCATGTGCCTCTTACTGAGGAGTGACTTCCGTCTGGCCACTCTACCATAAAGACCTGATTAGTGGAGTAATGCAGAGATGGTTGTCCTTCTGGAAGATTCACCCATCTCCACAGAGGAACTCTGGAGCTCTGTCAGAGTGACCATCAGGTTCTTGGTCACCTCTCTGACCAAGGCCCTTCTCCCCCAAGTGCTCAGTTCGCCCGGGCGGCCAGCTCTAGGAAGAGTCTTGGTGGTTCCAAACTTCTTCCATTTAAGAAAGATGGAGGCCACCGTGTTCTTGGGGACCTTCAATGCTGCAGACATGTTTTGGTACCCTTCCCCAGATCTGTGCATCGACACAATCCTGTCTCTGAGCTCTACGGACAATTCCTTCGACCTCATGGCTTGGTTTTTGCTCTGATATGCACTGTCAACTGTGGGACCTTATATAGACAGGTGTTTGGCTTTCCAAATCATGTCCAATCAATTGAATTTATCACAGGTGGACTCCAATCAAGTTGTAGAAACATCTCAAGGATGATCAATGGAAACAGAATGCACCTGAGCTCAATTTCGAGTCTCATAGCAATGGGTCTGAATACTTATGTAAATAAGGTATTTCTGTTTTTTATTTGTAATAAAATTGCAAAAAAATTATAACCTGTTTTCACTTTGTCATTATGGGGTATTGTGTGTAGATTGATGAGGGGGGGAAAATGTTTCATCCATTTTAGAATAAGGCTGTAAAATAACAAAATGTGAAAAAAGGGAAGGGGTCTGAATACATTCCGAATGCAATGTATATTTTATGAGGATAACCAAAAAGATAGAAAATTGTGTAATTTAATTTACTAAATGTTAATACATTTTGTAATTTTTTTATAATAATAATAATAATATTTCTCTCAACTTAACAATTTTATTTTCTTGCAAAAACTTGCCCGTTTTTAGAGGATTGTGGGTAATACATTATTTTTTACACAATGTTGTATGCATTTTTGAAGAAAGACAAGTAGGCTATAATAGTATTGAGCAGCTTGTTGTGGCATGAGGCGTAATGGATTATGATGAACGGATATCAAAACCGTTTTCAAATTGATGTTCAAAGGCGAGATCACCCATTCCCACCATCACCATTCTTAATGACAGAGGCAAATTCAGCATCATGCAATGCTTGCAGTTCTACCTCCAAGTACTGCTGATGGTTGAATAACTTGTTCACATGCTAGTCAAAGCGTTCAACCAGTTAGCAAGTCAGAAATGTCAGACTTCCGACTAGCACGTGAACGCGGCATGAGCACTGTGTTCAACAATGCATGTCAAAGTGGGTTAAAATGGCAAATGATCGAATACATTAAACTATTTTAAACATGAAGTATTTTTGAAACACTCATATGTTGGGTTTACTAAATATTTTTGTGACATCAACTCATACTTAATCATATTATCAGTAAATCCAACACATTTTTATGGCTATTATTAATTCCCTGGACTTACTTTATTTGTGTGAATCCAAACAATTTATTCAAGTTTTTTTACTCAAAAACATAGGAAGTTACATCTACTACTAATATTAAGTGTCTTCTTGTTGCCTTAATTTTTTAAAAGCAGATTCAATACTTAATAATAAAAAAATATCTGAAAACAATTGTAGCATAAATTCCGTTCGGGTTAGGCCTATCTAAAAGAAAAGAGAAACCTGCACACTGCTCTTGCTAGTATCACTGTTTTCTTTATTGACGTTAAGCTTGAAGTTGGGCATATCTGAAATATGCACAATTTACCCAAGACCTAAAATAATCTATTGACAAACTTTCTGTAGGGTGAATTCGGAATAAGTGGGACACGTTTTGCATTTCCGTCTTCTGTAAACTCTTTCGTCATCTGTCCAACATATTAGCCCAACACATGATACATTTCTGAAATCCTTAAGATGTTTCCTAATCACACACAAAAAAACAAATGTTGATATCATATTTACAGGAGGCATGACACACCCATTTGTGTACACTGACTCAAAACCATATTTTCATTTTGCATTTGGTGTCCTGGGACAGCAGGTTAGATAAACCGGGACACCATTATTATAGTCCTAATTGTACCCCAATGACACTTTTATTCAATTTTGTGTGATTAGGAAACATCTGAGGATTTCAGAAATGTATCATGTGTTGGGTTAATATGTTGGATAGATGACGAAAGAGTTTACAGAAGACAGAAATGCAAAACGTGTCCCACTGAATTCACTCAAATAACAGTCTAATAACAGAAAGAAAAAATGAACAGGATATAGTACAAGAACCAGAGCCCAGCCTAAACTACTGTAAGTACACGGGGTCCCTAATGTAAACTGGATCTCTTTCCTCCATTGGAAAAGCCTATAAGACTGTCCCACTTTAGCTATTTGATTGGTAACTTGGGGCAACGTTTTCTTTTTACTGAATTACAAAATTGAAACTGTTTTTATGTATTTTGATGCACCAGTACATAGTATTTACATTTACATCACAATTTGACACAGTGCATTATTTATGACAGTTTTATAACCTTAACATCAGAACAGAAAAAATGATGTCACAGATCTTACTGTGTCCTTCACCTGATTCCTATCCTGATTCAAACGATTTTAAGCATTACAATTATATGACACATTTACTATTCCAATTTAAAGTAGGAAATTGGTCATAGAAAAGTTATTGATTATTCATCACTTCATTATATTTGGGTGATTTAACTCTTTCCAGGAAAACCAGGCCTAATGGGTCAATTGTTGATTACCCAAATGTTCCTGCGCTCTTCTCTTCTCTTCCCCTCTTCCTCCCTCCTGGTCCCCTGGCCTGAAATGGATTTCGCTCGGCCTGCAGGTTATGCAGATCAGACCAATTAAATATCCTTGTTGTTAGCTTCCCAATCATCCTGACAGTCAATGTATCCCTCAACTAAGCCAAACAATCTGATCAGGTTGTCACCTCTATACACACTACCCCCCCCCCCCCCCCCCCCAAGTGGCTAATGACCTGCGAGGCGCATAATCCCTTTCAAAACAACTACACGATGCTAATTGCATCCAGCTATAAATACAGGTTGACTCCTGGCGTTCCTTCTTTATCCTCCTACAACGGCCTGAACTCCTGGAAGCGCATGACCCCGCCACGAATCTTGTCACATACAGTATAGCTCGCCAATACCGGGAAAAGAGAGGAGAAACAACTTACATAAAGAACTCGCTACCAATCAGATTTTGTTTGGGGGCTTTTCCCACTGCAAAACTAGGTCTATATTTGATTCAATTGAACTGTCACATCACTCTGTAGGCGCACTGTGACCGTAGTGCGTAAAAATACACTTCATGCGCGTTTTGCTTAATCACCGGCTCCAGTCTCTTTATTTGAACGCGCACCAGGTAGCTGAAATGATATGACCATTGGCCATGTTCATTTAGCAAATTTAGACTATTTTGTTTGTTAACAGTCTGAGAAGTCTGAGAAGAACAAAATATGTTCCCTCTGCCTATGTTCACCCCGGAGCAAGTGGCTCGGGTGTGCGAGAACCTCGAGGAGACCGGCGACATTGAGCGCCTTGGGCGGTTCTTATGGTCTCTGCCTGCCGCTGTCCCTGGCACCGCCGGGGAGGCACTCAACCGCCACGAGTCAGTGATGCGCGCCAGGGCGCTCGTTGCCTTCCACGGAGGAAACTTCGAGGCGCTTTACCAGATCCTCCAGAGCCACCGCTTTACGCGCGAGTCTCACGCCAAGCTCCAAGATCTGTGGCTGGACGCGCATTACCGCGAGGCGGAGCGGCTCCGGGGCCGTGCCCTGGGACCCGTGGAGAAGTACCGCATCCGCAAGAAGTTCCCCCTGCCTCGCACGATCTGGGATGGCGAGCAGAAGACGCACTGCTTTAAGGTGAGACACCAAGCTGTAAGTAATATTCTTTCGTACCAATAGTAGTTAGGCATCTTCGTTATTGATAGGCTACATTTTACGCACTAATTACGCACTTTACCTTCCATAACTATGATGACGCACCTTTCCAAGACCCATTTGACGCACCACCTGGCTATATATTACAGAATAACTTATATCTGTAGCTACTTATATTGAACTCATATCTGTAACCATGAATTTAAATATTTGGATATACTGGGCTGACTCACTGCATGCTAATTTGTAAAATATGTTTTACATTCTTACACTGAAACATTTGAAATGATTTCTGAAGGTCCCATTATGTTACCTTTGCATATCAAGTCCTAATGACATGGATGTCACACCCTGGCTCTGGGACTCATTATGTTGAGCCAGGGTGTGTTCATTCTATGTGTTTATTTCTATGTTGGTAGTTCTGTTGTGTTTATTTCTAGGTTGGTCTGATTGGGAGCCATATTTAACTGTCTGTTTTTCACTTTGGGTTTGTGGGTTTTTGTTCCGTGTTCGGTCATCTTCACCGTGGACTTCACGAGTCGTGTTTTGTTTTGTTTAGAAACTTTAACTAATTAAAGTCATGTTTGTTTCTCACGCTGCGCCTTGGTCTACTCATTACTACGACGATCGTGACAATAGACCAGGGATATCACATTTTCTCCAGCCCTGATTGGGCTTAACGCAGACTATAAAGTCTGCAAGGTTAGAAATAGTAAATCACTTAATCTCGTTAACCCAGAACAAAAATCTCGCGTAATTTGGTCAGCTGTTATCTTTAGGTAGTCTGTTTACGAGAGATTATACATCACGTAGGCTAATTCTATATAGAAACGAATTTGTGAAATTAAGTTTCCCACAAAGATCCTATTAAATTGTGTTCTAATATGTAATTCTATGGCGCTTTCACCATTCACTGCTTTGAGTTTGATGGCAAACACACGTTTTTCACAAGTGTTAAGACAGACCTTGTCTGTTAGTGATATGTCCGCACATTACTGAGTGACACACTGTAAAAAGTAACTGCCTAACTCATTAAATAAATTGAGTAGTGCTACTCAAACATCTCCAACAGGTCAGTAGAACTCAAATCATAAAAGTGGCACTAACTCATATGTCAATAAGATCTCTTATCACTTGATGTTTTTGAGTACTGTTAACAAATATTAGGTTATTGAGTAAATATAACTTTATTTATTTGTGCTCTGCTAATCTAAAGTTATTTAGTTTTTACAAGTTATGATTATTTCATATTTTAAATTCAATCTAACATTTATTAAATAAGTTGTTCTTACTTGATTCTATTATATTTTATGTCTTTACTTAAAATAATAACGTAGTAGCCAGACATTGATATTTGAGTAAAAAACACTTCATTTATCTGTGTTGTGCTGATATAGAATTATTATGTTTTTGCAAGTTATGAATACTTAATAGTGCCACATGACTCTGTTTTTAGAGGATTGTGGGTAATTGAAATATTTTGGACTTTTACACAATGTTGTATGCATGTTTGAAGAAAGAAAAGTATATATTTTTTCTAAAATAGTATTACGCATTTTGTTGTGCCACGAGGTGTAATTGATCATGATGAACGGATATCAAAACAGTCAGGCAAATTGATGTTCGATAATGAGAGAAGCCATTTCCATCATCAACAAGGTCATGTGCACCACTTTGAATGACAGAGGCTAATGCAGCATCCTGTAATGCTGACAGCTCTTCCTCCAGTTACTGCTAGAGGAATGAGCACTGTGATCAACAATGCTGCTAATGCGGGTTAAAATGACAAAATCATCACATACATAAAACAATATTAAACATTAAGACACAACCACTGGAAATTACTAATCAGAACTAATTACACTTGAAAAAAAATAGTAAGGAAGGTTAATATTTTAAGTAGAAGGGACCCTATATTTTTATGTTCAGAACAAAAAATATTCACGTTCAAGTAACTTCAATTGTTATAATTCAGAATACATAATGCAATTTAGTGTCAAAAAGTTCATAAAACACCGAAGTATTTACAACTTTAAAAAATAACGATATGGGTGGTAATATCACTTTATTACTTTAAGTATTGAACACTGCAATACTTTGAGTTGGATTACTTGAATGGTTCTAGGCAACGGGTTTCCACCCCAAAATTGAGTTAGCAGAACTAATGACTTTTTACAGTGTTGGTTAGCAAAAAATGACTGTCTATACAATCTCATTGCTCAACCATCTCTGGCTCTGCCACTGATCAATATGCATCAGCGTCTTTGTGTGGAATCACAAAACGAATGTGACTTTCATCAACCGGTATGACTCTTAGGCTACAACTCAAAAGACTGAATAGGCTACACAATAAATATGTATTTCGTTTAAAAGTATTCTCAAACTTTTTATTTGGATCTAAATCTCAACATGTAAAGGACATAGGTGAGAAGACATGCCTCTGCTCTTCAACCTTAGCCTGGGTACCAGTCTGTTTGTGCTAACAATCCACTTCTCATATGACACAGAGTACAAGGAGTGGAATGTTAGCACAAAACAGGTCTGGATTTCAGGCTACTTCAACCTGCAGGCAGTAATCCTGGGGTTAAAGAGCACCATACGAGCCTGTTAAACGGGGACTTTGCTGCCATAGGCTAGGGCTATAGTTCATGGGCTGTATCCCAAATGGCACCCTATTCCCTATATAGTGCACTGCTTTTTACCCAAACTCTATGGACCCTGGTCAATAGGGTTCCATTTGGGACACAGGCATGGAGAGAGTCAGTCTGCTTAAGCCTTGTGTGTCAGAGACCACCTGCGGCAGTATAAGCTGAGATACATTTTACTCTGGGGTTTCCATCCCACACAGCAGTGAGCAATCACCTAGGCTATGTCCCAAAATGGCACCCTATTCCTTATATAGTGCACTACTTTTGGCCAGCGCCCATAGGGAAAATCCCAGGTAATGATAGGGGAGAAGACAGTACTTCAACCAACTAAACCCAATTAAATGCATATGAAAGCACTTGCATCAGGGCAGGGAATAGGTATTTCAGAACATACAGTATAGCTTCATACAGCATAAAGATTAATGACCGACTGAGTAGCCCTAGACTTAACCCTGGACAGATACACACTTTAAGCATGTCACATTTCCACAGACGGTCCATGGATGTAAAACAACATAAGCCTGTATGTCACTCTCTGGCCCAGATTGTTGTCTATAAGATTGAAGGGCTAGTGCCTGAGCATTAGGTGAAAGGGCAGAGGCTGAGCACTGACTGTTGCTATAGATAACATATAGGTCAGGGGAGCTTAGTGGATATCCCCACTCCCCAGGTTACATCAGTACTAAGCTTTTCATCCTGAGCCAATATACAGTATAACATATTTATGTTGATAATGTGGATTATAATTATTATCCCTTAAATCCTATAATTCCATCCAATTATATGATTATTTGGTTGTAATGTCTTAGGTCTCTAGGAGATATTCTCTAACTGATATCCATGGAGTAGCCCAGTAAAGATATTACACCAACATACTGTATATGTCATATCCCATTGTGAAAGATAAAAATTAGTTATTAGGAACACTGTTGGTTACATGAAGCAGGGAACTGATAAGAGTGTCTGCTAAATGATGTAAATGTAAATGTAAATATAGTTATTAGGAACACTGTTGGTTACGTGAAGCAGGGAACTGATATATATAGTTATTAGGAACACTGTTGGTTACGTGAAGCAGGGAACTGATTGATATAGTTATTAGGAACACTGTTGGTTACATGAAGCAGGGAAGTGACCATTATTGTACGCTTTATGTCTCACAGGAGAGAACTCGCAGCCTGCTCAGAGAGTGGTACCTCCAGGACCCCTACCCAAACCCGTCCAGGAAACGGCACCTGGCCCAGGCCACGGGACTCACGCCCACACAGGTCGGCAACTGGTTCAAGAACCGACGCCAGAGAGACAGGGCCGCATCAGCAAAGAACATGTACGTTAAGACAAGACAGGAAGGCTACTCAGCCGAAACCTTTGAATTTGCCAAACGTATGATATGTTACAAATTCCAATTTGTTGTGGCTAACATTAGCTAGGTGGTTAAGGTTAGGGTTAGGAGTTAGGTTAAAGGGTTAACATTAGGGTTAGGGGAAGGGTTAGTTACATGCTAAGTAGTTGCAAAGTAGCTAAAAAGTAGTAAGTCGTTGAATAGTTGTTAATTACTAAAATGCTAAAGTTATCCGTGATGATATTGGAACACGCAACTTTTGGGTTGCTAGATGTTCGCGTTATACGCTAGACCAACCACCCTACTTTTGTTTTTGCCTTAAGTAACCTTCTGTCTTATGTAACCATACCAAACGTAACATAACATATTATTCTTAGTGTCCTGGATTTATGTTTACTATGTTACGTCTAGCCTATGAGACCAGGCTGAATGCTCTCATTGAGAGAGAGTACCAGGTAGGTACCACTTAAACCAACCATGTATCTCTAAAAACTAAAACAAACTCCTCTCTCTTTCTTCTCTCTTCTCTCAGACTGCAGCAGGACCCCACCCACCTGCCTTCTGGAAGCTCCCCTGAGGGTTCTGTCCAGGAGCATCAGGCCCACCACCCCCGTCTGCTGGCCGCCTCCCCCCGTCACCCGGGCAGCCCAGAGGCCAGTGACTGCAGCATGAGCACCGACCACCGGGGCACTGGCACCTCCACCCCAGACAACTCCATCAGCAGCGACAGCGAGTTCGAATCCTGAGGGTCGGGTCGCTGACCACAGCAGGAGAGAGGCACTCATTGGTTAAATCCTGAAGAGAGAGGCTGTGATCAGTGCTCAGCCAGGAGGCCCGACCCCACAGATATATAGAGACAATAGACACTGTAGAACTACTCTGTCTGTAGCTTGGGATTGGACACTTGGACAGGATGTTCTCTATGAGAGACTTGATATGGACACTTGATGTGGTTGCTAGTGGATGAATGGGGAGGGGTGGGGGGTTGGGGATTGGACCATCTACAAACACATGCACTTAAAATGCACCATCGCACATGACTGTAAGGTACACTGTTACTAAGTACCGTATGACTGTAAGGTACACTGTTACTAAGTACCGTATGACTGAGCGGCTGACTGCTAGAAAGACCCACTACAATTCTCTGTCCTGTATATTTGGACTGGAACGTGGGTAGAAAAAAGTCAGTCAGTCAGCAGCGATAACATATTCTATAAAAGCAATAACTATTCTCAGGCACGTTATTTATAGAAATAATATAAACCTACAGAGTCGTAGAGTAATTACTAAGCTTGAATTAGAATGTTATACGTTTTGATACTTAATGGTTTCAACTCATAGGGGGTCTATTTTTGAGTAGTCTATCATTGAGTGCTAGCTTTAATCCCATTTCTTAATTAGCCCTTTACAATGACCACGGCCTTCTGTAGGCTGTTGGTTTCCTACATGATCAGTCGTTGGTGGACACAGAACTGCTTGATTGGATTAGACAGGTCTGCATTTCTCTTCATACACGTCACTGCCTTAAAAAGGAACTATATGGGCATCACAGCCACAATCTTCTAGTTTGGCTAACATTAGGCACCGTTGCAGACCATAACCGTCCCTAAACAACCTAAAAAATTGACTCGAGACAATCTTGTAATGCATGGACAAGACATCACACATCACTATACATTTCATATAGATGGTTTAAATGTTTTCCTGTATTATGACAATGTAACTACTGTATAACAATGCTGATGTGTATCCAAAACATCCCCATTATAATAGTACCCAATTCAAACCTGTTATATCCTTTTAGACTGTTGTATGAGGCATCATTCAGTGTGGAATCCTCTGCGCAGCTCTCACTAGAGATGTCCTTACATGAATTGCCTGTCCGAGTAAAACAAAGGAAATGGAATAAAAAGGAAATGAAAGCAAGACTGATAAGTAAGGGAGATAAAGTGAAGCACAACTTGGTCTTAACTCATTGATGTGCCTATAAACGTTTGAGAACTGAATGACCTGTTTAACATGACAGTGTCGTCTTTGTATAGGCCTACTATATACATATCACCGTACAATACATAGTCATGGGATTCATTCATAGAAAAATAAGTATTTTGTAAAAATGTGTCTGATGTATGCATTTGGAATAAATTAAACTATTTTTATCCAAACCTGTTTAAGTCTGTGAACAACGGGTCCACAAGTGTTTCAGGTGAAAAGGCGTGACCGTTGGATATGGTGAAAGAGGATGGAAGCATATTATTTGTTTGTATAGGAGGGGGCTCATATGTAAAAGCATTGTATTTTCTGACAAATCATTCGCTAAACCCTAAACCTCATCTAAATCTTATAATGAATAATGTGGCAATTGAGGAGACTAAACTGCTTGGTGTAACTCTAGATTGTAGACTGACATGGTCAAAACATATTGATGCAACGGTTACCAAGATGGGGAGAGGTCTGTCCCTGATAAAGCACTACTCTGCTTTCTTGACATCACAATCAACCAATCAAGTCCTAGTTTTATCACACCTGGACTACTGCCCAGTTCTATGGTCAAATGCTGCAAAGAAGGACATAACCCTAACCCACACAAATTACAGTTGGCCTAGAACAGAGCAGCACAGCTGGCCCTTAAATGTACACAGAGGGCTAATATCAAGAACATGCATGTCAATCTCTCCTGGCTCAAAGTACTGTAGAGGAGAGATTGACTTCATCACTACATGCCTTTGTGAGAGGTATTGACATGTTGTAAGCACCGAGCTGTTTGTTCAAACGACTAGCACACAGCTCATACATACCCCACAAGACTTCTTCACAGTCCCCAAGTCCAGAACAGAGGCTAGGAGACGCACAGTACTATATAGAGCCATGACTACATGGAACTCGCTTCCACATCAAGTAACTAAAGCGAGCAGTAAAATCTGATTTATAAAAAAAAGACACCTCACGGAACAACATGGACTGTGAAGACACACGCACACAAAACACACACACACACACACACACACACACACACACACACACACACACACACACACACACACACACACACACACACACACACACACACACACACACACACACACTCTACAATCACCCACACATTGTAATGTTGTACATTTTATATTGTAAATGTGTAATATTAGAGCAATATACATTTGCATAATGCACACTATCTTGCATGATGTATTGTTTTATTATGATGAATTGTTATAACCTTGGTTGGACCCAAGGAAGAGTAGCTGCTGCTGCTAATGGGGATCCTAATAAAATACTAAATGCTAAATATGTGCTGGTTTCTAAAGGCTTACCTCAAACTGCATAATTCTCTGACTTTTTCATTGAAGAAATAAAGTGAAGTGTGAATCAGACAATGTATAATTGACCTAATAAGAGTTTGTTTTATCACCACCGATTTAACTAATAAGAGCTGTTTTGACACAACCGACTGACTCTACAGTGTAGACATTTGGAGACATAGCCTTCCGGTACGCCCAGTCGGCGTCACCCCCTTCCCCCTGTTATTTTGACCCCGCCCACATTTCTAATTACTGAAGGAAGAGGAATACAGCTGCTGTAGCTCCTATATGCATTTTGCATTAATATTTTCCGCATGTTTTGAAAGCAATTAAAACGTGTTGCTTAATTGGATTAGCCCACCTGAGAGCCCCGACTGGAGAGAACAGATAGAGATCCTCTCCTCTCCAGCAGCATCAGTGGACCATGGACAGCGAGCGTAGAAAAGTTGTTGTCTGTGACAATGGCACAGGGGTGAGTGAGTGTCGATTTAACGTTATTTTAATGACTTCACTAAAAAAATCACTAACCACCGAGTTAAAAAATGATAATACTGACTGTTTATTTAGGATTTGGGAATTAATTATGAGAGTAGGAATATGCATTGGAATTTAACAACCTGCAAGAAGTAATAGACTATATCTTAATCACTTGTATTTGTGTTGATAACAACAGAACAGATTACGTTTCTTTCTAAGCACCCTGCTACAAAGCTGCAACATTTTATTCGTAAAGGAGATAACACAGTGTCTGTCACACAAAACAGTATGATGTCGTAGAAGCCTATGAAGCAGGCTGCTCTCTTTGCGCACTAGGTAGGGGTGTGGGTCTAATTTGAGTGCACATCTGTCTGGACTTGTAGCAGACTCATTCTCTTATCCACACACACTGCCATACATGGTGGTGATGTCGTGGAGTGAACTGTTATTGGACGGGAACAAGGAAGGAACACAACCAAATAATTGAGATAATTCTCTATTCCCCATTCCTCCTGAGTTCACTTGCACCATATCAATGGCTACTGTCCCGCAAAAGCACACTAGACTCATGAGCAACATGTTAACTGATGACTGTAGGCTAGCTTGCCCTGCCTCAACTTGTGGCTGGTACTTGGAATGTATTGTACACCTTCAGGCTATGGAATGTGTCTTGGTTACATAGACAAGTTAGGACTTTTCAATAAATGGTGTTGTAAGCACACAGGTAAATAGACAGAATTGGCCCAATAAAATGTATAATTTACTATTTCATAATGCATTTTACAGTGTTGTTGCTGACTTGATAAAATTTGACACATCTGCTATTAACGTTGAACTTAAAATATTTTGCAGAAGTTTAGCACAAGAGAAGTGACATTCTCTGTGGTTAAATGTTGGTTTCCACTCAATGCACAAAAACAATGACTTTTTCAGGAGCCTGAACTGTCCCTCACCCCTCATATTGAGGACTATTGAAAGTGTATTGAACATGTATTGAAAGTGTATTGAATACTATTGAAAGTGTATTGAAAGTGTATTGAAAGACTATTGAAATACTATTGAAAGACTGTTGAAAGTATGCAATACCATCATGTTTCTTTCATATTGGTTCCCATGCAGTTTGTCAAGTGTGGCTTTGCTGGCTCCAACTTCCCAGAGCATATCTTCCCTGCCTTGGTGGGTCGGCCCATCATCCGGTCAAACACCAAAGTCGGAAACATTGAGATTAAGGTGAGGTCATATTTGAGAGGTAGCCTAATATCTTAAAATTGCCACGTCTGTACTCTGTATACATACTTCTGAATGATCAAATGCATCCAAACCAACTCCCTTTTTGACCCCCAACCCTGGCCCTGACCTCCAACCTCTAACCCCTAACCTCTAGGACCTGATGGTGGGTGATGAGGCCAGTGAGTGTCGTTCCATGCTAGAGGTGTCCTACCCCATGGACAACGGCATGGTGCGCTCCTGGGAAGACATGCTCCATCTGTGGGACCACACCTTTGGCCCCGAGCGCCTCGACATCAGTCCCCCAGACTGCAAGGTCACTATTATTTAATTTTTAATTTTCCTTTAATAACCTTTTTTTATACAGGTTACTGTGATTGAGATAAAATCAAATTTTTGCAAGAGAGACATGGGTATGAAATCCATTTAGTCTCTTAAACGTCTGAAGTTTTAGTAGACTATTATGAAAATGGTTAGTTTAGAAAACACTTTTCACATTTCCCTGCCTTCTGTATATGTTGTAATGTTGGGGATCAATTAAGTTACATTTGATTCAAGGTGCTGCTGACGGAACCGCCCATGAACCCCACTAAGAACCGTGAGAAGATCGCTGAGGTCATGTTTGAGACCTACCAGTTCCACGGCATCTACGTCGCCATCCAGGCCGTGCTCACACTCTATGCCCAGGGTAAGGGGAGACCAGACCCAAAGACATGGCTCTCCCTATATTATATAATGATATACTGTAGTATAAATGCCTAGACTTTAGCTCGGCGGGCTAACACAGTCTTGTAGGGCGCTGGTTCAAACCCACAGTCACTTTCATACTGTCTGTTATGTGACCCTGTGTGTCCTGCCCTGTCCTGTCTAGGTTTGTTGACAGGCGTGGTTGTGGATTCTGGGGACGGGGTGACCCATATATGTCCTGTGTATGAGGGCTACTCTCTACCCCACCTCACACGCAGGCTGGACATCGCAGGACGTGACATCACGCGCTACCTCATCAAGGTGTGTTACAACGTATATTATCATCCTGTCACCTTATGAAGAAAACTATGCTTTTCTGTCCCTTGTGTCAATCATAATCAATGCAAAATTCTTTAAAATTGACAGTTGAATTTGTTTTTCGTTATGTATGGTCCTAGAAGAACTGTTTATATATTTATGTTCATCTACATCACCTCTGATCCCTCTCAGTTGCTGTTGCTGCGTGGCTATGCCTTCAACCACTCGGCTGACTTTGAGACGGTCCGCATGCTGAAGGAGAAGCTGTGCTACGTGGGATACAACATCGAGCAGGAGCAGAGACTGGCTACAGAGACCACCGTGCTGGTGGAGTCATACATGGTACTGTAGATAACGCCCCGCCTCTCATGTCAACAGAGAGAATGTTCATTATTATTTATGTATGGTCTCTTAGCCTGGAAAGGCAATCTGTTTCTGTGTTCATAGCAATGTTGCAAAACTCTACAACAGTCTGACACCCAGGGTAACAGATATAAATGTTTAGCCTATACAGTGGGGGAAAAAAGTATTTAGTCAGCCACCAATTGTGCAAGTTCTCCCACTTAAAAAGATGAGAGAGGCCTGTAATTTTCATCATAGGTACACGCCAACTATGACAGACAAAATGAGATTTTTTTTTCCAGAAAATCACATTGTAGGATTTTTTATGAATTTATTTGCAAATTATGGTGGAAAATAAGTATTTGGTCAATAACAAAAGTTTCTCAATACTTTGTTATATACCCTTTGTTGGCAATGACACAGGTCAAACGTTTTCTGTAAGTCTTCACAAGGTTTTCACACACTGTTGCTGGTATTTTGGCCCATTCCTCCATGCAGATCTCCTCTAGAGCAGTGATGTTTTGGGGCTGTCGCTGGGCAACACGGACTTTCAACTCCCTCCAAAGATTTTCTATGGGGTTGAGATCTGGAGACTGGCTAGGCCACTCCAGGACCTTGAAATGCTTCTTACGAAGCCACTCCTTCATTGCCCGGGCGGTGTGTTTGGGATCATTGTCATGCTGAAAGACCCAGCCACGTTTCATCTTCAATGCCCTTGCTGATGGAAGGAGGTTTTCACTCAAAATCTCACGATACATGGCCCCATTCATTCTTACCTTTACACGGATCAGTCGTCCTGGTCCCTTTGCAGAAAAACAGCCCCAAAGCATGATGTTTCCACCCCCATGCTTCACAGTAGGTATGGTGTTCTTTGGATGCAATTCAGCATTCTTTGTCCTCCAAACACGACGAGTTGAGTTTTTACCAAAATGTTTTATTTTGTTTTCATCTGACCATATGACATTCTCCCAATCCTCTTTTGGATCATCCAAATGCACTCTAGCAAACTTCAGACGGGCCTGGACATGTTCTGGCTTAAGCAGGGGGACACGTCTGGCACTGCAGGATTTGAGTCCCTGGCGGCGTAGTGTGTTACTGATGGTAGGCTTTGTTACTTTGGTCCCAGCTCTCTGCAGGTCATTCACTAGGTCCCCCCGTGTGGTTCTGGGATTTTTGCTTGTGATCATTTTGACCCCACGGGGTGAGATCTTGCGTGGAGCCCCAGATCGAGGGAGATTATCAGTGGTCTTGTATGTCTTCCATTTCCTAATAATTGCTCCCACAGTTGATTTCTTCAAACCAAGCTGCTTACCTATTGCAGATTCAGTCTTCCCAGCCTGGTGCAGGTCTACAATTTTGTTTCTGGTGTCCTTTGACAGCTCTTTGGTCTTGACCATAATGGATTTGGAGTGTGACTGTTTGAGGTTGTGGACAGGTGTCTTTTATACTGATAACAAGTTCAAACAGGTGCCATTAATACAGGTAACGAGTTGAGGACAGAGGAGCCTCTTAAAGAAGAAGTTACAGGTCTGTGAGAGCCAGAAATCTTGCTTGTTTGTAGGTGACCAAATACTTATTTTCCACCATATTTTGCAAATAAATTCATAAAAAATCCTACAATGTGATTTTCTGGAATTTTTTTCCTCAATTTGTCTGTCATAGTTGACGTGTACCTATGATGAAAATTGCAGGCCTCTCTCATCTTTTTAAGTGGGAGAAATTGCACAATTGGTGGCTGACTAAATACTTTTTTCCCCCACTGTAGCTACTATAGCTACATTGTATACCAATCATGACATAAAATGAAATACATCAGAAAAGTAAGTAATATAATAATATACCATTTAGTAGACACTTTATCCAAAGCGACTTACAGTCATGCACATTTTTTTTTAAAAGTATGGGTGGTCCTGGGAATTGAACCCAATATCCTGACATTGCAAAGCCATGCTCTACCAACTGAGCTACAGAGAACCACAGTATTTACTAACCCTCTCTCTGCTACAGCTACCTGACGGTCGTCAGGTGATGGTGGGAGGGGAGCGGTTTGGAGCCCCAGAGGCCCTCTTCCAGCCCCACCTCATCAACGTAGAGGGAGCAGGCGTGGCTGAACTGCTGTTCAACACCATCCAGGCTGCTGACATAGATCTCAGGTCAGAGATACACCACCCTGCTGCTGGTCTCCACATGGTTTAACAACTACTGTAGCCTCGTCCTGTACTGTGTGGTGCTGTAGCTAACATTCCTATTGTTTGTTTTAATGCCATACAAGTGGAGGAGGCTAGCCTATAGTGTACACTGCACTGTAGGCCCATGCTAGAGTTAGAGATCTGTGCAAGAGTTGTTACATAATTGTTCTATATATGTGGATATTACACATAATTAGACACATTCCATAGGTGTGTACGAACCCAAGCTATTTCGTTTTATAGCTGTACTAAATATATGAAGCCATGGTATTATAAACCTATGGTTGACCTATTAAATGTAAATTATAACTGTATGCATACATACATACTTTATGTCTGATTCCATATTGTTTCTCCCTCCTGAAGGTCTGACTTGTACAAGCACATTGTTCTGTCAGGAGGCACCACCATGTACCCCGGCCTTCCCTCCAGACTGGAGAGAGAGATCAAACAGCTGTACCTGGAGAAGGTGCTGCAGGGGGACACTGAGAAACTCTCTGTAAGCACACACACATGCGTGGAAGCACACAGACACACACACACGCACACGCGGGGAAACGCACACATGCACGCACATGCACACACATGTATGGACACGGACACACACACACACACACACACACACACTACAATAAGTAAACCTGTGTAATGACAGAAATGGTATTATGTGTTCCTTTATCTTAGTTTACCATATATTTCTCTACCCACTCCCCCTTCCCTCCCTCTCTGCAGAAGTTTAAGATCCGCATTGAGGACCCCCCAAGCCGTAAACACATGGTGTTCATGGGTGGAGCGGTGCTGGCCAACATCATGAAGGACAAGGAGTCCTTCTGGCTGAGCCGGGCTGACTACCTGGAGAAAGGCCTGAGAGTTCTGGACAAACTGGGGTGTGGTGTGAGGTAGAGGTGAAATAGAGGTGGTTAGCTAGGATCACACACACGCGCACACACACACACACACACAGAGATAAAGTCTGGGGGTGCTGGACAATCTGGGGCGCAGCAATAGATAGAAGTCTGGGAGTCCTGGGTCGTATTCACTAAACTCTTAAAAATGATGGGCTAGGACTCCCGAGTGGCGCAGCGGTCTAAGGGGTCACTACAGACCTGGATTTGATCCCAGGCTGTGTCACAGCCGGCAGTGACTGGGAGACCCATGAGGCGGCGCACAATTGGCCCAGCGTTGTCCAGGTTAGGGGAGGGTTTGGCCGGCCGGGATTTCCTTGTCCCATCGCGCTCTAGTGACTCCTTGTGGTGGGCCGGGCACCTGCAAGCTGACTTTGGTCGCCAGCTGGACGGTGTTTCCTCTGATACATTGGTGCGGCTGGCTTCCGGGTTAAGCGAGCAGAGTGTTTCGGAAGACGCGTGGCTCTCGACCTTCGCCTCTCCCGAGTCCGTAGGGGAGTTGCAGCGATGGGACAAGACTGTAACTACCAATTGGGGAGAAAAAGGGGTAAAAGAAAAAGAAATACAAAATGATGGGCTAAAAACAACCCAATTTGGGTTATTTGGTAACTCAGCATTGGTTAAATAGTGGACAGAACACGTTGGGTTATTTTGACCCAGTCAGTTGGGTTGCGTCAATAAACCAACAAGTTGGGTTGTTGGGATTACCCAAACGTGTTAATTTAACCATCATTTGGGTATTTTTTACTCTCATGCTGGGTTGACCTAGCAGCTGGGTCTTTTTGAATATAATCCTTATGTTATTTTCAGGAGGCATGACTTATTAGGGGCGTGTCTTTCAGCTAGCTCTTATTGGCCACCCATGAGAGTAAATGTCATTACTGTTCATTACAGGATGTTAAGTTTACATACTGCAAATGCATTATTATTATTTTTTACACATTCTTCTATAATATTAAGATGATTTATTACATATTATAATAATGTATACCACCTTATTGTATCCCAATAATTGGATTTACATAAGCTTTTAGGGAACTCATACACTTCTGTAAGTCACTGTATTTGGTTATTCCAAAATTCATGACATGTTTAAAATGTTGTTCAACTTCAAAATAAGAAACAATTCAAACTTTAAATAATCAATCCAACTTAAGTTAATCAACTTCTGTAAGTGTCATTGAAGATACAAAAATGCAACAGAACAGATTAACAGGAATTACATATACTCTCAGGGGTGGCTAAAAATAACTATCTGAATGCCACCTAGTTTAGTCAGCCACCAATTGTGCAAGTTCTCCCACTTAAAAAGATGAGAGAGGCCTGTAATTGTCATCATAGGTACACGTCAACTATGACAGACAAAATGAGAAAAAAAATCCAGAAAATCACATTGTAGGATTTTTAATGAATTTATTTGCAAATTATGGTGAAAAATAAGTATTTGGTCGCCTACAAACAAGCAAGATTTCTGGCGCCTCACAGACCTGTAACTTCTTCTTTAAGAGGCTCCTCTGTCCTCCACTCGTTACCTGTATTAATGGCACCTGTTTGAACTTGTTATCAGTATAAAAGACACCTGTCCACAACCTCAAACAGTCACACTCCAAACTCCACTATGGCCAAGACCAAAGAGCTGTCAAAGGACACCAGAAACAAAATTGTAGACCTGCATCAGGCTGGGAAGACTGAATCTGCAATAGGTAAGCAGCTTGGTTTGAAGAAATCAACTGTGGGAGCAATTATTAGGAAATGGAAGACATACAAGACCACTGATAATCTCCCTCGATCTGGGGCTCCACGCAAGATCTCACCCCGTGGGGTCAAAATGATCACAAGAACGGTGAGTAAAAATCCCAGAACCACACGGGGGGACCTAGTGAATGACATGTAGAGAGCTGGGACCAAAGTAACAAAGCCTACCATCAGTAACACACTACGCCGCCAGGGACTCAAATCCTGCAGTGCCAGTACATGTCCAGGCCCGTCTGAAGTTTGCTAGAGTGCATTTGGATGATCCAGAAGAGGATTGGGAGAATGTCATATGGTCAGATGAAACCAAGATATAACTTTTTGGTAAAAACTCAACTCGTCGTGTTTGGAGGACAAAGAATGCTGAGTTGCATCCAAAGAACACCATACCTACTGTGAAGCATGGGGGTGGAAACATCATGCTTTGGGGCTGTTTTTCTGCAAAGGGACCAGGACGACTGATCCGTGTTAAGGAAAGAATGAATGGGGCCATGTATCGTGAGATTTTGAGTGAAAACCTCCTTCAGCAAGGTCATTGAAGATGAAACGTGGCTGGGTCTTTCAGCATGACAATGATCCCAAACACACCGCCCGGGCAACGAAGGAGTGGCTTTGTAAGAAGCATTTCAAGGTCCTGGAGTGGCCTAGCCAGTCTCCAGATCTCAACCCCATAGAAAATCTTTGGAGGGAGTTGAAAGTCCGTGTTGCCCAGCGACAGCCCCAAAACATCACTGCTCTAGAGGAGATCTGCATGGAGGAATGGGCCAAAATACCAGCAACAGTGTGTGAAAACCTTGTGAAGACTTACAGAAAACGTTTGACCTGTGTCATTGCCAACAAAGGGTATATAACAAAGTATTGAGAAACTTTTGTTATTGACCAAATACTTATTTTCCACCATAATTTGCAAATAAATTCATAAAAAATCCTACAATGTGATTTTCTGGATTTTCTTTTCTGATTTTGTCTGTCATAGTTGGCGTGTACCTATGATGAAAATTACAGGCCTCTCTCATCTTTTTAAGTGGGAGAACTTGCACTATTGGTGGCTGACTAAATACTTTTTTTCCCCACTGTATGCCGCCAGTCTTCCGATCTGACTGGCTGGGGCATATCTAAATAACCCAGCACCAATAACCCAGCAGTTTAAACAACCCAACTAAGTGACCCAACGGCTGCAACCCAGCAGATGGGTCAACAAAACAACCCAGCATTTTTTTGAGTGTAGGCACAAAACGGAAGAAAACAGACTGAAACCGGTTGGTACTATCCGAACTTGTCCGATAAGAAATGCTAATTTTTGTTATGCTACAGTGTGTTCTAATGAATACGACCCTGGATAAACTGGGGCCCCCCAAAAAAAAAACTCTTTAAAAAAATGTGTAACATACACTGGATAGGTGCAGTGAAATGTGTTGTTTTACAGGGTCAGCCTTAGTAGTACGGCGCCCCTGGAGCAAATTAGGGTTAAGTGCCTTGCTCAAGGGCACAAACAGATTTTTCACCTTGAGGTAGAAGTAGTCAGCTAGACTGAATAGAAAATGAAGAGAATATGATGGGATGTTACATGCCTTCCTGGATGCTTAGGGACCAGGCATTGCCTGTCTGATGAAACATACAGTATCTGTTATAAGTCTGTTGTAAGAGAACAGAATAGTATTTTCATATTCATCACTGTCAACTTCCAAGTTGTTTGTTACTGTCAAGTTGACAGATTATATTGCATACAATACCTCAATTATACAGTACAATACAATTGTAAGGTTTCATATTTTCACCATTTGAATTCTCACTGTGTCAAATTGAAGTTTTTGAAGTAGTCATTGTTTCAAAAGCATATAAAAAGAAATACAACTGACGTTAGCCTGAATGCCAAATTGAATAAAGTGAATGTCATTGTTTTTGATGACTGTATAGCCATTTGTATTTGACAATACCTTTGTGTCTTCAAATAACGTTTTGTGTCACTTATTTTCTGTCATAAATCATTTATGTAAACACATTTGGAAACAAATACACATTTGTTCATTCGGACAGTGGAGAGAATATGATTATTCAAAGGTTTTGTGACAGTTGTGCTTCGATGTACTGGGCAGGGTTGGGGTCAATTCCATTTAAATTCAGGAGATTAATTGAAATTCCAATTCAAGAACAGCAAAACAACGTACACTGAATATGCAAAACATTAAGAACACCTGCTCTTTCCATGACATAGACTGACCAGGTGAATGGTATAGTCCTGTGTGGCTCAGTTGGTAGAGCATGGTGCTAGCAATGCAAGGGTTGTGGGTTTGATTCCCATGGGGGACCAGTATGGAGAATAAATGTATGCACTCAAGACTGTAAGTCATGTAAAAGTAAGCGATGATCACTTGTTAAATCCACTTCCATCAGTGTAGATGAAGGGGAGGACACAGGTTAAAGAATGATTTTTAAACCTTGAGACATGGATTGTGTATGTGTGCCATTCAGAGGGTGAATGGGCAAGACAAAATATTTAAGTGCCTTTGAACGGGGTATGGTAGTAGGTACCGGGAGGGAGGGGTGCAACTCAATATTAGGAAGGTGTTTGGTATACTCAGTGTAAAATAATAGTAATTTGCTGCCTCCCAGTGGTGACTTGTAACATTCCCTTAGCAATATACTGTAACATATTCTAGGCAGCAAACACTGATAAACAAAGAATACATCATGTCATAGCACTATGAACAGATAATGCAATTTTATTGCGATTTTGTATTACTGGACAAAATACAGCAATGTGTTATACATTCAATGAAATAGTGAATGCCATAATGTTGCCTTTTTCAACACATTCAAGACATGCATCACATACGAAACCACCAAAATCTTTACATTAAATTAAAACTGCATGCAATAGTCCTCAGATAAAAAGTGTCCTTGTTCGTCTTTAAATTAACCCTCCTCCAGTAAAAACTTTCATAAAGGTAAATATTTCACTTTCCTTTTTATAAACCAGTGATTTATATTCAATATAACTATTCCACATTTTTTAACAATTAATTATTGTAATAATACATGATCATAAGTGTTAACATTAAGTTGAACAGTCAGTTGGCAAAGATAATCTGCAGCAGGGGTCGTCGCCATGGCCACTTAGGTGAGTTTACATTCAACCAATCACCATGAGGCATAACATGGTCCCAGTTTTATTGGCCGTTGTCATGTAGATTGTCTTTTCTCTCAGAAGCTCCTTTTGTCATGGAATATTATAGCAGTTCAATAGAAACAGTAATAGAAAGTAAAACAGAAAAAAAGCTATTATTTTGACAAATGTGTCCCTTTTTATCATAAAGAGACATTCAGTTGGCAAAAATCTTAAACCAAGGAAATATTGTGCTATTCAACAAAAGTCCTCAAACCGGTTTTCTATTTGTAAAGTTAAAAATAGTTTTCCCCCAAGCCTGTCAACAGTAAGTGACTAGAGATGGCAGAGCCAACATCAACAGTACCTCAGACTCACAATCCAAAATGGCTTCATGGCGTTTGCGTAAATAAGTCAAAAGAACCAGGTCCATCTTACGTTAAAGCAAAGATTGTCCTCTGAGCTGCACACATTCCTATGTGTATGACTTTACTTTCTTAACTTTGGTATTGAGGTTCGGTCTTGTAAAAAATATTTATGTTGCTCTTACACTACAGTAGCAATAGTTCCTAAGGACATACCTGTAGCTAGTGGTTTAGCAACCCCCCTCCACCCAACCCTCAACAACAGGGTTCTGAACATAGAAATATAATTTATAGAATTCATTCTAATTCTATGGTTCCAACGAAGGAGCAGCAGATTGACAGAAGTGATGTGAATAATAGACAACCAACCTGCCCTTTATCTAAGGCTCAGTCTCAAGTGACACCCTATTCTCCATGTAGTGCACTACTTTTGGCACACTATTAACCATATAGTGAACTACTTTCAACATACATTAAAGCCACTGTAGTGCACTATTTCGTACCAGAGCCCATACAGTGCAGTGCACTACTTTTAAACCTCCACTATGGAATAGGGTGCCATTTGAGACTTGCCCCTTAGTCTTTAGTGAGAGCTGTAGTTATGACAACACGTCCAAGACACAACACAGCTTTTTTAATCAATCAACCAATCGAAAAACGCTGAGATCCGAGAAGAACTCTTCCCCCTCCTCTTCCTCCCTCCTTCACTCCTCACACACGGACTCCCCCAGGTCCACAGCTCCCCCTCTGGTCAGGCGCCGCATCTTGCTGAAGTCGTGGTCTGTGCGAAGGTAGGAGAGAGAGGGGCCTCCCTCACTGTGGCTGGCCAGGTCCTGAGGCTGTGTCTGGGGGGGAAGGGTCCTCATCTCCCCTCCGGACCTCCAGTAGAGGGTGTAGTCCTGGGGCTCGGAGACGCCGAAGGTGGAGGCACAGAGCTGGGCCAGGGCCTCGCTGCTTTCCCCGGCTCTCCACTGCAGCGTCCGCACCGCGCTGCGCTCGCCGTCCTGGAACAGTACCCGAACACACCTCTGCACAGAGAAACACACAGAGAGAAACAAACACACATACAGAAACAGAAACACACACAAAAAATGAGTTACAAAATGTATCATCTTGTTAACTCACATAAACAGCCTTTATAACATAGCCTTCAGAAGACTCACAAAGATTAGAAAGCTTCAAAATAATATACTGTCTTCCATTCATTTAAACCAAACTAACTCAATACTGTAAACAGTACATAATATACACTAGGCTGGTCACCCGTGATACAAGTCAGTATTTGATGTCCATCCATGTCTGAAGACATCGTGAGATGAGGTGGAAACCGGCCACTAGGGGCAACAGTGAACACTGTTACCTTCAAATAGGTTTCGTTGAGGACAGGGATGGCGGATGGGCGTAAGCATCTGCCTCTGATTTTCAAAGGTTGCATGTTCGAATCCAGCGATAGAAAGTTCAGAGTTAATGCCTAACCTTAAGAATTCTGAATTAATGCCTAATTTTAACCCTAACGTAAAACATTTGGAGTTAATGCCAAAACTTAACCTTAAACACTTCGACATTTGAGGTTTTGAACAGCGTCGAAATGTGACGTTTGAGAAACATGGATGAAGGTCTAATTCTGACGTGAGACTGTGAGAGCTAGTTGTATACACAGCCTCCATAGGCTACTGTTAGTTACACAGCGTTACACAGCGTTACATACTGTAGGCTATACACACCAGAAATCCTCATTCCTCAACATAAATCAATACCAACCAGTCTCAAAATATCCTACAATGAATCCAGTCTTCACTATGTATCCAACAGTCTTCATGTATTACCTTAATATTCAAACAAATTCTATACTTTTACTTTTCTACTTTAAAACACACACACACACACACACACACACACACACACACACACACACACACACACACACACACACTTTAAAACACACACACTTTAAAACACACATATACACAGCTCCATTAAACCACACTGTCCCTTCATCCTAACATCCTAACAAAATGAATCCATACACTTACACAGAACTAGTCTACATGAAAGTACAATATATATACATCTATACTAACTGTTAATACAGTGTGCCATAACATAACCAGTCTAAACGTTCGGTATACACTGTATTACATAACAGTACCAGATGCCTCCATATAATAAACACACTTACACACACTACCCATTCTCAAACACCCTTTATAAACACTCTCAAATACATTACACAGCAAGTTCTCCCATTAACCACTACTATAACCACATCCTTAAACAACATTAAAAAGCAGCAACTTACAGAGTCACTGAGCTCTTCACCGTCCGTGTCCATATTGTGTTTGCTCTGCTCTCTTCAGTGGGTTGCTGCTGCTCAGTAAATTTCATGCTATCTGACCGCCCACTTCCTCATAACACTTAGCTAGCTCACTGATCTCCCTCAGTGGCGGTACAGCAAATCTGTTGGCGGGTGTGTGGTGTGTACGTGTGTTTTTTTTAGCTAGCTGCTATTTGAAGAGAGTGAGTAGCCCACGTGACTGACTAGCTAAAAACAGTGTTTGTACCATTTAATCTAGTGAATGGTCATCATTTGGGGATGGATCAAATACTAGGACAAAGGGGAGTGTGTTTTAGCGAGCTGCTATTTGAAGGGAGTCAGTATTCCCCACGTCACTAACCAGCTATCCACCATACTATGTTAGCTGGTGAATGGCGGTCACAAGCACGAGGAGGGTGCGTCTGTCTGGAGTACTAGATGGGCAGGGTTTGCTCTTTTGGGACTATTTCTTTGGCATCTCAATCCAGCGCAGCTAAAGTATATGAAAGAAAACAAATGCTATTTGAATCCAGGTCTGTCTCGGAGTAGGGTGAAGCTGCCACTAGACACTGATCTTGGGTCAGTTTGGCAGTTTCCCCACTAATGGTTAAGGTTAGGACTGGAGATGGGAAGCTGATCCTAGATCTGTACCCAGGGGAAACTTTACCCAGGAGCTAGTGTTTCACCTGGTTCTGTTGTCTCTCATGGTTGCTCTTGGCTTCCAGGCTGCGTCTGCGGCCCCACTCCCTCAGCCCGTCCAGGGCCTCTCGGGTCAGACCTCCTGGGGGGACCTGGTCCCCCTTCGCTTCAGGGCTCTGGATCAGACAGAGGCTGGCATAGACAGTGGTCAGGTAGTAGCCACCTGGAAGAGTGGGTGGGGGCACAGCGAAATGTCAATACAGTGACTGTGAATGGTATCTACATATTCGTCAAGACCACAGTTATGTCTTCATTATCCGCAATGTTCTTTTAGAGGTAGTATATAAAGGAAAAGGGTGAAGTGTGTAGTGGTGCCCTCTCCTTTGGGGTAGAGAGGGTAACCCAGCTAGCACATAACGTTCTGAGAACCATATGTTTCTTAGAGCTTGGTGAGAGAGTGGTTGTCCTATGGTTATTTTGCATTCAACCTTCCCACAATTTTCTGGTAATGGTGCAGGATAGTTGCTTGGCTTTGGAACATTCTCAGCACATGTAGCCCTTTACACTCGTACCCAAATACGGGTTGAAAATGGCAGATTTGGGCACTAATAAGCACCTAAACTGGAACGTAGTGGCTGTACAGTAACATGCTATACATGACATCAGAGCTCTGTATGGGTTTTGACTGACAGACGTTCTGACCTTAAGCTCCGCGCGCAACAAGTTGTCTCCATCCCTCCCGCTAACTGGGCAACTTTAGCAAATTTTTTGTTGTCTGAGTGAGGGAAATGCTGTAAATTAAGATGACTATGTATTTTGAAAGATGAGACGTTGAGGATTATAATAAATACCACTTTGATGTCATACAAGCAAGCCACACACCCGTGAGTCCAAATGTGCACTTCACATTTCCATATCATAAAACTCATGTCATATACAGTGTCAATGTTTATGATAAATATGTTTGATGTAGTTACAAGATGGCATGGCGTCATACCCTGGGTTGTTCTGAACAGAATGAGTCTATATTTGTTTATTGTGCAGAATATTTGCAGCAAGACTCCTTTCTATGCGCACCAAAATGACGATCTGTTTCTCTGAATGGCCTTGTGAAAGGCTGCCGATACACAACGTTGTGTAACCCCAGCCTAACACTGTAAAATCATATTTGATAACTTAGGTAGTCATGTTGGCAATAGAACAAGCTTTCAAATCATGCCCAGCTGACCCAGATTGCGATTTATAATGGACCATTTTTTGGATTGCACAAACAACAACAGTAATTGTGGGATGGTGGGGATGCAGGGCTGTGTTCCAAAGAAAACAACTACAAGTATGCTTGCTCTAGTTCCTCAGTGGCACAGCTTGGAGAGCTCAAAATAGCATCTTGTAGTTGAAGACTCTTCTTTGAGTCATAAAAGTGCATTGCAATTGCTTAGGAACTGTGCACACTTTGGAGAGGTGTGTGGCCACTTGGAGACACCAGTTAGTCCTCTCACTCAAACCCTTGTCATTTCTTTGTCTTATGTTGCGCCTACCCCACATTTTCCAGGAGTAGTCTTATCATTTTACTGAATGTATCCACAGTATTTTCAGATTTAGTTGTTAACAAATGCAGCGAAAAGTACAGTAAATGTAAAATACACATAAAATCAACAGTGTAATGTTTGGATTCAGTCTTGTGTCATGTGAACTGTTGTGTACTCACCTTTGGTCTAATAATTTTCCCTTTCAATTGCTACCATGGTTATGCATATGCTTATCATATTTCTTCTGTAAGAAACATTTCAATATAGCCCTATCCATATAGGCCAATTCCCACGAGTGTAAAGGGTTAAGTAACTTGACAAAAAAATAGTTATTTTCTTGGTATTTCATTTACATTTATTTATTCTTCTTCATTTTTACCCCCTTTTTCACCCCAATTTCGTGATATCCAATTGCAACCTTGTCTCATCGCTGCAACACCCCAACGGGCTCGGGAGAGGCGAAGGTCGAGTCATACGTCCTCCGAAACATGACCCGCCAAACCGCGCTTCTTAACATCCGCCCGCTTAACCCGGAAGCCAGCCGCACCAATGTGTCGGAGTAAACACTGTTCAACTGACGACCGAAGTCAGCCTGCAGGCGCCCGGCCCACCACAAGGAGTTGCTAGAGCGTGATGAGCCAAGTAAAGCCCCCCCTGGCCAAACCGTCCCCTAACCCGGACGACGCTCTGACAATTGTGCGCCGCCCTATGGGACTCCCGGTCACGACCGGTTGTGACACAGCCTGGGAACGAACCCGGGTCTATAGCGACGCCTCAAGCACATTTGAGTCATTTAGCAGACGCTCTTATCCAGAGCAACTTACAGGAGGAATTAGGGTTAACAGAACTTTTCCTAAAAGTTAAAATTACATTTACATACATTTAATTTCAATTTTGGTAAAATTCTAGGAACATTCTCCAACTGGTTTGACATTGGGAATGTTCTCAAATTGTTCCAAGAACGTTAAGAAACAAAGTTATTCTGTGGGAATTTCAAGACATTAGCATAACGTTTCCTACATGGTTCTATTTAAAGTCATGTTCTCAAATTGTTCCAAAAACTTCTTTTTTTTCATCCATAGAAACTAAAAGAAAATTTTAGTAACGTTCAGAGGAACATTCTAAGAATGTTATTTAAAAACGTACATTCCGCTCTCAGCATCAACAAAACTCTATCCTCCATCTTAAGTATGTTCAGGTGTGTTGGCTGCTCCCACTAATTGGCCACACCTGATCCTAAAGACGTCCTCCAGCGATTTTTGAACTTTTACTGTTGAAAGGCAATATCCCAAGTATAAATACAGTAAAGTACACACAAAAAAATATGTTTTGAGCATAATAGTGTTTTTTAGACACAACTACAAGTAGGGCAGTCAAGGAGTTGGTCTGATGCAAATCGGCCTCCCCCTTGCTTAAGGAACAATAGAGGAGCAAAAGTGAACAAAAGGGGAACAGTCCAAAAAGAATGTGTTTTCATGATTAATGCCTAAGAAAATGCATTTCCATGTGTCCTATCTGTGCTTGGAGTTCAAAACAGTTAACCCAAAATAAGCTAGCAGTGTTATTAAAAGTCTTATTGAAACGTTCAGTGAATGTTTTAAGGAAGTTATCAGAGTGTTAATAAAACCTCCCAGGAAACAAAAATGGCACCAAATGTCATCATAATATATGCTGGAACTGTTTCGACTGGGAAGCATGCGGTAAGCTTTAACGTTCTCAGAACTTCCTGCAACCTAAAAATAAATGTTCCCATAACAGGCTAAATGTTCACTTCTGATCTCAGAACGTTTAAAACACTTTCAATTTTACCAGTCAGGAAACGTATGGCTTTGTTCCCACAACAAATGGGAAAACAAAAACATACGTTCCCACAACATCTAAATGTGCTAGCTGGGAAGGGTGTTGTTGTATTAAGGTGGAAGGGGTGTAGGCTATAAGGGGTGTAGATAGGGTGTAGTTAGGGTGTAGGCTATAAGGGGTGTAGATAGGGTGTAGTTAGGGTGTAGGCTATAAGGGGTGTAGATAGGGTGTAGTTAGGGTGTAGGCTATAAGGGGTGTAGATAGGGTGTAGTTAGGGTGTAGGCTATAAGGGGTGTAGTTAGGATGTAGTGCGTACCCTCCCCAGTGAGCCAGGAGGGCTCCAGCAGCTCCATCATGTACTCCACCTCCAGTAAGATATGAGGCGTGTTACACATCACTATCACATAGGACAGCGCTGGCAGGAAGTCCTCCGAGCTCACTTCCTGTCCTGGGAGCAGGAAGAGGATGGCACAAGACAGCTTTAACAGATTGATTGATTAATAACAGTTGATTGATTGATTGATTATGACAGTTGATAACAGCTTCTAGATTATAACAGGCAAATAAATGGTGTCCTTACAATGTTAATATTTATAATAGATAATCACTGGCTGTGGTTACTTTATTTTACATTTCAGATTAGGCTAAGTGAAGGCCCACTCACCACCGTCTTGGAGGGCCCCCATGGCCTTCTGGACCGACTTGCAGACCTGCAGCAGCAGCAGCACCTTGTCTATGGGTGAGTGGGTGCGCTGCATGAGGCCCAGCTTCTGCCTCACCCTCTCCACGCCGCGGGTGTCGGGCACGCCCACCAGCACTCCGAGGCGCTCCATCGCCCCCTCTTGGCAGGCCAGGAGACTAGAGACCAGGTGCTGGGTGGAGCCGTCCTGTCTGTGGAGGGAGAGGAGGGTCTGGTCTAGCAGCAGCCTCAGAGGTTTCAGCACACAGCCGAACATGGCCTTCTCCAGGGCTAGGTCTGCATGGAGGAACACATACGTAGGTACGTACACACACAAACAAACAAACAAACATGCATAAGCATACACACAGTAGTAGTTGAAGATTATAAGGAAACATATTGTATGAAATATACACTTTATTTCAGAGCACAAACTCTCAAAAATGTATCTAAAATAACAATTTACCAGTTCTATACAACCATACACACAACACAGACCTATACACACACCACACACTTGTTCAGTCAGGAAATTATTCTTCATTACTGAGGGACAGGGGGAAGTGGAGGGTCACAGGCTTCCCTGACTAGGCTGACATTGTCAGGACAGAGAGCACCATGCAGTAAGCAGAGACAGGTAGACGAGAAGAGAGGAGAGAGAAGAAGAGAGAGAGAGAGAGAGAGAGAGAGATAGGAGAGACGAGAGAGAGCGCAGAGAGAGAGCAGATAGCGCAGAGGCGAGAGCCGGTGCGCGAGAGCAGAGAGAGAGAGCTCGACGAGAGCAGATAGCGAGCTCTCTAGCTCTCTCTAGCTCTATCTCGAGATATCTCTGACGTCTCTCTGCCTATCTCTCTCTTCTCTTCTTCTCTCTCTTCTCTCTCTCTCTCTCTCTCTCTCTCTCTCTCTCTCTCTCCTGAGAATCATGCTGTTCCTCAAGTGCACGTGGGACTGTGATATCTTTTTAATTATAAAAATTAAAATGCCTCCACCGACGCAAATCTCTCTCTCTCTCTCTCTCATACATCCTGTCAAACCAATAGACAGTGGTGGTAATGCTTTCCCTAATTGACATGCTGATAATATATAATAATATTTGTTATAGTCTTTTGTGAATATTATACTGGCTTGTTTTGCAGCATTTAAATGTCTTTGTAATGTACTGTGTATCATAACAATCTGTTTTGTGTGTTTGATACTGAACACCTGAAGTTACTGAAGATCCTGCCCCTTCCAATCCCTGCCTCTCCTCAGTATCTCTCCCATTCGTATGATATATTCTTCTTACTCCTTCCTTCCCGCCCTTCTCTTTTTCTTTTTTCCTCCCTCTTTTCTTGCATCCTTAGATGTGACAATGGTGGTACCTTTCTCGTTGTCAGGCACCAGGGTCTCTAGGGGGGGTGACAGTTCTCCGCTGTCCAGCAGGAAGCTCTTGGCCTGGGACAGGAAGCGCCGCAGCCCCTGGAGCACCGCCAAGGAGGACTTTGGCGAGGAAGACGATGATGATGAAGAGGCAGCCTGGGCCAGGACCTCTCTCAGCTCCTCTTTCTGCCTCTGGAGGAACTCCTGGACCAGGGAACCAAACGCAGACCTCCAGAGACAGAGAGAGTTTGGACATTGAGGTTTCGACCAAAAACATGATGATGCATTTACATGACACTACATAATTCCATGGAAGCCATGTTAGCTCCCCATGGGCAATATCAATCAATAGCAGTTCATTTAGGAATTTTAAACAATGCCACGTAAATGAATGTGTAGGATTAGAACAAGATTCCCCCAAAATCGTCATGAAAAGATAAATTGAATGCTCAAAGTCACTAACATGGCGTCAAGTTTTCCCAAAGTCTCTCTCTATATTTATATGTGGTTTAGCTGACCTCCGGTCCCTGGACAGCTCCTCCACCAGCCTGGCGAGCCTCTTCTCCGGAGCGAAGAAACACACGAACGCCGCGCTCATCCTCTGCAGGCCTCCGTGACCCCCCCGCGAGCGCACAAGGGGCGGACGGCGCTGAGGGTTGGGGTTTGGTTGTTTGAAGAACTGATCCTCTGCTTCTGCTTCTGGGTCCTCTTCCTCCAGACTGCTGAAAGAGCTGCTGCTGTCCAGTTGGGCCAGAGAGGGGGCCAGGTGGCCCTCCAAGGCCAAACACGCCTCCTCGATGCTGGGCTCGTCTGGAGCAGATAGGACCTCCTTTACCTCCGTCACTGGAGGTTCTGTTGGGGCCTGGGGAGAGACGGAGTCATGGTCATATCTTTATACGATGCATCAACTCAAATCAAATCAAATCTTATTGGCCACATGCGCCGAATACAACAGGTGCAGACATTACAGTGAAATGCTTACTTACAGCCCCTTAACCAACAGTGCATTTATAAAAAAAAAAAAAAAAATCATTCAGATGTTCATTGGCAAACTTCAGACGGGCCTGTATATGTGCTTTCTTGAGCAGGGGGACCTTGCAGACGCTGCAGGATTTCAGTCCTTCACGTCGTAGTGTTACCAAATCAAATCAAATCAAATTTTATTGGCCACATGCGCCGAATACAACAGGTGCAGACATTACAGTGAAATGCTTAATTACAGCCCTTAACCAACAGTGCAAATACAGTAAAAATAAAACAACAACAAAAAACGTGTTGAGAAAAAAAGAGCAGAAGTAAAATAAAATAACAGTAGGGAGGCTATATATACAGGGGGGTACCGGTGCAGAGTCAATGTGCGGGGGCACCGGCTAGTTGAGGTAGTTGAAGTAATATGTACATGTGGGCAGAGTTAAAGTGACTATGCATAAATTATTAACAGAGTAGCAGCAGCGTAAAAGGATGGGGTGGGGGGGGCAGTGCAAATAGTCCGGGTAGCCATGATTAGCTGTTCAGGAGTCTTATGGCTTGGGGGTAGAAGCTGTTGAGAAGTCTTTTGGACCTAGACTTGGCACTCCGGTACCGCTTGCCGTGCGGTAGCAGAGAAAACAGTCTATGACTAGGGTGGCTGGAGTCTTTGACAATTTTGAGGGCTTTCCTCTGACACCGCCTGGTATAGAGGTCCTGGATGGCAGGAAGCTTGGCCCCAGTGATGTACTTGGCCGTACGCACTACCCTCTGTAGTGCCTTGCGGTCGGAGGCCAAGCAGTTGCCATACCAGGCGGTGATGCAACCAGTCAGGATGCTCTCGATGGTGCAGCTGTAGAATTTTTTGAGGATCTGAGGACCCATGCCAAATCTTTTCAGTCTCCTGAGGGGGAATAGGCTTTGTCGTGCCCTCTTCACGACTGTCTTGGTGTGTTTGGACCATGATAGTTCGTTGGTCATGTGGACACCAAGGAACTTGAAGCTCTCAACCTGTTCCACTACAGCCCCGTCGATGAGAATGGGGGCGTGCTCAGTCCTCTTTTTTTTCCTGTAGTCCACAATCATCTCCTTTGTCTTGGTCACGTTGAGGGAGAGGTTGTTGTCCTGGCACCACACGGCCAGGTCTCTGACCTCCTCCCTATAGGCTGTCTCATCGTTGTCGGTGATCAGGCCTACCACTGTTGTGTCGTCGGCAAACGTAATGATGGTGTTGGAGTCGTGCCTGGCCATGCAGTCATGGGTGAACAGGGAGTACAGGAGGGGACTGAGCACGCACCCCTGAGGGGCCCCCGTGTTGAGGATCAGTGTGGCAGATGTGTTGTTACCTACCCTTACCACTTGGGGGCGGCCCGACAGGAAGTCCAGGATCCAGTTGCAGAGGGAGGTGTTTAGTCCCAGGATCCTTAGCTTAGTGATGAGCTTTGAGGGCACTATGGTGTTGAATGCTGAGCTGTAGTCAATGAATAGCATTCTCACGTAGGTGTTCCTCTTGTCCAGGTGGGAAAGGGCAGTGTGGAGTGCAATAGAGATTGTGTTGAGTGGATGCGTATGTTTGTGTGATTTCAGGTGAGAAAGAAAGGGAGGAAGGAAGGAAAAGAGAGATAAAATAAGACAGAGGATAGAGACATATCTCATAAAGTGACCCTTACCGGTGGCGGTACAGGCACGAGATCCTCATCCTCGGCCGACATGGGGGACAGTGCAGGGGTCCTCCTCAGGACGCCAGCCCCAGGATGGACCTTCCTGTGCGGGTTGGGACTGGGCTGGAGGGGTGTGGGCTGGAGCCTCTCCTGGTCCTTGGGGTTCTCCGGGGGCAAGGGGAATGACCCAGCCCCCCCTCCACCACCTCCACAACCAGACAGAGTCATGGAGCTCTCTGTAGAGACACGGACCCTCATGCTGCGTTTGAAGCGGTGGCGTTTGTGTGACGCCCCCGGGATCGACTGTTGCGGCTGTGGTTGCTGCTGGAGGGAGAGAGGAGGTAGAGGTAGGTAGTTGTCCCTATACCGACTGATTCAGGGTCAGATATGTTTTCACTCTCCCTAATGGTTATGGTTAGGAATTTTGGTGGGGTAAACTGATCCCAGATGTGGTTAAAGGTAGACTCTGCAAGGTGACATCATCTTTAAAAACTGGGATGACTTCCCACTTACAGCCATGTTGATGTTTCTAAGTCTATACCTCCAGCTGAAGGAAGCCAAGTAAACTGAATCAGGGTAAGATATTATTGGGGTGGGGTAAACTGTTCCTAGATCTGTTAAGGGTGACTACCTCGAGCTGGAGAAAGAGAGGGTTGATGAAGCAAAGAGACTCCTGTCTGCCGCGGGACAGCAGGTAACACAGGTCCTGGGACAGACCCGCCTTGACCTGGGTGGCACTGGTGGGCGGAGCCTTGGTGGTAATGGGTGGGGCATTGATGGTGGGTGGAGCCTGCAGGTCCCCAGGTCCATTCTGGGTGTCGGCGAGTGAACTCCAGAACTCTGTCGGGTTGTGGTGAAAAGAAGGAGAAGAAAAACTATGTTGCCCGGTAAAGATTCTGGTATGTAATGTTTTCATACTGTGGTGTTCAGAGGATAAGTCATTGATTCACGCCATAAAGAGATTGATATCCGGACACTTATAAGAAATCCCGCTATGCCCTCAGATGAACCATCAAACAGGCAAATCCTAAATACAGGATTAAGATTGAATCCTACTACACCGCTCTGACGCTCGTTGGATGTGGCAGAGCTTGAAAACTATTACGGACTACAAAGGGAAACCCAGCCGCGAGCTGCCCAGTGATGCGAGCCTACCAGATGAGCTAAATGCCTTTTATGCTCGCTTCGAGGCAAGCAACACTGAAGCATGCATGAGAGCACCAGCTGTTCCGGATGACTGTGTGATCACGCTCTCGGTAGCTGATGTGAGCAAGACCTTTAAACAGTTCAACATTCACAAAGCCGTGGGGCCAGACGGATTACCAGGACATGTACTCAAAGCACACGTGGACCAACTGGCAGGTGTCTTCACTGACATTTTCAACCTCTTCATGACCTATTCTGTAATACCTACATGTTTCAAGCAGACTACCATAGTCCCTGTGCCCAAGGAAGTGAAGGTAACCTGCCTAAATGACTACCGCCCCGTAGCACTCACGTAGGTAGCCATGAAGTGCTTTGAAAGGCTGGTCATGGCTCACATCAACACCATCATCCTGGAAACCCTAGACCCACTCCAATTCGCATACCGCTCCAACAGATCCACAGATGACGCAATCTCAATCACACTCCACACTGCCCTTTCCCACCTGGACAAAAGGAACACATACAGTGGGGAGAACAAGTATTTGATACACTGCCTATTTTGCAGGTTTTCCTACTTACAAAGCATGTAGAGGTCTGTAATTTTTATCATAGGTACACTTCAACAGTGAGAGACGGAATCTAAAAAATCCAGAAAATCACATTGTAGGATTTTTAAGTAATTAATTTGCATTTTATTGCATGACATAAGTATTTGATCACCTACCAACCAGTAAGAATTCCGGCTCTCACAGACCTGTTAGTTTTTCTTTAAGAAGCACTCCTGTTCTCCACTCATTACCTGTATTAACTGCACCTGCTTGAACTCGTTACCTGTATAAAATACATTTGTCCACACACTCAATCAAACAGACTCCAACCTCTCCACAATGGCCAAGACCAGAGAGCTGTGTAAGGACATCAGGGATACAATTGTAGACCTGCACAAGGCTGGGATGGGCTACAGGACAATAGGCAAGCAGCTTGGTGAGAAGGCAACAACTGTTGGCGCAATTATTAGAAAATGGAAGAAGTTCAAGATGACAGTCAATCACCCTCGGTCTGGGGCTCCATGCAAGATCTCACCTTGTGGGGCATCAATGATCATGAGGAAGGTGAGGGATCAGCCCAGAACTACACGGCAGGACCTGGTCAATGACCTGAAGAGAGCTGGGACCACAGTCTCAACGAAAACCATTAGTAACACACTACGCCGTCATGGATTAAAATCCTGCAGCGCACGCAAGGTCCCCCTGCTCAAGCCAGCGCATGTCCAGGCCCGTCTGAAGTTTGCCAATGACCATCTGGATGATCCAGAGGAGGAATGGGAGAAGGTCATGTTGTCTGATGAGACAAAAATAGAGCTTTTTGGTCTAAACTCCACTCGCCGTGTTTGGAGGAAGAAGAAGGATGAGTACAACCCCAAGAACACCATCCCAACTGTGAAGCATGGAGGTGGAAACATCATTCTTTGGGGATGCTTTTCTGCAAAGGGGACAGGACGACTGCACCGTATTGAGGGGAGGATGGATGGGGCCATGTATCGCGAGATCTTGGCCAACAACCTCCTTCCCTCAGTAAGAGCATTGAAGACGGGTCGTGGCTGGGTCTTCCAGCATGACAACGACCCGAAACACACAGCCAGGGCAACTAAGGAGTGGCTCCGTAAGAAGCATCTCAAGGTCCTGGAGTGGCCTAGCCAGTCTCCAGACCTGAACCCAATAGAAAATCTTTGGAGGGAGCTGAAAGTCCGTATTGCCCAGCGACAGCCCCAAAACCTGAAGGATCTGGAGAAGGTCTGTATGGAGGAGTGGGCCAAAATCCCTGCTGCAGTGTGTGCAAACCTGGTCAAGACCTACAGGAAACGTATGATCTCTGTAATTGCAAACAAAGGTTTCTGTACCAAATATTAAGTTCTGCTTTTCTGATGTATCAAATACTTATGTCATGCAATAAAATGCAAATTAATTACTTAAAAATCATACAATGTGATTTTCTGGATTTTTGTTTTAGATTCCGTCTCTCACAGTTGAAGTGTACCTATGATAAAAATTACAGACCTCCACATGCTTTGTAAGTAGGAAAACCTGCAAAATCGGCAGTGTATCAAATACTTGTTCTCCCCACTGTATGTGAGAATGCTGTTCATTGACTATAGCTCAGCATTCAACACCATAGTGCCCACAAAGCTCATCACTAAGCTAAGGACCCTGGAACCAAACACCTCCCTCTGCAACTGGATCCTGGACTTCCTGACGGGCTGCCCCCAGGTGGTAAGAGTAGGCAACAACACATCTACCACGCTGATCTTCAACACTGGGGCCCCTCTGGGGTGCATGCTTAGTCCCCTCCTGTACTCCCTGTTCACCCACGACTGCGCGGCCAAACACGACTCCAACACCATCATTAAGTTTGCTGACGACACAACAGTGGTAGGCCTGATCACCGACAATGATGAGACAGCCTATAGGGAGGAGGTCAGAGACCTGGCAGTGTGGTGCCAGGATAACAACCTCTCCCTCAATGTGAGTAAGACAAAGTCGCTGATCGTGGACTACAGGAAACGGAGGGCCGAACATTAACATCGACAGGGCTGTAGTGGAGCGGGTCGAGACTTTCAAATTCCTTGGTGTCCACATCACCAACAAACTATCATGGTCCAAACACATCCAAGACAGTCATGAAGAGGGCACGACAACACCTTTTCCCCCTCAGGAAACTGAAAAGATTTGTCATGGGTACCCAGATCCTCAAAAAGTTCTACAGCTGCACCATCGAGAGCATCCTGACCGGTTGCATCACCGCCTGGTATGGCAACTGCTCAGCATCAGACCGTAAGGCGCTACAGAGGGTAGTGCCTACGGCCTAGTACATCACTGGGGCCAAGCTTCCTGCCATCCAGGACCTATATGCTAGGCGGTGCAAGAGGAAGGCCCAACGTTTTTTAAAAGACTCCAGTCTCCCAAGTCATAGACTGTTCTCTCTGCTACCGCACCGCAAGCGGTACCGGAGCGCCAAGTCTAGGACCAAAAGGCTCCTTAACAGCTTCTACCCCCAAGCCATGGTCCTCTGTAGCTCAATTGGTAGAGCATGGCGCTTGTAACGCCAGGGTAGTGGGTTCGATCCCCGGGACAACCCATAGGTAAAAATGTATGCACACATGACTGTAAGTCGCTTTGGATAAAAGCGTCTGCTAAATGGCATATTAATATTATTAATATTATAAGACTGCTGAACAATTAATCAAATGGCCACACAGACTATTTACATTGACCCTCCCCCCCTTTGTTTTTACACTGCTGCTACTCGCTGTTTATCTATGCATAGTCACTGTACCCCTACCTACATGTACTAACCTGTACCCCTGCACATTGACTCGGTACTGGTACCACCTGTATATAGCCTCGTTATTGTTACTATTTAGTTTTACTTTAGTTTATTTAGTAAATAATTTCTTAACTCTTTCTTGAACTGCATTGTTGGTTAAGGGCTTGTAAGTAAGCATTTCACGGTAAGGTCTACACCTGTTGTATTCGGCGCATTTGACAAATAACATTTGATTTGATTTGATATTGAAGTGCTTTGAAGACCATTTCCTACTGTGCTAAACATTTAGGCCCAGTCCAGAAACAAGCCCTAGACACTTGTGTAGATCTGAATTAATTGAATAGGTATACAGTATGTTCCTTTTCTGTGGTTGAGACCCCATCCCAGTCTAATGTAATGCTCCAGATGTAGGATCTTAATTTGAGCCAGTTTGCTACAGCAGGAAAATAATCCTACAGCAACAGGAAATTTGAATTATTATGTGGATTATAATTAATGGACATTTTCTGTAGGGGTTGATACATTTTCCTTTGGGCAAATCAAGTCTGACATTTTAAAGTGGAAATTACAAACTTTAGAAGTCTTTTTAAACCTTGAATACACAACAAGTTTGCATTTCCTACATCTGTATGTTATAGATCCGTTGAATGAATCCCTACCTAATCCCATATGGGAGATGGCCTCCAGCTTCCTGTGGGTGGAGGCCTGAGCAATGGCTTCTGGGAGCTCCAGTGGAAAAGGCAGCACATCCCTGGAGACAACACACACATACTGTACTTATTTATTATCAAATAACACAGTGTGTGATAGTAGGCTGGAACAGCACAGGGTGCCCTGTTTTGTAATGGGAGTGCCATTACAGCGTATTTACAGTCTGTGGACAAAATAGACCAAAGCAGTGGCAGTGTTATTGACAGGTAGACGGGGGTAAAGGTAGTGGTAATCACCTGCTGATGCAGTAGAAGGCCACCAATCGGCAGAGGTCTGGGAAGCTGAGGGCGGAGCTCTCCAAGGCGAAGGCTGGTGATAGGACAGAGAGCGTTTGACACCAATCACAGCTTTGTAACATTTGGCAGCATCCTTCACAAACCCGGTTCAGGATAAAGTGACTAAGGGGGCAGTTGAAATCGGTGAGGGGGGACAGTTTTGGGGGGTTCTTGCATTGGAATTATTTAGATTTCTGCTTATATCACACTATACCATAATAAACATCAAGCTAAAATGCTGAGACTCCTAGACCATTGAGTGCTTTTGAAGTGACAGGTTGGCGTGAAATCTGTAGCCCATTTCCGCTGCGCTGTATCAGCACAATGGACAGCGCCCTACACACTAAAGCAAGGCCTATTTGGTAATGAATATAGGCTTCAAAATAGATAGGGTAATTCACCTATTTCAAACAGCGTGAATGCAGCCGAATACTAGTTTCTTACCACAGTGCAGTGCATTTCAAATGCACCTTGCTTGATGATGCCTAGTGAATCCTTTGGTACCATCAATAGAATTCTTCCAGTTAGAATACCCGCCTTGGGTTAAGGCCTTATCTGCGTTAGCATTTGACCCAACACAGAACTTTCGACATGAAAAAACAAAATGCCGCATCTGCAGTAACAGAGTACTCTAGCCACTCTCTTCCTATGAACCAGTTGCTATTAAATGAACGTTTTTGGACAGAAAACCTGCGGCTAGGGTAGGATTTTAGGCTAACCTGGGGTGGCTCCTCTGTCCCAAGATCGTCAGGAACAGTCGGGGAAGGGGGAGTGGGCTGTTCACATGGGCTCTTCACACGAAGCTAGCTGGAGCTCGGCAGCATCATCGCTGCTGGCGGCCTCGGTGGTTTGATTTCCGATATCCATCGTGGCAGTGGCAGCTTAGCTGGTTAGAGCTTTTGGGTAATAACACTAACGCCTTTTACAGCTAGCTAAGAAGCTAACTAAACTCTGTAGTGGTGGGACGTCAGGCAGAGTTGAGTGAAGGAGCTTCAACTGTAAACTTGTAAATCTAAATCTAATTTACAGGCGGAGACGTATCTTGTTTTTCACGTAGCCTACCACAGATGAGCAGCATTTTTTCACACTTTTTATGAAAACCCAAAGGAGTCATACCTAACCGCCCAGTGGCTTTTCATAGCCCTGATACAGCACAGATACAGATTTTGCGCCAACCTGTCACTCAATCATTTGAACTTTATTTTGCTATTTTTATCTAGGGACATAAAACTAAAACTGAGGTGGCAGAAGTTTAAATTGGGCTAAGCCCCCTTTTGCCCCCTCGTGGAGCCGGGCCCGATCCTTCATTGATTCACAGTGGATGTTGATCACATGCAGTACTGTGTGTGTTTGTAATTGAAACTGTTCAAGTGTTTTATTGATAGTTTAGAGCAGTGTTTCTCAACTCCAGTCCTCCAGTACCCCGAACAGTACAAATTAAAATGTTAGCCCTGGACAAGCACACCTAATTCAACTTGTCAATTAATCATCAATCCCTCAATGAGTTGAATCAGGTGTTTATCCAGGGCTTCAACAAAAATGTGTGCTATTAGGGGTACTCGAGGACTGGAGTTAAGAAACACTGGTTTAGAGTGTATGTGTGTGTTGACTTTAATGTACACAAGTGTTTCATTGTTAGTTTAGAGTGTTTGTGTGTGTTGATGTTGGTGTAGCCTACATGTATGCATCTGGTACTCACTTGAGTCTTCCTCACATATGAGACACTCCTTAATGGAGGATACTGATCGGTCTGCTGTCACTCGGACACACAACACCTTCCTCTGGCTGGAGCTGCACTTACGAACTAGGAACGTCTACACACAGGGGCCAGCCATAAACATTGACAAAGAGAACAATGTATGTTCTGTTAAACAAGTACTGATTGAACTGTTGGAACTGTCCAATTAGAGCGCTCAATAACAAGTAAGTAACAGTATGTCAAGGCTAAAGTTGGGTTTTATTAGGGTTCTTTGTGAACACTTGGGGTGAGGAACTGTACAATAGGTTCCTGACTGTCTTGTATACTACTCTATTGGAAAGCTATACTAAACAGATACAGTTCACCTGACAGTCTGGGTTAGTAAATTTATTAATGATGGAATGATCTGATTGGCTCTCCCCTCCTTACCCCGACAGGTTCTCTGAGCAGGATATAGAGGGCGGAGTCAGCATTGATGGATAGCTGCAGCCAGACGGGGTGTGTGTGGAGGAGGCGGTCCAACACACTGAAACTCCTCTGGGACCCTAAATCCCCCTGCATCTAGATAGAACACAGGAAGGGGTCAATGTCTAACACACAGACACACACACACACAGAGACACATACACACAATCTCTCTCGTCTCTTGTTTTTCCCTCTCTTCCTCTCTCTCAGAACTGCAGGCTGGATGTCACAGTGGTGACATTGTGTGGGCTGCCGAGAGCGTTGCGAGCATAGCAGCAGATGGTTGCCTTGGTTACCGAGGCCTACACATCCTACCAGGCATTCCCACTCAGTAAGAGCACCCCCCTCTCCCAACACGAGGAGATACACACCACACACACACACACACACACCAGGAGTGCAGGGAAACTGCTGGCAAGGTGAAGTCTTCTTTTTTATTTCTAGAAGGTATCATGACTTTCTCTCTTGCATACAAAACAAACAAAGTGTATTTATACCCAGTGTTTGATTGGTAATTCCTCTCCACTGGTTAACAACAATACAAAACCCTCCTCCCTCGTATCAGACAGTCAGTTGAGCTGCAGTTCTGAACAGGAATTAGTCTTTTGTTATTGTTTTCTTTGATGACTTGATGATGATAACATTAGTCAGAATAGGAGTCAGCCAAGTAGGAGACATCACTTAGAAACAAGGAAGATAACACAATGATCAAATGTTAATGTTGTCTAAACGCCTTTTTATAAAAGAAGAAATCTTCTCTAGTGAGAAACAAGTCTCAAATGACATTAAACACCATGATTAGCCGGAGGTATAATGAGAAAACAGCAGTATCATTCATAAAGGTGTCACTTTATCATCATAACCAACCTTTATTAATTTCTACCAACCTAATCACCTGCCTGAGGTCACCCATCTCTAGAGCCAGGAGTTTCTCCCAACCATAATACCGGACTAGGAAAAACTCCTGAACCTACTCAATTCCCTGGTCTTTACAAACTGATTTAACATGGTAATAGAAAACACACGAGACACACACACACACATACTGTGCCCTCTATGACTAACATAAACAACCTCCCACCTCCAGCGAGTGTGCAGGGCAGTGTAGGGGTCACCCATACTTACTTCCAGGTCTCCCTTACATAATACACAACACAGCCCCCACACACACACACAGACTTATGTAATGCCCAGAGAGGGAGAGAGAAAATGAGAGAGCAAGATAGAGAGCGAGAGATAAAAGCTGATAAACAATATCTCCAGGAAGAGAATGTAATTGCTTTTTGTCTTGTTTGACAGTTATTCTTACATAGTAAGACTTGTAAAGGAAAACATGTGTTATGGTCTTAAGGACAGGCAGGAGGCAAATGATAAGGTGCAAAAATTGTGGTTTCATCCACAAAGTAATGGTTGTGATGGTAGCAGTGATTATGGTAGATAAGAAATTCAGCAAAATAGGCAAAAAGGAATTACAAAAACAAGCAAAAGATTAACAAAACCTAACTTCTCCAAATAAATACAGTGAGGGAAAAAAGTATTTGATCCCCTGCTGATTTTGTACGTTTTCCCACTGACAAAGAAATTATCAGTCTATAATTTTAATGGTAGGTTTATTTGAACAGTGAGAGACAGAAAAACAACAAAAAAATCCAGAAAAACGCATTTCATAAATGTTATAAATTGATTTGTATTTTAATGAGGGAAATAAGTATTTGACCCCCTCTCAATCAGAAAGATTTCTGGCTCCCAGGTGTCTTTTATACAGGTAACGAGCTGAGATTAGGAGCACACTCTTAAAGGGAGTGCTCCTAATCTCAGCTTGTTGCCTGTATAAAATACACATGTCCACAGAAGCAATCAATCAATCAGATTCCAAACTCTCCACCATGGCCAAGACCAAAGAGCTCTCCAAGGATGTCAGGGACAAGATTGTAGACCTACACAAGGCTGGAATGGGCTACAAGAAGGTGACAACAGTTGGTGCGATTATTCGCAAATGGAAGAAACACAAAAAAAACTGTCAATCTCCCTCGTCCTGGGGCTCCATGCAAGATCTCACCTCGTGGAGTTGCAATGATAATGAGAACGGTGAGGAATCAGCCCAGAACTACACGGGAGGATCTTGTCAATGATCTCAAGGCAGCTGGGACCATAGTCACCAAGAAAACAATTCAACTATCCGGTGCCCCCGCACATTGACTCTGCACCTGTACCCCCCTGTATATATAGCCTCCCTACTGTTATTTTTTTTAGCTCTTTTTTTCTCAACACTTTTTATATTGTTGTTTTATTTTTACTGTATTTGCACTGTTGGTTAAGGGCTGTAAGTAAGCATTTCACTGTAATGTCTGCACCTGTTGTATTCGGCGCATGTGGCCAATAACATTTGATTTGATTTGATTTGATTTGATAACACACTACGACGTGAAGGACTGAAATCCTGCAGCGTCTGCAAGGTCCCCCTGCTCAAGAAAGCACATATACAGGCCCGTCTGAAGTTTGCCAATGAACATCTGAATGATTCAGAGGAGAACTGGGTGAAAGTGTTGTAGTCAGATGAGACCAAAATTGAGCTCTTTGGCATCAACTCAACTCGCCGTGTTTGGAGGAGGAGGAATGCTGCCTATGACCCAAGAACACCATCCCCACCGTCAAACATGAAGGTGGAAACATTATGCTTTGGGGGTGTTTTTCTGCTAAGGGGACAGGACAACTTCACCACATCAAAGGGACGATGGACGGGGCCATGTACCGTCAAATCTTGGGTGAGAACCTCCTTCCCTCAGCCAGGGCTTTGAAAATGGGTTGTGGATGGGTATTCCAGCATGACAATGACCCAAAACACACGGCCAAGGCAACAAAGGAGTGGCTCAATAAGAAGTACATTAAGGTCCTGGAGTGGCCTAGCCAGTCTCCAGACCTTAATCCCATAGAAAATCTGTGGAGGGAGCTGAAGGTTGAAGTTGCCAAACGTCAGCCTCGAAACCTTAATGACTTGGAGAAGATCTGCAAAGTGGAGTGGGACAAAATCACTCCTGAGATGTGTGCAAACCTGGTGGCCAACTACAAGAAACGTCTGACCTCTGTGATTGCCAACAAGGGTTTTGCCACCAAGTACTAAGTCATGTTTTGCAGAGGGGTCAAATACTTATTTCCCTCATTAAAATGCAAATCAATTTATAACATTTTTTACATGCGTTTTTCTGGATTTTTTTGTTGTTATTCTATCTCTCACTGTTCAAATAAACCTACCATTAAAATAATAGACCGATCATGTCTTTGTCAGGGGGCAAACGTACAAAATCAGCAGGGGATCAAATACTTTTTTCCCTCACTGTAATTAAAAAACTATGTATGGCCTAAGAAACAGGCTATGGGTAGGGTACTAGGGGGTAACCTTAAGATAAATAATCCACAATTTTTTAAATAATTTTTGAGTAAAGTAGTAATATGGCCCCTGGTGGATAGTTACCCCTTCATGGTTATGAATGTGTTTCAACCTGTCATTTAGACAATGACTAGTCCAGTTAGTGCTAGTTTATGCTAACTTCCTAGCTAGCAACTTTACTAGCAGTAAATGCTAGCCAGCTAGCTAGTTACCATAAGCTGCTAGGAGTGCTAGCTAGCAACCATACTACCAGATTGTCTGAGGTAAAATACATTAAAAAGATAATGTAACTTAATTGCAGTTGTAACTGTTTCCACTAGTGACTGATAGCTTTACAGTTAATGTTACTTTATAGCCTTTTAACTATTTTACACAGCATTTTATGTCATATAGCTAGATAGCTAGCTACATTTTTAAGAGCTAGCTTTTCAATTGGCATATCCCCCCCTTTCAGTCACAGGTGGGGAAGGCCCTCAAAATTGTCAAAGACTCCAGCCACCCTAGTCATAGATTGTTCTCTCTGCTACCGCACGGCAAGCGGTACCGGAGTGCCAAGTCTAGGTCCAAAAGACTTCTCAACAGCTTCTACCCCCAAGCCATAAGACTCCTGAACAGCTAATCATGGCTACCCAAACTATTTGCACTGCCCCCCCACCCCCACCCCACCCCATCTTTTTACGCTGCTGCTACTCTGTTAATTATTTATGCATAGTCACTTTAACTCTACCCACATGTACATATTACCTCAACTACCTCAACTAGCCGATGCCCCCGCACATTGACTCTGCACCGGTACCCCCCTGTATATAGCCTCCCTACTGTTATTTTATTTTACTTCTGCTCTTTTTTTCTCAACACTTTTTTGTTGTTGTTTTATTTTACTTTTTTTATTAAAAAATAAATGCATTGTTGGTTAAGGGCTGTAAGTAAGCATTTCACTGTAATGTCTACACCTGTTGTATTCGGCGCGTGTGGCCAATAACATTTGATTTGATTTGATTAGGTGTGAGCAGTGCAGGAGGTGGGCTAATTTCTCTCCCTCATGAAGAGGATAATGAAAGTTCACAGAAGTAACAAGTAATGGTAGACCTGTGATTTTACTGATATCAATTTTGTTTATGTATTATTAAGTGATTAAAAACAAATTGGTAATGAAATTACCAAAAATTCAGTAACGGAAATACTGCAACTGAATTGGCTACAATGGGAAATCATATTTTTTTTTACAAACCACAGTTAGTTCAACTGCTACTGTCCTCCAGTGTTAATTTTGGCACTCTTTTTTAGATTTAGTCTAGTCTTAGTCATTTTGACTAAAATATCATAAAGTATTTTTGTCATTAAGACATTTTTGTCATTTGAATAATGATTTAGTCTAGTTAGTGTCAAAATGATAAAAACAGTGGGCCATTTTAGTCAACTAAATGCCCTTTATTTTTAGTCACATCACATTTGCATTGCCTCATGAACCTACAGTGCATTCGGAAAGTATTCAGACCCCTTGACTTTTTCCACATTTTGTTATGTTACAGCCTTATTCTAAAATGGATTAAATTGTTTTTTTCCCACTCATCAATCTACACACAATACCCTGTAATGACAAAGAAAAAACTGGTTTCTAGAAATTTCAGCAAATATATAAAAAAAAAAAAACTGAAATATCACATTTACATAAGTACTCAAAACCTTTTTCTCAATACTTTGTTGAAGCACCTTTGGCAGCGATTACAGCATTGAGTCTTCTTGGGTATGACGCTACAAGCTTGGCACATCTGTATTTGGGGAGTTTCTCCCATTCTTCTCTGCAGATCCTGTCAAGCGCTGTCAGGTTGGATGGGGAGCGTCGCTGCACAGCTATTTTCAGGTCTCTCAAGAGATGTTCGATTGGGTTCAAGTCCGGGCTCTGGCTGGGCCACTCAAGGACATTCAGAGACTTGTCCCGAAGCCACTCCTGCATTGTCTTGGCTGTGTGCTTAGGGTCATTGTCCTGTTGGAAGGTGAACCTTTGCTTCAGTCTGTCCTGAGCGCTCTGGAGCAGGTTTTCATCAAGGATCTCTCTGTACTTTGCGCCGTTCATCTTTCCCTCCATCCTGACTAGTCTCCCAGTCCCTGCCGCTGAAAAACATCCCCACAGTATGATGCTGCCACCACCATGCTTCACCATAGGGATGGTGCCAGGTTTCCTCCTGACGTGACGCTTGGCATTCAGGCCAAAGAGTTCAATCTTGGTTTCATCAGACCAGAGAATCTTGTTTCTCATGGTCTGATAGTCCTTTAGGTGCCTTTTGGCAAACTCCAAGCGTGCTGTCATGCGCCTTTTACTAAGGAGTGGCTTCCGTCTGGCCACTCTACCATAAAGGCCTGATTGGTGGAGTGCTGCAGAGATGGTTGTCCTTCTGGAAGGTTCTCCCATTTCCACAGAGGAACGCTGAAGCTCTGTCAGAGTAACCATCGGGTTCTTGGTCACCTCCCTGACCAAGGCCCTTTTCCCCGATTGCTCAGTTTGGCCGGGCGGCTAGCTCTAGGAAGAGTCTTGGTGGTTCCAAACTTCTTCCATTTAAGAATGATGGAGGCCACTGTGTTCTTGGGACCTTCAATGCTGCAGAAATTCATGTCCAATCAATTGAATTTACCACAGGTGGACTCCAATCAAGTTGTAGAAACATTTCAAGGATGATCAATGGAAACAGGATGCATCTGAGCTCAATTTCGAGTCTCATAGCAAAAGGTCTGAATACTTATGTAAATAAGGTATCTGTTTTTATTTTTTTATAAAGTTGCAAAAATTTCTAAAAATAACCTGTTCTCTTCCCAACAGGAAAAATATGACAAACATAGAATATATAAGAATTATCTGGCCATGTAAATTCCTAATTCAGCCTACATAGATATTGCACATTACATACAAAACAAACGGGCACACACAAGCGCAGAGAGACAGAGAAACAGAGAGACAGAGAGAGAGAGAGAGAGAGTACCACAATCACCAGATGGTATTGGCAAAGTAGTATGGGGTTGCACCTCCGTCACTCGGTCACGTCATTGCCATTGTTATCACCGTTCCACAGACGCCGCAGCCACATTGGTGTCCAAAAGTAGAACGGGAGCTAATGACTGTTTCACACAGTGAGTGCTGTAGTCGAGTCACTCATCCTACAGTCCGAATTGAGTCCCAATGGTTGGGTCACAAGTCCCTATGGCTGAAGTCCCAGTGCTCGAGTCCTGGGCCACGTGCTCAAGTCTGAGTCACTGGATCCACATTAACTAAAAAAAAGTGATTGTGGTACTACCAGTCAGATATAGTGTAGTGGCAAGGGGAATGTAGTCAAAAATGTGTGCCACCAATGTTTGCATATAGACTACTGGTAATGTTACCTGGGCCATGTTCTGTTGCAAAACGTTCTCGAACGTTGCACATAGAAATTCCATGAAGAGCCAACGTTATTCCTTATTCAACATGTCAGAGGCATGTTTGTTCTACATACAGTGAGGGGAAAAAGTATTTGATCCCCTGCTGATTTTGTACGTTTGCCCACTGACAAAGAAATGATCAGTCTATAATTTTAATGGTAGGTGTATTTGAACAGTGAGAGACAGAATAACAACAACAAAATCCAGAATAATGCATGTCAAAAATGTTATAAATTGATTTGCATTTTAATGAGGGAAATAAGTATTAGATCCCCTCTCAATCAGAAAGATTTCTGGCTCCCAGGTGTCTTTTATACAGGTAACGAGCTGAGATTAGGAGCACACTCTTAAAGGGAGTGCTCCTAATCTCAGTTTGTTACCTGTATAAAAGACACCTGTCCACAGAAGCAATCAATCAATCAGATTCCAAACTCTCCACCATGGCCAAGACCAAAGAGCTCTCCAAGGATGTCAGGGACAAGATTGTAGACCTACACAAGGCTGGAATGGGCTACAAGACCATCACCAAGCAGCTTGGTGAGAAGGTGACAACAGTTGGTGCGATTATTCGCAAATGGAAGAAACACAAAATAACTGTCAATCTCCCTCGGCCTGGGGCTCCATGCAAGATCTCACCTCGTGGAGTTGCAATGATCATGAGAATGGTGAGGAATCAGCCCATAACTACACGGGAGGATCTTGTCAATGATCTCAAGGCAGCTGGGACCATAGTCACCAAGAAAACAATTGGTAACACACTATGCCGTGAAAGACTGAAATCCTGCAGCGCCCGCAAGGTCCCCCTGCTCAAGAAAGCACATATACAGGCCCGTCTGAAGTTTGCCAATGAACATCTAAATGATTCAGAGGAGAACTGGGTGAAAGTATTGTGGTCAGATGAGACCAAAATGGATCTCTTTGGCATCAACTCAACTCGCCGTGTTTGGAGGAGGAGGAATGCTGCCTATGACCCAAGAACACCATCCCCACCGTCAAACATGGAGGTGGAAACATTATGCTTTGGGGGTGTTTTTCTGCTAAGGGGACAGGACAACTTCACCGCATCAAAGGGACGATGGACGGGGCCATGTACCGTCAAATCTTGGGTGAGAACCTCCTTCCTTCAGCCAGGGCATTGAAAATGGGTAGTGGATGGGTATTCCAGCATGACAATGACCCAAAACACATGACCAAGGCAACAAAGGAGTGGCTCAAGAAGAAGCACATTAAGGTCCTGGAGTGGCCTAGCCAGTCTCCAGACCTTAATCCCATAGAAAATCTGTGGAGGTAGCTGAACGTTCGAGTTGCCAAACGTCAGCCTCAAAACCTTAATGACTTGGAGAAGATCTGCAAAGAGGAGTGGGACAAAATCCCTCCTGAGCTGTGTGCAAACCTGGTGGCCAACTACAAGAAACGTCTGACCTCTGTGATTGCCAACAAGGGTTTTGCCACCAAGTACTAAGTCATGTTTTGCAGAGGGGTCAAATACTTATTTCCCTCATTAAAATGCAAAATCAATTTATAACATTTTTGACATGCGTTTTTCTGGATTTTGTTGTTGTTATTCTGTCTCTCACTGTTCAAATAAACCTACCATTAAAATTATAGACTGATCATGTCTTTGTCAGTGGGCAAACGTACAAAATCAGCAGGGGATCAAATACTGTTTTCCCTCACTGTAGCATATTTATATCTGAACATTCCAAAACGTTTCCTCCTGCTGAACACTCCCCAGATTGTTAGCTATAGCTAGCTAATGAGGTAACATGACTGATGAACAAGGTGTAGCCTAAACAAATGGTTAACGGTCCGGTGCGCAAGTAGCCAAGTTTTAGGGAGAGAAAAACATAGCTAGACCATTGTTTTACTATTAAACTCAATGCTGCTATTGTTTTTAATTTTATAAAGCTGCTTGTGTTTCTTAACCAGGCAAAGGCTAGAAGGCCTGGAATGCTTTTCCAACAGTCTTGAAGCAGTTCCCACATATGCTGAGCACTTGTTGGCTGCTTTTCCTTCACTCTGTGGTCCGACTCATCCTAAACCATCTCAATTGGATTGAGGTCGGGGGATTGTGGAGGCAGCACTCCATCACTCTCCGTCTTGGTAAAATAGCCCTTACACAGCCTGGAGGTGTGTTTGATCATTGTCCTGTTGAAAAACAAATGATAGTCCCACTAAGCCCAAACCAGATGGGATGGCGTATCGCTGCAGAATGCTGTGGTAGCCATGCTGGTTAAGTGTGCCTTGAATTCTAAATAAATCACAGACAATGTCATCAGCAAAGCACCCCCACACCATAGCACCTCTTCCTCCATGCTTTACAGTGGGAAATACACAAACGGAGATAATCCATTCAACCACACCGTGTCACAAAGACACGGCGGTTGGAACCAAAAATCTCAAATTTGGACTCATTTCCACCGGTCTAATATCCATTGCTCATGTTTCTTTGCCCAAGCAAGTCTCATCTTATTATTGGTGTCCTTTAGTAGTGGTTTCTTTGCAGCAAATCGACCATGAAGGCCTGATACACACAGTATCCTCTGAAAAGTTGATGTTGAGATGTGTCTGTTACTTGAACTCTGTGAAGCATTTATTTGGGCTGCAATTTCTGAGGCTGGTAACTCTAATGAACTTATCCTCTGCAGCAGAGGTAACTCTGGGTCTTCCATTCCTGTGGCAGTCCTCATGAGAGCCAGTTTCATCATAGCGCTTGATGGCTTTTGCGACTGCACTTGAAGAAACGTTCAAAGTTCTTGAAATGTATTGACCGTATTGACTGACCTTCATATGTTAAAGTAATGATGAACTGTCATTTCTCTTTGCTTATTTGAGCTGTTCTTGCCATAATATGGACTTAGTCTTTTACCAAATAGGGCTATCTTCTGTATACCCCCCTACCTTGTCACAACACAACTGATTGGCTCAAACGCATTAAGAAGGAAAGAAATTCCACAAATTAACTTTTAAGAAGGCACACCTGTTAATTGAAATGCATTCCAGGTGACTACCTCATGAAGCTGGTTGAGAGAATGCCAAGAGTGTGCAATGCTGTCATCAAGACAAAGGGTGGCTATTTGAAGAATCTTAAATATATTTTGATTTGTTTAACACTTTTGTGGTTACTACATGATTCCATGTGTTATTTCATAGTTTTGATGTCTTCACTATTATTTTAAAATGTAAAAAATAGTAAAAATAAAGAAAAACCCTTGAATGAGTGGGTGTGTCCAAACTTTTGACTGGTAGTGTACGTTTCACAAGTTTGGATAGCACAGTACAGTGAGCAGAGCACAGTAGAGCACAGTACAATACAGTACAGTAGTACAATACAGTAGAGTAAAGAAAAGTAGAATATAGTACAGTACATTGTACTGTACTCTACTGAACTATACTCTGCTGTATTGTACTGCACTGTACTCTACTGTGATGTCCAAACTTGTGAAACATGAGGAGAATGAAATTCATATCCATAATTATGCATTTCTTTGTAGTACAGATCAGGGAGCCATGATGTAATTCTGTTACCGTAATTCCGTTAACGATTGTAAATCCACTTCACTTACTGTAGTTCAATAGCCATAATAGATATTTAACAGAGTTTTTGGGAAACGTGGTCTCATAAAAACCTGAGGGAGATTTTACCATAATTCCATTACCAAAGTTGGCATCTGTACAGCTCTTCTACTAAATTTGTTTTTGTGAATGTTTTATTGGAAATTGTTAAACGTAGTCCTTGTGCATAGAGATTTGTTAAACTTTAAAATCATTTTTTTTTGTTTGGCATACATTTGAAAGTGAAATAAAAACAGAGTCAGAGCGTAAATCCGTTACCGTGGAATTGCTCTACTCACAGACGCTATAATGGCACAGATACAAAGATGAGTCCTCCTTCTATCTCTAAGGCATGTTGTTCACACGTGTATCTGCCCTCTCATTGGCTAGAATGGTCCTATAATGATCTCGCCTCCTTGTATTTCCATTGGTAGAGCGGTCACTTGACTATCTTGTCAACATAATAGATAGTCTTTGGGTATGTTCTCAACTGGCTTACCTGGTTAAATAAAGGTGAGAAAATAAATTAAAAATGTTTGCTCTGTTTGGTGGGTGTGGCATGAAGCAGTGATGTATTTAAAGGGCAGCGGCCATGCTGACAGCATTCCTCAACCCCTACCCGTTTTTCAACTGGTTGTTCAGAACGGCACCTTTTCTGTTTAAATGAATGTTGCACACCATTTTTTTCATACTGAACGCAGCCAAGGTAAGAATACATCTTTAAAAATTGTCGAACTAAATGCATGAACTGAAGGAAATAATTTAACTCGAATTACACAGCTAATTGGGGGCACTTGCTAGCAATAATGGGACTACTTAGCAGTTGCAGTACACAACATGTCTACAACTAGTAGAAAAGTCAGGACGTCACAATTTACCCAAACGCACACTGCAAGAACGCATGCTGCCATTACAAGACTGGGCTGTAATTTAAGTAAAAGACTCAAAAATTGAGTCTAGTTCACTGAAGCCTTCCTCATGTCATGTTGCATTAACACAAATTAATCTATCATGACAAGACCTGATTCAAATTCCAAGGGCCTACATTAAAGCATTCAAGTTTATCACTTGTAAGCTTTGGTCTATATCAATTGTAATCCACAGAGAACAGTGACAAGGCCACAGAATCCACTTAAAGAGATTTTCCCCCTCTTTAACAGTGGGTGACAGGAGGACAGAAGCCAGCATGATGTACTGTAGTAGTACTAGAGAAGTTTGGTACAGTATGCAGAGAGCTTGCTTGCTAACAAGGAAGTGGAGATGAGGGAGAATAGGCGAGGAGGATAGAGAGTCTTGAGGTGGATGAAAGAAAGTGGCAGGCCTGGTAGGGCAGACCCCTGGGGAAGCAAGAAGTAGAGCGATAGAGTGATATCTGTGTCTGTCTACAGCATCACAGAGAGAGAGAGAGAGAGAACAAGGCCTTTAGTCTGAAAGTGGGCAGCAGTGACAGCGGAGGAGAGAGAGAGAGAGAGAGAGAGAGAGAGAGAGAGAGAGAGAGAGAGAGAGAGAGAGAGAGAGAGAGAGAGAGAGAGAGAGAGAGAGAGAGAGAGAGAGAGATAGAGCGAGAGGATAGCTATCTAGAGATATAGAGACTAGTAGATGAGTAGTAGCTCTATAGAGATACGATAGATATATATAGAGAAGAAAATAAGAAACCTTGCAAGCAAAAACCTTACATTTGTGTGAATGTCAGGCATGGAGAATACAGTTAACAGACAGTAGAGGAGGGAGAGACTTGAATGTATTTACAGTATATTGGAATAGAGTGGACCATTGCACTAGGTAGAAGTGGCTGGTTGTATTGTTCTGGAACTCTGACATTTGGACTGTTTAAAGAGTAGATTCTAGAATACATTGTTACTTTATGATGATTGAGAATATATTCTGAATAACAATGCAGGCTTTCTAATGTCTGGGGGATGATAATAGCAAAGTAATCCGTGTAGTATGGAGAGGGCAAAGACAGAAACCGCTCGTCAGAATAGGGATGTGCTACATGATCTGTAGATCCTCAGACATCATTGGATGTCATCACTTTCTGTATATAAAAGCCAATGATGTCAAAAGCTATATATAGAAATAATTGCAAAGTAAGGTTGTGGAGTGAAACCATTCAATGTGACTAATGCAAGTGGATAATTGCTGTGTGAATCTATTGTGTGGGGGCACAGGGGTCCTTCAGACAGGTTTCTGTTTGAGTGGCTGTAAAGAGCTGTTGTTCGGGAGTTTTGAGGGTAAGAGAGAGAGAGAGAGAGAAGACGAGAGAGAGCGCAGAGAGACCGAGAGAGAGAGAGAGAGAGAGATGATATAGCTGAATAGCTCTCTCTGCCTCTATCTCGCTTCTCTCTCTCTCTCTGACTCTCTCTCAGTCTCGCTCCTGTCCCTCTCTCTCTCGCTCTTTTTCCCCGCTCTCTCCTCTCGGCTTTGTTCCCCGCTCTTCTCTCTCTCTGTGGTTGCCCCCGCTTCTCTCGCTCTGAGAGATTTTTGGGGCCCTGTCTAGAGATGGGGTCTCATTAGAGAGAGATATGAGAAAAGGTGAGCGGAACCTAGAGTGGATAGCTGCAAATTAGCTTGGGGACGAAAAGAGATTGGGGAACACATGCAGGTGTGGGGCAGTTCTCTCCTGTTGCGCCCCTGGCTCGCTCTCGTTGGGGTGGGGCCCTGGGCCGCTGGCTGGTTCTTGGGTGGATCGTGCATTTGGTACCTTTTTTCCCCCTTTTTATCCCCTTTTTGGGGCCAATTTTGGGTTTCTTTTTTTCCCCTTATAATAATTTGGGATTAAAGCATAATTAATAAATTAATTATTGAAATTTGAAACTTTCCTTCTAACATGGTATTTCAAATGTGTGAAGGTTAATTGGGTAAGGTTGGATGGGGTGAGGGATAGAAGTGGAAATGCCTGCATGGGGGATGGCTAAACATTGGTTGGTGAATGCAAGGGTTGGGATAGTTTAGTGGAAGGTAGGAGGGGGTTGGTGGGCAGGGGTCGGTGGAGCTTAGGGTTGAGCGAGTGGGTAGGGAGTGGAAGCCGAGAGAGATAGCTGAGCGCTCGAGAATAGGCGGCATAAGAGAGCGTCAGAGCGCTGTGGTTCCGCCGCTTCGCTTCTTCGTCCCCTTTCTCTTAGTCTTTTTGTTTTCTCTGTCACTTTTGCCCCTTCGCGCCCTCTTTGTTCGTCCATTTCGCCTGGCCTTTGGTTCACCCTGATGTTGCACTGTGGGTGAGGACGTATTGGGGGCTGGGAGAAATGAGATGTGTGGGGGACGTAGAGAGTCGGAAGTGGATTTTGGAACAGGGTGGAACCGGGGGGTGTTGAACAGGGGGGGGGGTGCGAGAGAATGGGTGGTGCCTGCTATTTGGCGATCTGGGCGCGCACACTGGTAGGAGACTGTTGGGGGGAAACGGGTAGTAGGGTGTCCGGATGCGAGGTCTGCCCGGGGAGTGAGGTTTGGGCTCGGGAAGTGGGCCGGGTTTGTTGTGTGGTGTTGTGCATGTATGTCGCGCGGGGACTGTGTGTCCCATAGGCGGGGGTGCCATTCGTCTAACATGGACTTTGCTGTAATTTAGAGAGAGAGAGAGTGAGAGAGAGGGAAAGAGAGAACGGTAAGGAGGCAGGCAGCAGTAGCAGAATGAGTCAGACCATCGCTGTGGGAGAAGTAGCGAGGAGAGGAGAGCTGTTAGCATAACTGTGAATATTCATAATTTTAGCCCTGAAATGGCCAACGGACAAGACAGTGATTCAGATCAGCCAGGAACAATGATGATAAGTACCCAACTCCATTTCAGCTTATCTCATCAGATCAACAGTTAAACCTGCATCGATTGCTGGCTAACGTCTGTTATACCGATCATGTATGTTGGTGAGTGAGTGTCAATGTTCTTTATCAAGAGAAACTCATAACAGCTTATGATGTGTAGACTATACATTTTCATGTGCACTGATGTAAGATCAGATTTTCTTTCTGTCCAACGACTGAGGTAGTTATAAACTGGTCCTGGATCAGTGAAGACAGCTCCCTCTGCAGTCGTTACAGAACCTAGAAACTAGGGCTGACCCAAATTAGTTGACTGGTCGATTGTTTGGTCGTTAGGCTATTGGTCAACCGAGATTGTATATATATCTCAGTGAACTAATCCATTGCGGAGACTAAAAGCCAATTTATGCTTGATCTGAAAATGTGGTCGGAGGCTCCATTTGGAGGGTATCACACCCTCCAAATGGAGCCTCCGACCAAATTTTCAGATCAAGCATAAATTGGCTTTTAGTCTAAGCCTCCAGAGGCATGCAGAGGCCAAATTGAGCTCCGTACCGCATCGCCATGCGCCTCCCAAATTTTGGAACAATGCAGAGGGCTCTTTATAGCTCCGCATTGACATGATTGGTTGACTGTAGGTGGGGGCGGTACATCCTGTATAAACACAAACTCACATCCTTGACAACAGCTCTGCACTGCTCCACGAAGCGCAAGAAGTATGAATTCCCTTACTTCTGCTGAGGCCATATCGCCATAAATGCTACATGGCCGATGCAGAGGTCGGATTGACCATGCGCCCAGATGCAATGTACTTCTCTCTCCCGCCAATTTGTGCACATTCATTGTTTCATAACTTCATTGTGTGAATTGTTTGCGTTTGATTGTTAGTGTATATCAATTCCCCATTACATATATCGGCAGTAGTACATTTACCGTTAATTCCTATAATTTCTAATCTACAATGTTTGTTACTTTGGTTACGATAATTAGTTTTAATGCATTCAATATTATTATTCCCGTTCTCATTGTCAGAGTGGACACATTGTTTGCAGAGTGCACAACCTATGCTACACTTGTGAGAAACATGTTTTGGTTTATTTCCTTCCATTTATGAGTTTTGTCAATTTAGTCATTGTCTTTTGTTTGGAGCGTTCCTATCAATGTTGAGTAAGGACTCGCAAGCATAGAAGTAGGCCTATAGGCTACCTGGCCTGTGCGCAAATGTAGGCATATAAATGTACCCATTTGGGGATCTGATAGTATTTCTGATTGGCTTAACGCACCATAACTATACCTGTGGAGCTTCTCAAAGTAATGTTTTCTTCACCTCAAGCAGCAAGCAAACAAAGTCTGTTTTTACATTAATTGAGAATTACAATAGTTCCTCAATGTGTAGAAAGAGGAGGAAGGGAAGCACTACTAAGGTACACAATAGTAAATGTTGGTAGACAGAAGGTGCTCTTTGGTCAAAGGGGTGAATTGGTCATCAAAAAGAAAGGATGACCAAGGCACTCTTCATATAATGAATTAAAATGCCTTTATTAGTATGGCATGTTCAATAGAAACAAGTTTTTTTTTTAAATCTGACGCGTTTCGGCTGCATGGCCTTCGTCAGGGAGTACAAAGAAATAATACAATTTCCTCTTCTGAACAGCTTTTGCAATTAGCCCTAATTTGAAGAGGGAGTGGTTACAAAGTTGATTGGACACACCTAGTAAGCAATACTATACACATTAAAAAGTGAAATACTGTAACTATGTTATCATACAAATACAACTCCAAGTTAGAAGTATCAGAACACTTAAAAAGGTAGTTCTAACCTAAAATATGACTGGGAAAAGTGTCAAAAATAAGAAAGCAATATATTCCATAGTACACTAGAAACCAGCAAAACATGAACAACAACAGTCTAAACATAGCTGAGGGCAATTGAGCACAATGTCCACTAGATGACAGCAAATGGACCTATCACAACCCTACAGGAAGGGTGAGAAATCCATATCTTCATTTAAATCAGGGTATTTAGTGGCCTGTAGTTTGTAAATCCAAAAACTTTCCCTTTGGTTTAACTGTTTAAGACGGTCCCCTTTTCTAATAGAGGCCGGAATATGATCAATACCCATAGCTTGTAGGGAGGCAGGGTTACCATGGTGTAAGGACTTGTAGTGCCTTGCCATGGGGTAGTCTTCATTGCCTACCCATATGGCATACTTGTGTTCCGCTAAGCGGTCTTGAAGGTGTCTCTTTGTCCGTCCAATGTAGAACACCTTGCACTGTGGACATTCCAATCTATAGATAACATGAGTGGTTTTGCAGTTAATGAAATGCTTGACGTAATACTCCATTTTGGAAGCTGTGTCAACAAAATACTTTTTCTGTGCAATATTTCTGCAATGGTTGCCCTGGTTACATTTAAAAGAGCCCTTGGGTTTGTGGTCAAGCCAAGTTTTTTTGAGAGTCACCCGGAAGATAACTGTGGACTAATTTGTCATTTAGGGTAGGACATCTCTTAAAGCTTATGACTGGTGGCTCTGGGAAGACTTGGCGCAGTAGCGTATCACTTTAGATGATTCCCCAATTATTTTTAATGATTATTTTAATGTTCTCTGCTTCAGTGCTGTATTTTGTAACAAAATACACTCTCTCTGATGTATCACGAGGCACTCCCCTTCGCAACAAGTTCTCTCTGTCAAGTAATCCAGCCCTTATACCTGCATCTTTCAAGGCCCCGATTCAAGAAGCGATTCTCCAATTCAGCAGATTTGACACTGTAGTCTGTTTCCTGATCGCAAATTCTGCGGACTCTTTGGAATTGGCCATATAGAATATTCTCTTTTAGCCTTTTGGGGTGAAAGCTGTCTGCCCTCAGAATGGAATTCCCATCTGTAGGCTTCCTAAATATTGATGTGTGCAAACAACCTTTGTCATTTGTACTAATGTCGAGGTCCAAAAAATGAATGTTATCCTTGCTGTACTCCATAGTTAGTTTGATGTTAGGATTAATGCTGTTAAGGTATTGGTGGAAGGAAATAAGTTCGTCTTCTGAGCCGGACCAAAACAGGCAAACATCATCAATATAGCGTCCCCACCATATAATCCGGTCAAAGAAATGGTTATTAGAAGGATCCAAAATGAAGTCATTTTCCCATTTACCCAAGTACAAACCAGTGTAGGAAGGGCTATAGCAAGCTCCCATGGCACATCCTTTGACCTGTTTAAAAATACGGTCCTGAAAGATAAAGATGTTATGATTAAGAGTCCATTCAGTCAGTGAGACAATGAATTCTGTAGGAGGCATCTCAGTTTCAGGTCGGGGACTCAAGAAATGGTGCATAGCTGCCAAACCTTGTTCATGTTCAATGGTGGTGTATAGAGACTCCATATCCATGGTGACTAAAAAGGAAGCTGTACCTACAGTGGGGGAAAAAAGTATTTAGTCAGCCACCAATTGTGCAAGTTCTCCCACTTAAAAAGATGAGAGAGGCCTGTCATTTTCATCATAGGTACACGTCAACTATGACAGACAAATTGAGAATTTTTTTCTCCAGAAAATCACATTGTAGGATTTTTAATTAATTTATTTGCAAATTATGGTGGAAAATAAGTATTTGGTCACCTACAAACAAGCAAGATTTCTGGCTCTCACAGACCTGTAACTTCTTCTTTAAGAGGCTCCTCTGTCCTCCACTCATTACCTGTATTAATGGCACCTGTTTGAACTTGTTATCAGTATAAAAGACACCTGTCCACAACCTCAAACAGTCACACTCCAAACTCCACTATGGTCAAGACCAAAGAGCTGTCAAAGGACACCAGAAACAAAATTGTAGACCTGCACCAGGCTGGGAAGACTGAATCTGCAATAGGTAAGCAGCTTGGTTTGAAGAAATCAACTGTGGGAGCAATTATTAGGAAATGGAAGACATACAAGACCACTGATAATCTCCCTCGATCTGGGGCTCCACGCAAGATCTCACCCCGTGGGGTCAAAATGATCACAAGAACGGTGAGCAAAAATCCCAGAACCACACAGGGAGACCTAGTGAATGACCTGCAGAGAGCTGGGACCAAAGTAACAAAGCCTACCATCAGTAACACACTACTCCGCCAGGGACTCAAATCCTGCATTGCCAGACGTGTCCCCCTGCTTAAGCCAGTACATGTCCAGGCCCGTCTGAAGTTTGCTAGAGTGCATTTGGATGATCCAGAAGAGGATTGGGAGAATGCCATATGGTCAGATGAAACCAAAATATAACTTTTTGGTAAAAACTCAACTCATCATGTTTGGAGGACAAAGAATGCTGAGTTGCATCCAAAGAACACCATACCTACTGTGAAGCATGGGGGTGGAAACTTCATGCTTTGGGGCTGTTTTTCTGCAAAGGGACCAGGACGACTGATCCGTGTAAAGGAAAGAATGAATGGGGCCATGTATCGTGAGATTTTGAGTGAAAACCTCCTTCCATCAGCAAGGGCATTGAAGATGAAACGTGGCTGGGTCTTTTTAGCATGACAATGATCCCAAACACACCTCCCGGGCAACGAAGGAGTGGCTTCGTAAGAAGCATTTCAAGGTCCTGGAGTGGCCTAGCCAGTCTCCAGATCTCAACCCCATAGAAAATCTTTGGAGGGAGTTGAAAGTCTGTGTTGCCCAGCGACAGCCCCAAAACATCACTGCTCTAGAGGAGATCTGCATGGAGGAATGGGCCAAAATACCAGCAACAGTGTGTGAAAACCTTGTGAAGACTTACAGAAAACGTTTGACCTGTGTCATTGCCAACAAGGGGTATATAACAAAGTATTGAGAAACTTTTGTTATTGACCAAATACTTATTTTCCACCATAATTTGCAAATAAATTCATAAAAAATCCTACAATGTGATTTTCTGGAATTTCTTTTCTCATTTTGTCTGTCATAGTTGACATGTACCTATGATGAAAATTACAGGCCTCTCTAATCTTTTTTAAGTGGGAGAACTTGCACAATTGGTGGCTGACTAAATACTTTTTTCCCCACTGTATATTATTCAATTCCTTCATTTTGTTCAACACATCTGTGGTATCTTGAAGATAGGCTGGGAGTGATGTCAGAAAAGGCTTAATAAAGTAATCAATGTACTTAGAGATGGGTTCTGTCAGACTTTCATTACCACTAATGACTGGCCTGCCTGGGGGATTTTCAAGATTTTTGTGTACTTTTGGAAGAAGGTAAAAAGAAGCCATACGTGGACTGCCATTGAAAAGAAATTTGAACTCATTGTCTGAAATGTAGCCATTCTCCTTAGCTTCTGTGAGGATCCCTTTCAATTCAGTTGTTAGGTCCTCTGTAGGGTTGAAGGTAAGAGATTGGTAGAATTCATCATTGTCTAATTGACGGTATGCTTCTGTCACATATGTCTTTACTCCACACTACTGTAGCGCCACCTTTGTCTGCTTTTTTAACCACTATCCGTCCATTCTTGGACAATGATTCAACTGCATCCCTCTCTGTCTTAGAATGGTTACGTCGTGTTTGGTTGGAGTAAATTTTACCCTTAAACAGATTCTCCACATCAAAATTCACCTTCTTGCAAATGTATTTAGTGTGGCATTCTGGACGATGTGACAAAAGGTGGATTTGGGCTTAAAAGGTGTTTTTGAGGGAACAGAAACTGCCTGACCTGAGACACTGACGTCTGTAGTTGGAGAGATGCTTTGCTTGTACCAGGCCTTCAGATGTAGATTCCTGTAGAAACGAAATAGGTCAATCTTTGTATTAAATTCATTAGTTGAGTATGTGGGGGCAAAGGACAGTCCTTTAGACAATACCCTTACGCAATCATCAGAAAGGGGTTTTCCAGAAAGGTTGATCACAGCTTTGTTCTGGTCCTGCTCCGTGTGGTTGGATAGTCTTGATTTCTTCCTCCCCCTCCGTGTTGGCCTCTTCTGCGTCCTCTCACTCTCTTGTTGAGGTACCTGCGTGACTCCTCTTCCTTATCTAAAAAATATTGGGAGGAGCTGGCCTCTGAGTGTCTGGGGTGATCCTCATCGTCACTGCTTGTAAAGTTGAAATGAACAGATCTAGACTTCCTCCTCTGCGGATGTGATTCTGAATTCATGCGCGTTGGTTTTCTCCAGGCAAAGACCTTGCCATCTCTATAGTCTACTTAATCTCTTCATCATTTTCTTAGCTTGTCTTGCTTCAATGTCAGAGTGAATGTGTCTACTTTCTCTTTCAAGATTTCATCACATTGTGCTTTGTTGGAATTGTCACTGTGTTCTGTGATTTTCCTTTTCACTTCTTCAATTTCTGTTTGGACTACTTGTCTGTCCTTTTTAGATTATTCTATTAGAAGTAGCATTAGGTCAAAAGAACACTGGTTGAGAATGGCCTCCCATTTATCTCTAAATTCAGTTTTACCTTGTGCTCCAGTAGCTGGAAACGTCATAATACGGAGTCCTCTAGGGATTAGGCCTTTCCTCCAATAGTCAGACAAGGTGATAGAATTGAGGTCAAGTTTGGTGTCTTTCTCCATAAGGTGTTGCAAGTCTCTGTAAGCCTTGTTTAAGTCCATTCCAGTATTCTCTGTGGCTGTCATCTCATCTAGCAATGAGGTAGTGGTAATAATCCTTTGGCCCTCTTCATGGGAATAGGAATATCTTGTAGCCTCTTGGGTTAAATCCATAGTTAGAGTTGTTAAATGTCCCCAAAAACACAGAAGAAATGACTGTGAAGCTGCTTCCTCTAAGCACCACCCAAGTGCTATGCTTAACTAGTAAAAAGAGGAGGAAGGGAAGCGCTACTAAGGTACACAATAGTAAATGTTGGTAGACAGAAGGTGCACTTTGGTCAAAGGGGTGAATTGGTCATCAAAAAGAAAGGAGGACCAAGGCACTCTTCATACAATTAATTAAAATGCCTTTATTAGTATGGCATGTTCAATAGAAACAAGGTTTTTAAAAAATCCGACGCGTTTCGGCTGCATGGCCTTCGTCAGGGAGTACAAAGAAATAATACAATGTCCTCTTTTGAACAGCTTTTCCAATTAGCCCTAATTTGAAGAGGGAGTGGTTACAAAATTGATTGGACACACCTAGTAAGCAATACTATACACATTAAAAAGTGAAATACTGTACCTATGTTATCATACAAATACAACTCCAAGATAGAAGTATGAGAACACTTAGAAAGGTGTCACGATCGTCGAAAGGAGTGGACCAATGCGCAGCGTGGAATGCGAACATCTTTTATTATATTCACCACACGAACGAAAACAACAAAACGATACGTGAAGTCCTTGGGTACATACACAAACCCGGAACAAGATCCCACAATACACTGTGCCAAACAGGCTGCCTAAGTATGGTTCCCAATCAGAGACAACAAGCAACAGATGATTCTCGTTGCCTCTGATTGAAAACCACCCCGGCCAACATAGATACACATGAACTAGATCCTAACATAGAAACACAAACACATAGAATCTACACAACCTGGCTCAACATATAAGAGTCCCAGAGCCAGGGCGTGACAAAAGGTAGTTCTAACCTTTAAATATGACAGGAAAAAGTGTCAAAAATAAGAAAGCAATATATTCCATAGTACACTAGAAACCAGCAAAACATGTATTTGAAAAATATTTCCAGCTCTCTCCCTTTCAATAACCACTCAGCATGAAAGGGAAAAATGTCATGCTCTGATCAATTCTTATCAGTGCTTGACTTAGACTGAAATAGGTTCCGGCACTCATTTTGGGTGCTGGTACTGTTTATATTTAGGTGCAGGAGCTCTACAATGCTTTTGAGCTAATATTCTATAAGAGGAACAGGAGCTCAAGCAGTAGACAATTTGAGGTGCTGGTACTCAGTTCCGGTGAGCTCCTGCCCAAGTCAAGCACTGCTTCTTATCCCTTGCACAAATAGTCTACAGATGTGTCTGTCCCGAGCTCACTGGCCAGAAACTCTGAGGGACAAGAATATTTTATACAATGTTGCAAGTTCGCTAGCACAAGCTTGGGGTTGGACCCAAGTTGATACAATGTTTCAAGTTTGTTGCAGACAGGTCATGTGTAGCCAATGTGATTTATAGGATATTTATTTTTATCAGGATATTTTCTACCTGCAGGCTGCAATGTTTTTATTTGTTGTCTTTATGTAAGCTATTTTTACATAGTTGGCAATGGCAATAGAAGTTACTTGTTAGGTATATCATTTTCATTTAGATTTGGATATAATTTTGATTAACCACATGACAATGATTTTTAGATATGAAGATGTTTTTATAAAATAAATGAAATTGTTTCATTAAAATGTGCATATAAGAACCATAGCTGGCACACAGATCGGTAGAAATGGTAAGATAAATTGGCATTCCACATGTGAAAGGTTGCAGACTCCTCATGTAGCCTACTACCGGCAACTTCAGGAGAGTAATGGCAGAATCTGCTAAAGCCAGCAGGAGCGGGAGGAGAATGGTTGGGTCAGGTAAAGTTTGTTTTTCTTCTGGTTATCTAGATCTCTGGCTCCCTCTTGTGTCATTTCTTAAAGCATCAGACAAGCTCAATGCATATAGTTGATTTTATTAAAACACATAGGCAGTCGTGATTTTAGCATGTCAATCTTGGTGGGGCAAAAAAATAAAAAAAATTTGGTGCATGCCAGCAAAGCCACTACACAACACAACACTGAACAATACATTAGTTGCACTATAAAAGTGACAAATGGTGTCCACAAACTGTTAGGGCCTACATAAAGCTGTCCCAACAGCAGAGATTACTTTTCAGCACCATGGAGTGAATCCTTACCACTGCTACACCTGGCTATCAGCAGAGCCTTGTCTGGCAGTGAAACAGTTCATTCAGCCTAATTTACTGCCTTTAAAAAAAACATAGCTGATATGGCTGACTTGCTTAAACAAATGTGGTTTCTACTGACAATTGAGATGTACAAACTATGGCATAAGGGGATGACAAGAGGATAAGAGGCAATCCGTAATTTCGATTAAGACATTAATGAGCGAGCTAGGACGGACGTGTTCAATATAACTATTTGTTCAGAGCTTTTGAAATGTACAGCAACAGAATTCAGAATATGGTCCGTTCTTACAGTATTCTCCCTGTACACCACGTCAGAACCATAGGATAAATAAAGGGGGCATATAAGCAGACAATGAAAGCTCTTACAATATTCAATGATTATATTTCTCTAAAACAGGCTATAGGCTATTAGTACACCACCAAGTCAGAACAGTAGGCTAAGTTATGAGGGGGAAAGGGACCAAATTATTAGGGTGAGGCACATTCAGCTTACTACACAACATACACTTAGTATTACTTTCTTAGCTACAGTATGCATATCTCCCTGGCATATTACATCATTTATGCAGCAGTATACAATAAATTTTTTGGACTCACCTTGTTGTGCTGTGCTCACTTGAACAGGAAGATGGCGCGCCAGTTCTTCGTCTGCAAATTGTGTCATCAAAGTCTGGAATTATTTGGATTTATGGTGCTTTCAAGACAACTGGGAACTCTGAAAAAAACAAGGTCGAATCATGACATCAGTGATCTTCAGGTCGGAGCTCTAGAAAGAGGCCTGAGTTCCCAACTTGGAATTCCAAGTAGGATGACCATTCAAAAAGTATTTTCCAAGTTGGATTGAACTCACTGAAGTCTGAGATTTACCAGCTCCAAGTTTCCAGTTGGTTTGAACGCGGCAGAAGTAATGCTGGATTAACAGCACGGCCAATGTATTCAACCTTTTCTGGCCCATGGCATGTGAATGTTTATCCTTTTAAGTTTGGAAAAGAGACCCTTAACCCAGACTTTAACCACACACCCACTCCACTGAATAGCAGGCTAGTGATTGTTTTGCAACGCTTGCAGTTAGCCACTGATTTCTTCCAAACTATTCATTGCTGAATTCGCGATTTCCAACTTGTTGGGTAATGTTTATGTCCAATGGCCGATGAGAACCGATAAGTTTGATCTATAATTTCTCTTCATAATTTCTCTTCATTTGACAAGGATTTGCCAGTAGATTGTCAACTTGATTCATGATGATGACTGCTAGCTTGCTAGCTAAGATTTTGAAAGTATGATGATGACATGATCAGTCCAATCAAAGCTACGGTAGATATAAAATTATGTTCAATCAGGTTATCTGTGGCCAATGACCTTGAGCCTTCTTGGATGGGCACTTCTAATGTAAATTTATGGCAGCCCCCAAGTGGCTTGAATTTTCGAGCTCTCCCCGTAGATTATGCGGTGATGTAGTGTCCCCATGAGTGACAGAACACTGAGCCAATCACGGCACAGCTAGAGAACATTACCAACCCCTACGCTCCGTATTTTCCACTGGCTGCCCCACCACCACAGAAAGCACGGAGCTAGGCTGAAACACCTGCATTTTGGAGCTGCTTTACTCAAAAAAGAGACCATGTTTGTATGTGGCTTTATTAACTCAATGAAAAGACGACTTTCGGTCGGCCAATATTTTTTTCAGTCAGGGACAGCCCTACTAGACACACACACACACTGAGATCAAGAGGATTGGCCACTCCTCAGAGCCTGGTTCCTCTCTAGGTTTCTTCCTAGGTTCTTGCCTTTCTAGGAAGTTTTTCCTAGTCACCGTCCCTCTACATCTGCATTGCTTGCTCTTTGGGGTTTTAGGCTGGGTTTCTGTAAAAGCACTTTGTGACAACTGCTGTTGTAAAAAGGTCTCTATAAATACATTTGATTGATTTGATAAAGCACCTCTCACTGTTACTTAGTGTTTAGAACAGACCAGGCTGGCTGGTGCTTGTGGTAAGAGAGGGAGAAAATAGCCAGCAGGCCTCTTGATAAAGTGATGTGTCACTGTGTGATGGGTAGAAAGATTTTTAAACCGCCAGTTAATGGATGTTCTATCTTATGACTAAGTCAATGAATAATACTGTGATGGACAGGGATGGGCTCTAGAGCACTTGTTGAACAAAGTTGTTTTTAAGGACTATTAAATAATATCAGATGATTTTGACTAGAGTGAGAGGGAATATCATATTGCTCTGAAACCAATATTTTCCAAATGGTTTTCCAGGGACTATGAAGAAAGTATCAACCCTCACAGAAACAGTTATGATTCCATTACTTGGTAAATAAATGTACAGAGGAATAGAGATGGAAATGCCCTAGACAGTGTCAATGTATGAACGTTTTGTAACCTCCTTCACCTTGTTGAATGAGCAATGTGGTTTTTTATTGAGCTGCCCTTTTTGGCCAAGTCTCCCTTGGTAATGGGACTTTCTGGTTAAATAAAGGTTGGAAAAAACTTAATCCAATAACAATCTAACATAATGTAGCAGGTATAAAAGAAACGCCTGAAACTAGATCCCCTACATACTGGCCTGAAACTAGATCCCCTACATACTGGCCTGAAACTAGATCCCCTACATACTGGCCTGAAACTAGATACCCTACATACTGGTCCTGAAACTAGATCCCCTACATACTGGCCTGAAACTAGATCCCCTACATACTGGCCTGAAACTAGATCCCCTACATACTGGCCTGAAACTAGATCCCCTACATACTGGTCTGAAACTAGATCCCCTACATACTGGTCTGAAACTAGATCCCCTACATACTGGTCTGAAACTAGATCCCCTACATACTAGTCTGAAACTAGATCCCCTACATACTGGTCTTGATGAGAAGAAAATAAACTGTCGGGGGAGGTTCTCTTCTGCACTGTTGAACCAATCCAGTAAATGTGGAGGGGGAGTTAGACAGTGTCACATTGTTAATGTCTAAAAGCTAAAGTCGTGTCACAGGCTCTCTTTCCATTTCTCCTAAAAACCGGAACTACTGGTAGTTTTATTATTATTATTGTTGTTGTTTTTTTTTTTTTTTTTTTTTTTTTTTTTTTGGGGGGGGGGGTTAGATCTTTAATATTGCAGATAGATTGTAACTTCCATCAATATAATTGTCTGCATCACTTCCAATCCCCCATATGTTTTTTTTCTCTCGCAAATATACATACATATAAATACATACATATACAGTTGAAGTCGGAAGTTTACATACACCTTAGCCAAATACATTTAAACTCAGTTTTTCACAATTCCTGACATTTAATCCTAGTAAAAATGCCCTGTTTTAGGTCAGTTAGAATCACCACTTGATTTTAAGAATGTGAAATGTCAGAATAATAGTAGATAATTATTTATTTCAGCTTTGATTTCTTTCATCACATTCCCAGTGGGTCAGAAGTTTACATACACTCAATTAGTATTTGGTAGCATTGCCTTTAAATTGTTTAACTTGGGTCAAACGTTTCGGGTAGCCTTCCACAAGCTTCCCACAATAAATTGGGTGAATTTTGGCCCATTCCTCCTGACAGAGCTGGTGTAACTGAGTCAAGTTTGTAGGCCTCCTTGCTCGCACACGCTTTTTCAGTTCTGCCCACAAATGTTCTATAGGATTGAGATCAGGGCTTTGTGATGGCCACTCCAATACCTTGACTTTGTTGTCCTTAAGCCATTTTGCCACAACTTTGGAAGTATGCTTGGGGTCATTGTCCATTTGGAAGACCCATTTGCGACCAAGCTTTAACTTCCTGACTGATGTCTTGAGATGTTGCTTCAATATATCCATATAATTTTCCTTCCTCATGATGCCATCTATTTTGTGAAGTGCACCAGTCCCTCCTGCAGCGAAGCACCCCCACAGCATGATGCTGCCACCCCTGTGCTTCGCGGTTGGGATGGTGTTCTTCGATTTGCAAGCAACTCCCTTTTTCCTCCAAAAATAATGATAGTCATTATGGCCAAACAGTTCTATTTTTGTTTCATCAGACCAGAGGACGTTTCTCCAAAGAGTACGGTCTTTGTCCCCATGTGCAGTTGCAAACCGTAGTCTGGCTTTTTTATAGCGGTTTTGGAGCAGTGGCTTCTTCCTTGCTGAGAGGCCTTTCAGGTTATGTCGATATAGGACTTGTTTTACTGTGGATATAGATACCTTTGTACCCGTTTCCTCCAGCATCTTCACAAGGTCCTTTGCTGTTGTTCTGGAATTGATTTGCACTTTTCGCACTAAAGTATGTTCATCTCAAGGAGACAGAATGCGTCTCCTTCCTGAGCGGTATGACGGCTCTGTGGTCCCATGGTGTTTATACTTGCATACTATTGTTTGTACAGATGAACGTGGTACCTTCAGGCGTTTGGAAATTGCTCCCAAGGATGAACCAGACTTGAGGAGGTCTACAATGTTTGTCCTAACCGACTTGCCAAAACTATAGTTTGTTAACAAGAAATTTGTGGAGTGGTTGAAAAACAAGTTTTAATGACTCCAAACTAAGTGTATGTAAACTTCCGACTTCAACTGTATATACATATCCTTTAATAAAATATATTTACTTTTATTACTTTCCAACCCCACCACCCCTTCCCTAATTGGAGTGAACTAGTGAACAACAACGCTTAGGCTTCTACTTCCAGCTTATACATACTATATACATTTTATGGACACAGTCAATTTTACAATAATTCCATTTTGTTCGTTTTTACTCCTGAACTTCCTCTACCCTCAACCTCTCCAATCATTTTCATGATGTCCATCAGGTGTGCTTTCACAAAAGCTCTCAACCTCTAACCTATATACTTATTATGGACACTGTATGCTTTACATTAGTTATCTTCTTGTTATTAGTATTTGTTAGTTGTTATTATTCCCATCCTTCAGCTCCATTCAACACCTCCCATCTATCGCTTAACACCATCCATATTGGATTTCTATTTGCCATATATTTTTAAACTGTACTGTGATGTTTCACAAAAGTTCTGAACCCTTCTATTCTCATTGTATATTATTGATACATTTTTCAGATCACCCAGTAGTGCTATCTGCAGGGTTAGCTCCAGGTACAGTGAGGGAAAAAAAGTATTTGATCCCATGCTGATTTTGTACGTTTGCCCACTGACAAAGACATGATCAGTCTATAATTTTAATGGTATGTTTATTTGAACAGTGAGAGACAGAATAACAACAAAAAAATCAAGAAAAGTGCATTTCAAAAATGTTATAAATTGATTTGCATTTTAATGAGGGAAATAAGTATTTGACCTCCTCTCAATCAGAAAGATTTCTGGCTCCCAGGTGTCTTTTATACAGGTAACGAGCTGAGATTAGGAGCACACTCTTAAAGGGAATGCTCCTAATCTCAGCTTGTTACCTGTATAAAAGACACCTGTCCACAGAAGCAATCAATCAATCAGATTCCAAACTCTCCACCATGGCCAAGACCAAAGAGCTCTCCAAAGATGTCAGGGACAAGACTGTAGACCTACACAAGGCTGGAATAGGCTACAAGACCATCGCAAAGCAGCTTGGTGAGAAGGTGACAACAGTTGGTGCGATTATTCGTAAATGGAAGTAACACAAAATAACTGTCAATCTCCATCGGCCTGGGGCTCCATGCAAGATCTCACCTCGTGGAGTTGCAATGATCATGAGAACGGTGAGGAATCAGCCCAGAACTACACGGGAGGATCTTGTCAATGATCTCAAGGCAGCTGGGACCATAGTCACCAAGAAAACAATTGGTAACACACTACGCTGTGAAGGACTGAAATCCTGCAGCGCCAGCAAGGTCCACCTGCTCAAGAAAGCACATATACAGGCCCGTCTGAAGTTTGCCAATGAACATCTGAATGATTCAGAGGAGAACTGGGTGAAAGTGTTGTGGTCAGATGAGACCAAAATGGAGCTCTTTGGCATCAACTCAACTCGCCGTGTTTGGAGGAGGAGGAATGCTGCCTATGACCCCAAGAACACCATCCCCACCTTCAAACATGGAGGTGGAAACATTATGCTTTGAGGGTGTTTTTCTGCTAAGGGGACAGGACAACTTCACCGCATCAAAGGGTAAATCTTGGGTGAGAACCTCCTTCCCTCAGCCAGGGCATTGAAAATGGGTAGTGGATGGGTATTCCAGCATGACAATGACCCAAAACACACGGCCAAGGCAACAAAGGAGTAGCACATTAAGGTCCTGGAGTGGCCAAGCCAGTCTCCAGACCTTAATCCCATAGAAAATCTGTGAAGGGACCTGTGAAGGGAAGGTTTGAGTTGCCAAACGTCAGCCTCGAAACCTTAATGACGTGGAGAAGATCTGCAAAGAGGAGTGGGACAAAATCCCTCCTGAGATGTGTGCAAACCTGGTGGCCAACTACAAGAAACATCTGAACTCTGTGATTGCCAACAAGGATTTTGCCACCAAGTACTAAGTCATGTTTTGCAGAGGGGTCAAATACTTATTACCCTCATTAAAATGCAAATCAATTTATAACATTTTTGACATGCGTTTTTCTGGATTTTTTTGTTGTTTTTCTGTCTCTCACTGTTCAAATTATTATTAATTTTTTTTATTTTTTTTTTTTTGGGGTCATTTAGCAGACGCTCTTATCCAGAGCGACTTACAGGAGCAAATAAACCTACCATTAAAATTATAGACTGATAATTTCTTTGTCAGTGGGCAAACGTACAAAATCAACAGGGGATCAAATACTTTTTTCCCCTCACTGTATGACTGTTAAATGTGAGGTCTGAGTCTATCAGAACACCAAGATTACGCACTTGATCGCTGGTTTTAAGGACCCGAGAATCCAGCTCTTTACTAATACTTGTTCTTTTATTTTTGTTGCCAAACACAATCATCTCAGTTTTATCTTGGTTTCATTGTAGACAATTTTGGTTCATCCAGGTATTTATGTGCTCTATACAGTGACACAGAGAGTCTATTGAGCTGTTGTCATACGGTTCGAGAGCCATACAGTGGGGAAAAAAGTATTTAGTCAGCCACCAATTGTGCAAGTTCTCCCACTTAAAAAGATGAGAGAGGCCTGTAATTTTCATCATAGGTACATGTCAACTATGACAGACAAATTGAGAAAAGAAAATCCAGAGAATCACATTGTAGGATTTTTTATGAATTTATTTGCAAATTATGGTGGAAAATAAGTATTTGGTCACCTACAAACAAGCAAGATTTCTGGCTCTCACAGACCTGTAACTTCTTCTTTAAGAGGCTCCTCTGTCCTCCACTCGTTACCTGTATTAATGGCACCTGTTTGAACTTGTTATCAGTATAAAAGACACCTGTCCACAACCTCAAACAGTCACACTCCAAACTCCACTATGGCCAAGACCAAAGAGCTGTCAAAGGACACCAGAAACAAAATTGTAGACCTGCACCAGGCTGGGAAGACTGAATCTGCAATAGGTAAGCAGCTTGGTTTGAAGAAATCAACTGTGGGAGCAATTATTAGGAAACGGAAGACATACAAGATCACTGATAATCTCCCTCGATCTGGGGCTCCACGCAAGATCTCACCCCGTGGGGTCAAAAGGATCACAAGAACGGTGAGCAAAAATCCCAGAACCACACGGGGGGACCTAGTGAATGACCTGCAGAGAGCTGAGACCAAAGTAACAAAGCCTACCATCAGTAACACACTACGCCGCCAGGGACTCAAATCCTGCAGTGCCAGACGTGTCCCCCTGCTTAAGCCAGTACATGTCCAGGCCCGTCTGAAGTTTGCTAGAGTGCATTTGGATGATCCAGAAGAGGATTGGGAGAATGTCATATGGTCAGATGAAACCAAAATATAACTTTTTGGTAAAAACTCAACTCGTCGTGTTTGGAGGACAAAGAATGCTGAGTTGCATCCAAAGAACACCATACCTACTGTGAAGCATGGGGGTGGAAACATCATGCTTTGGGGCTGTTTTTCTGCAAAGGGACCAGGACGACTGATCCGTGTAAAGGAAAGAATGAATGGGGCCATGTATCGTGAGATTTTGAGTGAAAACCTCCTTCCATCAGCAAGGGCATTGAAGATGAAACGTGGCTGGGTCTTTCAGCATGACAATGATCCCAAACACACCGCCCGGGCAACGAAGGAGTGGCTTCGTAAGAAGCATTTCAAGGTCCTGGAGTGACCTAGCCAGTCTCCAGATCTCAACCCCATAGAAAATATTTGGAGGGAGTTGAAAGTCTGTGTTGCCCAGCGACAGCCCCAAAACATCACTGCTCTAGAGGAGATCTGCATGGAGGAATGGGCCAAAATACCAGCAACAATGTGTGAAAACCTTGTGAAGACTTACAGAAAACGTTTGACCTGTGTCATTGCCAACAAAGGGTATATAACAAAGTATTGAGAAACTTTTGTTATTGACCAAATACTTATTTTCCACCATAATTTGCAAATAAATTCATTAAAAATCCTACAATGTGATTTTCTGGATTTTTTAAGAAAATTTTGAAAATTACAGGCCTCTCATCTTTTTAAGTGGGAGAACTTGCACAATTGGTGGCTGACTAAATACTTTTTTTCCCCACTGTATATAGTTGAGTATCATCAGCATAGCTGTGGTAGTTAATGTTGTTGTTCTGTAAAATTTGGCCCAGAGGTAGCATATAGAGATTAAACAGAATCGGTCCGAGAACTGATCCCTGTGGAACTCCGCATGTCATAGCCACCCTATCAGATTCATGATTACCAATGGTGACAAAGTAACTCCGGCCATCTAGATAAGATCTGAACCAATCAAGGACTGTCCCGGAGAGTCCTACCCACTTTTCCAGCCTATCTATAAGTGTTCCATGATCGACAGTGTCAAATGCTGTACTGAGATCTAATAGAACCAGAACTGTTATTTTATCAGAATCAGTATTCAGCCGTATATCATTTAAAACTTTAATCAGGGCTGTTTCAGTACTGTGGTGAGGTCGGAAACCTGACTCAAATTTGTCTAAGAGACCGCATGAGGTCACAAAATTGCTGAGTTGATTGAAGACAACCTTCTCAATGATCTTGGCTATAAAAGGGAGATTTGATATAGGTCTATAGTTGTTCATTATAGATGCATCCAGTGTTCTCTTTTTTAATAGGGTTACTATACATGATTTTAACCCACTTTATAAGAGATTCTCCAAAATTGAAATGCTCCAGGCATTTCTATATAAACTCCAGTCGTACTTTATCAAATGCCTTTTCAAAGTCTGCTATGAATAGCAGGCCTCGTTTCCCAGATTTTTCATAGTGTTCTATTGTTTCCAGTACTTGCCTTATATTATCTCCAATGTATCGTCCATGTAAAAAACCTGTCTGATTATAATGAATAATGTCCGACAATACCTTTTTAATTCTATGCGCTATACATTTTGCTAGAATTTTTGCATCACAACACTGAAGTGTAAGGGGCCTCCAATTTTTTTTATGGACTGGATCTTTATATTTCCCACTTGTATCCTGTTTCAGTAATAATGAAATCAGACCTTCTTCTTGAGTGTCTGATAATCTACCATTTACATAGGAGTGGTTAAAACATGCTAATAACAATCCTCTGAGTATATAAAAAAAGGTTTGGTATACCTCGATTGGTATGCCATTCAACCCTGGAGTTTTACCGGACTTAAAGTCTTTAATTGCATCCAGAAGTTCCTCCTCTGTAATTTCACCTTCACATGAGTCTTTCTGTATGGCTGTTAATTTTACATTATCAATAGAGAAAAATCTCTACAATTAGCTTCAGTTAGAGGAGATTGAGGCGAATGAAACAAAAACATATGCTTAAAGTACTTTGCTTCCTCCTTCAAAATATAATTTGGTGAATCATGGGTGACTCCTTCATTTGTAACCAGTTTCAGTAAATTATTTTTGGTAGCATTTCTATGTTGAAGATAAAAAAATAATTTGGTGCATTTTCCCCCATATTCCATCCAGTTTGCTTTATTTTTAGAATATATTACACTTGATCTTTCTTGAATAAGTTTTTCCATTTATTTTAGTTTTTCCTCTAATTTATTCTGAGCTTCTATGTTACAGTTTTTATTGCTATCTATCTGTTCTGTTAGACCTTCTATTTCCTTTGTTAGTCTGGACTCTTTTGACCTGAATTGCTTTTGTTTTTTAGATGAGTACTGAATTGCATGGCCTCTAAAGGCACATTTAAAAGTGTCCCATACAATAAGGGGATTTGCTGTACCTCTGTTATGTCAGAAAAAAACTGTTATAAATTCCTCTGTCCTAGTTAAAAACAAGTTATCATCCAATAGGCTTTGATTAAATGTCCAATATCCTCACCCACATGGAAATTCAGTAAGAATAATGTATATGCCAATTATATGATGGTCCGACTGCATTCTGTCTCCTATCAACACTTTTTAAACTTTTGGTGCCAACGAGAATGACATAAGAAAGAAGTCAAGACGACTAACTTGATTGAGTCTCCGCCATGTATATCTCACTAGGTCAGGATATTTAAGCCTCCATATATCTACTAGTTCTAATGTATCCATGACATTCATGATTTCCTTAAGAGCATGAGGGTGATAGTTTGTTATGTGATTTCCTTTACGGTCCATTGAGCTATTTAAAACAGTATTATAATCTCCCACCATAATAATAGAGTCTTGAATTGCTTGCAAGGTTGATAATTTATTATATATATATATATATATATATATATATATATATATAACAGTGGGGAAAAAATGTATTTAGTCAGCCACCAATTGTACAAGTTCTCCCACTTAAAAAGATGAGAGAGGCCTGTAATTTCATCATAGGTACATGTCAACTATGACAGACAAAATGAGGGAAAAAAAATCCAGAAAATCACATTGTAGGATTTTTTATGAATTTATTTGCAAATATGGTGGAAAATAAGTATTTGGTCAATAACAAAAGTTTCTCAATACTTTGTTATATACCCTTTGTTGGCAATGACACAGGTCAAACGTTTTCTGTAAGTCTTCACAAGGTTTTCACACACTGTTGCTGGTATTTTGGCCCATTCCTCCATGCAGATCTCCTCTAGAGCAGTGATGTTTTGGTGCTGTCGCTGGGCAACACGGACTTTCAACTCCCTCCAAAGATTTTCTATGGGGTTGAGATCTGGAGACTGGCTAGGCCACTCCAGGACCTTGAAATGCTTCTTACAAAGCCACTCCTTCGTTGCCCGGGCGGTGTGTTTGGGATCATTGTCATGCTGAAAGACCCAGCCACGTTTCATCTTCAATGCCCTTGCTGATGGAAGGAGGTTTTCACTCAAAATCTCACGATACATGGCCCCATTCATTATTTCCTTTACACGGATCAGTCGTCCTGGTCGCTTTGCAGAAAAACAGCCCCAAAGCATGATGTTTCCACCCCCATGCTTCACAGTAGATATGGTGTTCTTTGGATGCAACTCAGCATTCTTTGTCCTCCAAACACGACGAGTTTAGTTTTTACCAAAAAGTTCTATTTTGGTTTCATCTGACCACATGACATTCTCCCAATCCTCTTCTGGATCATCCAAATGCACTCTAGCAAACTTCAGACGGGCCTGGACATGTACTGGCTTAAGCAGGGGGACACGTCTCGCACTGCAGGATTTGAGTCCCTGGCGGCGTAGTGTGTTACTGATGGTAGGCTTTGTTACTTTGGTCCCAGCTCTCTGCAGGTCATTCACTAGGTCCCCCCGTGTGGTTCTGGTATTTTTGCTCACCGTTCTTGTGATCATTTTGACCCCACGGGGTGAGATCTTGCGTGGAGCCCCAGATCGAGGGAGATTATCAGTGGTCTTGTATGTCTTCCATTTCCTAATAATTGCTCCCACAGTTGATTTCTTCAAACCAAGCTGCTTACATATTGCAGATTCAGTCTTTCCAGCCTGGTGCAGGTCTACAATTTTGTTTCTGGTGTCCTTTGACAGCTCTTTGGTCTTGGCCATAGTGGAGTTTGGAGTGTGACTGTTTGAGGTTTTGGACAGGTGTCTTTTATACTGATAACAGGTTCAAACAGGTGCCATTAATACAGGTAACGATGGAGGACAGAGGAGCCTCTTAAATAAGAAGTTACAGGTCTGTGAGAGCCAGAAATCTTGCTTGTTTGTAGGTGACCAAATACTTATTTTCCACCATAATTTGCAAATAAATTCATAAAAATCCTACAATGTGATTTTCTGGAGAAAAAAAATCTCAATTTGCCTGTCATAGTTGACGTGTACCTATGATGAAAATTACAGGCCTCTCTCATCTTTTTAAGTGGGAGAACTTGCACAATTGTGGCTGACTAAAATACTTTTTTCCCCACTGTATATTATATATATATATATATATATATATATATTATATTGTCAAAGAAGTGTGGATCATCATTATTTGGTCCGTAAAGGTTAATGAGCCATATCTGTTTATGGTCCAATAACATATTTAAAATAATCCATCTACCTTGCGTATCTATTTGGACAATTTGCACATTTGGATCAAAATTACTGTTAATTAATATCATCACCCCTTTTGAGTTTCTTTGCCCATGGGAGAAGTATATTTCACCCCCCCCCCCCCCCAGTCTTTTCTCCACAAAACTTCATCTAGAATTGTTGAATGAGTTTCCTGTAAAACAATAGATATTACGTTCCTTCTCTTTGAGCCATGTAAATATTGTTCTTCTTTTGTTATCATCTGCTAAGCCATTACAATTATAACTGGCTATACTTATTTCACCACATACCATAATGAGATACACGTTTCAAATCTATTCATCATAATATTTGTTTGTAAAATTACCAACAACAAATACCATAGTGATTGAGTGTCCATATAGGTGTACCATGATATTTGCATTGCTACCAAGTAACCCTCCAATTGTTCTCCACTATTCCCCCCGCTAAAGCCCCTCCCCATCCCAAGTTGGGTTGTCATCCCAGTGATCGGCATACCACCCCCGTCCCCCCGGACCCTAGGCCCCCCGAGAGGCCAGGACCCACTCTTCGAAAACAGCACACAGTGCCACTCACAAAACAGAAGCAGGTCAACCGCCAAAAGCATTTCCAATGCTCTCACCTCAATGTATCTATAGCTATTAAAAATATATATCTATTCAAATATCTTGCATATCTTAATTAACATAATTAGCTATTAATATGCGTAATAATGTTGGCAGTTCATGCAAAGGATTGTTACCTATAACCCGGATTGCCATTGTAATACATTAAAAAATGTTCAAGCAATTATTATTTTAGCAAACAATTATTGTGGTTCATCCTATATTCTCCCTAACATCCTTACCCCCTTGCAACAGATGTGGGATACACACACACACACACACACACTCTAACACACTCAACCCCTTTCCTCCACAATCAACCATAAGCTCAGATGCTCAACGGTTGTTACATCCCAGAGCCCAACTCAAGAAAGGACCTGATTTACGAATGCATATACAGTTACAGCTGTTTGAGAAAGCATGCAAGATTGCGCAAAAATTGAGATTTTATTAACCTATGTCAAGTCCTAGGTGATGGAGATCAGATCCACCCTCTTCCCCTGAGACACAAACACTCTGGTCCCCTGTTGTAACCATTTTCCCCAAGCATCTCAGTGCGGTCAGACCTTTGATTATTTTGTGCCACCAGGGCCACAATAATATGCCCCCTCTCTGATTGTCCGAATGTGACCCCCTCCCCATGGGTTACTGCAGCCAGTGTTGCCAGCACTGCCACTACCTGGGTGGGGTACCCCACCGGAATCCCCACCGGCTAGGTACAAGGTCGTCAAGGTTCTCATTAGCAGCTTTGAGAATTTCCTTGTATATTATGCTCTCCCATCAAGGGGCTCTGGCTTTGTAGGACCAACCCTGCCAGGCAGGCTCGGAATCTTGAGGGGGCGGTGCTGCTCTAGTAAGTCTCTGACCGCATTTATCTTTCTGTTTTGGCTGCATATAGGCAACTTACAGCAGGGCCATAAAACAGATGGGGACTTCTCTTTGGTGTATGGGTCGCTCAGGTGGTGTCTAGGATATAGGGTTGGGGACCGTTCCATCATGATAGGCCAATAAAAAAATAGATTAGATATAGATTATACTAACCCTCATCTGCACAAAATTGAAAGCTCTCTCTCACAACCCCTGCTCACAGACACACGTTGGTTCTGGGATATCCAACCATTTCCTTTCTCACTCACTTAACGCCACACTTTTCCAAACACAAAAACGCACACCACACCTTCCATCACAATACATCCACACATACCCACATACTGTGCCTTCTATGTCTTCTGTTTGCTATGTTTTCATCTCCACTATGTTGATTGAGTACTTGTGTTCTAATTAGTTATATTTGAAGATGTATTATTTCGCTTGTTATCCTTTCTTGTAATACCGTCTTATCCCTTTATAAAATACTATAAAAGTGTTTTATTATTACAATCCCTACCATGGCTAGTATTGGGTGTTCCATTATTCGACTCCTCTATTAGAACTTCCAGAATAGCCATGGAGTAGTCTTTGTGTCACGGAACATTTGGCTATCAATACGCTTCCCTTTTAATCTGTTTTCCTTGAAGATTGGGTACAGAACTTTGCGCCATTCTGCAATCTCCCTCGGGAACTGATCATTCATGCCTATTTTCGTGCCAGCAAGTCCTTTACCTAGGCTTTTAACCATTACTTTATCCTTAAAGAAAGCAAGTTTGGCAACAATTGGACGCTCATATCTCTGTCCTCTTTGTTGGGGACTCGGCAGAGGCTACTAACAATCTTACAATAGCAATTGGCTCTCAATCTACAGTGGTGGGTGTGACAGCAGCCATGGCTATGATGACATCATCAGTATGTGACAGTGGGGTTGCATACCATGTGTGAGGCACCACTTGTAGAAAAACAGCAGACTGCACATTACCACATTACCGGGTGTGTGATCAACGTCATGCCTTTTCACTCTGCTACCACACTCACACTCCTCCCCCACAAAACAGGCTGGGATGAAACCCCTTCTTCCGCCAGCACACACACACACACACACACACACACACACACACACACACACACACACACACACACACACACACACACACACACACACACACACACACACAGAGTGACATGGGGACTCTGGGGATGACATGCCTCCCCCTAAATTAACAGAACATCAACCGTCACATTCATTCTCCATATGACATAGACACCATGTGACAAATGTCCAATATGGATAAATTATAGTACATTAACTATAGATTTCAAAATGACTTTTTGGCCAGCAGAGTGATGTTTCACACCGTGATGCAGAGCAGAGTAGAACCTTTTCAAGCACATCAAATGTACATGGATTTGTATAGCAACGATAGAACAGTGGAAGAAGGCCCTCCTACGCAAGACAGGCAGGATGCTGGAGAGGAGGATGGCAGGCACTCTGCTAAACTTATGTAACAATTCAATCATGTGAGATTACACTCTGATGTACCCTGTGAACAGAGCTAATAGGCAGTCTGAAATGGCACCCTATTCCCTACATTGTGCACTACTTTTGACCAGGACCCACCCATAGGGCTCTGGTCGAAAGTAGTGCACTATAGAGGGAATATGGTGCCATTTGGGATGGCAATGTAGTGCACATTAGGATGCCAATAAGGAGGCAGACAATAGCCAGACTAACTGACTGTCACTGAGCAGAGGGCATCCAAAATTATTGTTTGTATTCAACGTAATAAAGTTTGCCTGGGAGTGATTTGTTCTAATCTTTATTTTTATTTGTTATTATCTGTCTTGCTTTATTTGGTTACCAACCCTGCAACAGATTGCTTTAATTTGGTAATTTATTTACAGCTAATTAGGTTGTTGTTTAATATCATTCCTACCTTCTGAAATATTTTTATACTTCATCTATAAGAAGCATTCAGCGGACACAGGTCTGGAGCTGCACACCTGTGTGTGCCGTCAGACAGCCAGTTCCGGAATGTTCTCAAATTATGACAATAGCAAAAAACAACCAACATCAATTATTTGATATGACTCACAGATGATTATGGTGGCCTGTTGCTAAAGTTAGATAGCCGAAAGGTAGGCTAAGTGACCGGAAACGCTGTTTACACCAAAACAATTACCGCCAACACAACTTGAACTCTCGGGGCATGAAGATAGGGAAAAGAACGGATCTTGAAAACGAAGAAGAAAAAAAGAGAGCAATATCATTACTACACCCCCGATGATGATTCGCGTGGCAGTTCCGACTGATTTAGTTCCGAGTAGCCAAATTACCAATTCCCCACAACTTCTCTTTCTAAATGATAGGTCTGGCACTTCAGGTGATTTCGAACGAGCTGTTCAAAGGCGCCCCCCACATAATTAAATTAGGCTACTTACCTTTTATATTCCCTCTTTTCCTTTTACGATGATAACTTGATGTGCGTCCTTTCTTGTTCAGTTAAAAATCCACGGGATTTAGGGATGCAGACAACTGTAAAATATGCCCTTCGTGAGAACGTCTCTCTTTCAGTAACATACGGTGAATTCCCTTTTCTGGAATGCACCGTGGTATGATAGCGCAAAGACTAATGCAAAAGCATCCTGGAGTGATTCAGTATTCCCCCCACGGACGGACTGTTCCCCCAAAGGTCCGCTCAAACAATTTTTGTCTCCCCCCTCGTTCTCTTTCTTTAGTAGCCTTCTAGTAAAATATCAGTCAAGTCTGCCATGTCCTATACTTATGATTATGCCTGTACTTTTAACTGTAGGTGGTTGGCTATTGTAGCAATATATATAATAATTATTTTAATAAAGATATAAATTATTACTGTTTTCCTCTTCTAATTCAAAATATATATGTAGACTACACTGGGCTGTTGCCGATAATGGAGAAACAAATTCAATACAGTATCATGTCTTTCAGGACCTCGTTTGTCTCCTACAACAAATTGTTGCAATATGGAAATGTTTAGGTTGTCCAGTTGTTGATTTTGAGAAATTAGGTAACACAACACAAGTAATTGTGGACATCAAAATTTGAATAATGCATGCATTTCTTTAGAAATGTGTCCAACTCGTCTGAGGTTAATTATGCATAGTACTGCAGGGAGATGGGAAAAGTCGCGTCCGAATTCTGAGGCCTTTTCTCAATTGGTCAACTCCTTCGTCGTCTCTCTTCCGTCTTCTCTCGCCTTCTTTTGAAAAAGGTCAAAGGTAATCGAGGATAGGCCACAAGAAGAGGGAAAGTCGACGAAAATGCGCTTTATGAAATGAGACTCCTCCTCGACTCGTGCGTCATCAGGCAATTTACGTTTACAGGGGTGGATCCCAAAATAAAGGTGTAAAGAAAGGTGGCTATCGAGGAGGGGAGGACACGCTTCCGGTCGCCTACTAACTAATTGACATCTCTTGACCACTTAACGGTTTCCGGGTCACGGAGGAGAGAGGACGGAGGAAAGACACGCTTCAGTTCGCAAAGTAACGAAATTACATCTCCTCGACCACTTAACGATTTCCGGGTCACGGAGGAGAGCGGACGGGGAAAAGAAGGTGGAGGACGGTCTTTTTCTTTTACCAAATGAGAAAAGACCAGAAGTAGGTATGCAGCAGATACCGTACCAAGACTAGTGCACTGCGCACATTGCGCATTTGGAGACGTGCGTAATGGGTAGATTACACCTTGTTATTCCTCATTCATCCGCTGGGGTTCGCCATAGGCCACATTTAAGACACGTATGGTATTGTATTGGTATGGCTAGACTCTACAGCCCTCAAACTCAACTCTGGACCTCGAAGCCAGTTCCACTGCATTTCTTTTCATTTTTACCCTCTAATCGGGACTGATTTCGACCTGGGACACCAGGTGTGTGAATTAATTATCAGGTAGAATAGAAAACCAGCAGGCTCCGGTCCACGTAGGGTAGGAGTTGAATACCCCTGCTCTGCAGTATATAAAGCATTATGTGAATTCAACAGCCTTATGCAGTTCTTACCTTTCCCTGTAAGTAGATGAGTATTGAATCCATTTATATAAACCAATACGGGTGCCATGTACACATGTAACAACATATGGATAAGATATGAAGTTGTATTATGTTTCTTTTTTAATCTTTATAAAATCTAAAAATTTTCTTCTTCCACCCAATAACCTCCAGTCAGACCCAGATGTTAGTAATAATGTTGTGTGTCCAACAGTTTGTGCCATGATAGGACAGACCCAGGCCATGGGGTGCATCCCAATACTATCTCTCCTTCCTCCTGAAGTGTACACGCGTCCACTACTTCCCACAAATCTAAAAGCATTGGATTGGTGGAGGCATGGGCTGGTGGGAGTTCCCACCATATATTTTTTTATACCAGCCTTAAGTCAGTGTAGGGAAGTGAACAAGTGCACACTTCAGGAGAAAGGAGAGATTATTGGGACGCTCCCCCTTTCTCTCCTCCCCTTCACTGTCAGCAGATCACTCTAGGCTTTATATCCACTGAGTGGGAAAAGAACCAGCTTGATGTTTGACACACACGCACACACACACACACACACGCACACAACGGCTGGGAAACCAAACCCAGCTACCCTGTTATTAATTAGTGAGCTGGAGTTGACAGATAGCAACAAGATCTCATAGTTCCCTTGAAATTCGACATATTATGGATTAATGTCTATTTTTGCTGCATTAAATCCATGTGTTTACAGGGTTAATTCCATGCGGCTACAGGGTTAAAACAGAAACAACTCAAAGGTTAACAGTTTAGGCATGAATTCTGAGTGATTAAGGTTAGGACTATTGTTTGGGAAAGGCTTAAAACTAAATAATGACTGCAACATTATAATGTGCGCACACACACACAACGCTGGGGCAGAACAACGTCTCTGTCTCTCTGTGAGGACATGAACATTGCTCACATCAAATGCAATAAGAGGGTTGAAGGCGAGATGAGGATGTTCTACTGCAGTGGTTCAGGCTATACTGGGGGTGGATCCCAAATGGCACCCTATTCCCTATGTAGTGCACTACTTTTGACCAGAGCCCTATGAGCCTACATAGGACACCAATTCTGCGATCTACTTGGGAACAACAAATTACTGGTTGTGAGTGATAGAAGGCAAGGGTGTGGGGATGGATGCCGTGTGTGTGTGTGTATGCACATGACTGTGTGTGTCGGTGTGTGTGCACTCATGTCTGTATGTGTAATTATTTCAGTCATTTTTTCCCCGTCTCTTATGTACCAGAGGGCTACTTGAGACGTCATTAGTCATCACACTGTGCCACCTTGAATAATATACACACTTAGACATTATACACACTTCAAAATACACACTTGCTGTAGACACTTCAGTTTTTCACGTTGTGCTTTTTCGTCAGAAATGATTGCTTATGGGTACTTTTATGTGTGTGTAAAATATTACTGTTTTCAGGTTTTACATTAATAGATTTTAGATTCCTATGCTTTTAGGTGAATGAAAATGTTTTATATATCCACTGTTTAGCTGAATTGGAATGTTTGTATCCTGTATATGTATTTGACTGTGATACGTGGTTGTCTCACCTAGCTGTCTTAAGATGAATGCACTTACTGTAAGTCGCTCTGGATAAGAGCATCTGCTAAATTATTAAAATGTCAAATGTAGATGTTTTACATACAGATCTCATATTATTGTATTTAATTTTTATTTTCTTATTTTTAACATTTTTCAAATATTGATGTCACTGTGTAAAACCTAGCAGTACTACTTATTTATCTGAGAGTGAGACGGACATATAGTATTTAGCAAAAACACATGATTATTTGTCTCTCTGAAATGATAGATTTTAAACAAATACATGGGAAACTGTTGAGCGTGAAAAACTCAGCGGCGTTGCAGTTCTTGACACATACCATAAATCCTTCTTTAACCTGTCTCCTCCCCTTCATCTACACTGATTGAAGTGGATTTAACAGGAGATCTCAATAAGGAATCATAGCTTTCACCTGGATTCGCCTGGTCAGCCTATGTCATGTTCTTAATGTTCTGTATACTTAGTGTACATATATACACACTTCATAACATACACACTTCATAACATACACACTTCATAGTATACACACTTCATAGTATACACACTTCATAGTAGACACTCTTCATAAAATACACACTTCATAACATACACACTTCATAGGATACACACTTCATAACATACACACTTCATAGTATACACACTTCTTCATAGTATACACACTTCATTACATACACACTTCATAGTATACACACTTCATAGTAGACACACTTCATAGTAGAGACACTTCATAGTAGACACACTTCATAACATACATACTTCATAACATACACACTTCATAGTATACACACTTCATAGTATACACACTTCATAGTATACACACTTCATAACATACACACTTCATAACATACACACTTCATAGTAGACACACTTCATAGTAGACATACTTCATAGTATACACTTCATAGTAGACACACTTCAAAGTAGACACACTTCATAACATACACACTTCATAGTAGACACACTTCATAGTATACACACTTCATAGTATACACACTTCATAACATACACACTTCATAACATACATACTTCATAGTATACACACTTCATAGTATACACACTTCATAACATACACACTTCATAGTAGACACACTTCATAGTAGACACACTTCATAACATACACACTTCATAGTAGACACACTTCATAGTAGACATACTTCATAGTATACACTTCATAGTAGACACACTTCAAAGTAGACACACTTCATAACATACACACTTCATAGTAGACACACTTCATAGTATACACACTTCATAACATACACACTTCATAGTAGACACACTTCATAGTATACACACTTCATAGTATACACACTTCATAACATACACACTTCATAGTATACACACTTCATAGTAGACACACTTCATAGTAGACACACTTCATAGTAGACACACTTCATAGCATACACACTTCATAACATACACACTTCATAGTAGACACACTTCATAACATACACACTTCATAGTAGACACACTTCATAGTAGACACACTTCATAGTATACACACTTCATAACATACACACTTCATAACATACACACTTCATAGGATACACACTTCATAACATACACACTTCATAGTAGACACACTTCATAGTAGACACACTTCATAGCATACACACTTCATAACATACACACTTCATAGTAGACACACTTCATAACATACACACTTCATAGTAGACACACTTCATAGTAGACACACTTCATAGTAGACACACTTCATAGCATACACACTTCATAACATACACACTTCATAGTAGACACACTTCATAACATACACACTTCATAGTAGACACACTTCATAGTATACACACTTCATAACATACACACTTCATAACATACACACTTCATAGGATACACACTTCATAACATACACACTTCATAATATAGACACTTAGACACCATACACCACAGGAGTCTGCTGAGGGGATGACGGCTCATAATAATGGCTAGAATGGAATGGTATCAAACACACGGAAACCACTTGTTTGATGCGTTGATACCATTCATTCCATTCCAGCCATTACTATGACGCCCGTCCTCCCCAATTAAGGTGCCACCAGCCGCCTGTGCTATACACACTTCACAATACACACACTTCTTCACGTTTCAGTCCCTTGTGGTACAGCAGTGAGATCCGCCAACGACCTTCTCCCCTTCAGGTCCTTGGCTGTGTCTGAAATGGCATCCTATTCTCAATTTCAGACACAGCCCCTCAGTGTTCCAATGAATACTTAAAGAAGTGGGTAGCCAAGGGGGCTGGCGAGGGGTGCTTGACGTAACACACCCCCTTAATTCTGTATTGGGGTACACGTGTGTGGGTCCTGACATGCAGAGTCTCCCTCAGGGCAGGCAGAAAATGGAGACAGGACACACAAGCACACACACACGTGCGTGTCCACACTGTGGATCCTGGGACTAAACACCTCCCTCTGCAACTGGATCCTGGGCTTCCTGACAGGCCGCCCCAGGTGGTCAGGGTAGGTAACAACACATCTGCCACGCTGATCCTCAACACGGGGGCCCCTCAGGGGTGTGTGCTCAGTCCCCTCCTGTACTCCCTGTTCACCCATGACTGCATGGCCAGGCACGACTCCAACACCATCATTAAGTTTGCCGACGACACAACAGTGGTAGGCCTGATCACCGACAACGATGAGACAGCCTATAGGGAGGAGGTCAGAGACCTGGCCGTGTGGTGCCAGGATAACATCCTCTCCCTCAACGTGATCAAGACAAAGGAGATGATTGTGGACTACAGGAAAAAAAAAGAGGACTGAGCACGCCCCCATTCTCATCAACAGGGCTGTAGTGGAACAGGTTGAGAGCTTCAAGTTCCTTGGTGTCCATATCACCAACGAACTATCATGGTCCAAACACACCAAGACTGTCGTGAAGAGGGCACGACAAAGCCTATTCCCCCTCAGGAGACTGAAAAGATTTGGCATGGGTCCTCAGATCCTCAAAAAGTTCTACAGCTGCACCATCGAGAGCATCCTAACTGGTTGCATCACCACCTCGTATGGCAACTGCTCGGCCTCCGACCGCAAGGCACTACAGAGGGTAGTGCGTACAGCCCAGAACATCACTGGGGCCAAGCTTCCTGCCATCCAGGACCTCTATACCAGGCGGTGTCAGAGGAAGGCCCTCAAAATTGTCAAAGACTCCAGCCACCCTAGTCATAGACTGTTCTCTCTGCTACCGCACGGCAAGCGGTTCCGGAGTGCCAAGTCTAGGTCCAAAAGGCTTCTCAACAGCTTATACCCCCAAGCCATAAGACTCCTGAACAGCTAATCATGGCTACCCAGACTATTTGCACTGCCCCCCAACCCCCACCCCATCCCCCTCTTTTACGCTGCTGCTACTCTATTTATTATTTATGCATAGTCACTTTAACTCTACCCACATGTACATATTACCTCAATTACCTCGACTTGCCGGTGCCCCCGCACCTTGACTCTGCACCGGTACCCCCCTGTATATAGCCTCCCTACTGTTATTTTATTTTACTGCTGCTCTTTAGTTATTTGCTTACATTTTTTTACTTAACACTTATTTTATTTTACTTTTTTATAAAAATAAAAAAAATGCATTGTTGGTTAAGGGCTTGTAAGTAAGCATTTCACTGTAATGTCTACACCTGTTGTATTCGGCGCATGTGGCAAATAACATTTGATTTGATTTGAATTGTGTGTGTGTGTGTGTGTGTGAGTGTGTGTGTGTGTGTGTCAGCGGCAGTGGAGTGACTCAGTGACACTTGTTGTCCAGTGTAGCTGACACCGTGTCACTTCTACGGTGTGTATGTCCTGTCTACATCTCCTCCCAAGGTGACTGAGTCACTGCAGCAGCTCCATAGCATGTTAGTCCCTGTCAGTGTGTGTGACACAGTGTGTGTGTGTGTGTGTGTGTTTCTCCAGAATAATGTTTGATGTAGATCTGTCAGTTAACCCTCAGACTATTTATACACTCTTACATTTGACTGTGTAAAACCTAGCAGTACTACTTATTTATCTGAGAGTGAGACGGACATATAGCATTTAGCAAAAACACATGATTATTTGTCTCTCTGAAATGATAGATTTTAAACAAATACTTGGGAAACTGTTGAGCGTGAAGAACCCAGCGGCGTTGTAGTTCTTGACACATACCATAAATCCTTCTTTAATCTGTCTCCTCCCCTTCATCTACACTGATTTAAGTGGATTTAACAGGTGACCTCAATAAGGGATCATAGCTTTCACCTGGATTCGCCTGGTCAGCCTATGTCATGTTCTTAATGTTCTGTATACTTAGTGTATACAGTGGGGAAAAAAAGTATTTAGTCAGCCACCAATTGTGCAAGTTCTCCCACTTAAAAAGATGAGAGAGGCCTGTAATTTTCATCATAGGTACACGTCAACTATGACAGACAAATTGAGAAGAAAAAATCCAGAAAATCACATTGTAGGTTTTTAATGAATTTATTTGCAAATTATGGTGGAAAATAAGTATTTGGTCACCTACAAACAAGCAAGATTTCTGGCTTTCACAGACCTGTAACTTCTTCTTTAAGAGGCTCCTCTGTCCTCCACTCGTTACCTGTATTAATGGCACCTGTTTGAACTTGTTATCAGTATAAAAGACACCTGTCCACAACCTCAAACAGTCACACTCCAAACTCCACTATGGCCAAGACCAAAGAGCTGTCAAAGGACACCAGAAACAACATTGTAGACCTGCACCAGGCTGGGAAGACTGAATCTGCAATAGGTAAGCAGCTTGGTTTGAAGAAATCAACTGTGGGAGCAATTATTAGGAAATGGAAGACATACAAGACCACTGATAATCTCCCTCGATCTGGGGCTCCACGCAAGATCTCACCCCGTGGGGTCAAAATGATCACAAGAACGGTGAGCAAAAATCCCAGAACCACACGGGGGACCTAGTGAATGACCTGCAGAGAGCTGGGACCAAAGTAACAAAGCCTACCATCAGTAACACACTACGCCGCCAGGGATTCAAATCCTGCAGTGCAAGATGTTTCCCCCTGCTTAAGCCAGTACATGTCCAGGCCCGTCTGAAGTTTGCTAGAGTGCATTTGGATGATCCAGAAGAGGATTGGGAGAATGTCATATGGTCAGATGAAACCAAAATATAACTTTTTGGTAAAAACTCAACTGTCGTGTTTGGAGGACAAATAATGCTGAGTTGCATCCAAAGAACACCATACCTACTGTGAAGCATGGGGGTGGAAACATCATGCTTTGGGGCTGTTTTTCTGCAAAGGGACCAGGACGACTGATCTGTGTAAAGGAAAGAATGAATGGGGCCATGTATCGTGAGATTTTGAGTGAAAACCTCCTTCCATCAGCAAGGGCATTGAAGATGAAACGTGGCTGGGTCTTTCAGCATGACAATGATCCCAAACACACCGCCCGGGCAACGAAGGAGTGGCTTCGTAAGAAGCATTTCAAGGTCCTGGAGTGGCCTAGCCAGTCTCCAGATCTCAACCCCATAGAAAATCTTTGGAGGGAGTGTTGCCCAGCGACAGCCCCAAAACATCACTGCTCTAGAGGAGATCTGCATGGAGGAATGGGCCAAAATACCAGCAACAGTGTGTGAAAACTTTGTGAAGACTTACAGAAAACGTTTGACCTGTGTCATTGCCAACAAAAGGTATATAACAAAGTATTGAGAAACTTTTGTTATTGACCAAATACTTATTTTCCACCATAATTTGCAAATAAATTCATTAAAAATCCTACAATGTGATTTTCTGGATTATTTTTTCTCATTTTGTCTGTCATAGTTGACGTGTACCTATGATGAAAATTACAGGCCTCTCTCATCTTTTTAAGTGGGAGAACTTGCACAATTGGTGGCTGACTAAACTTTTTTCCCCCACTGTATATATATACACACTTCATAACATACACACTTCATAACATACACACTTCATAGTATACACACTTCATAGTAGACACACTTCATAGTAGACACACTTCATAGTAGACACACTTCATAACATACACACTTCATAACATACACACTTCATAGTATACACACTTCATAGTATACACACTTCATAGTATACACACTTCATAACATACACACTTCATAGTATACACACTTCATAACATACATACTTCATAACATACACACTTCATAGGATACACACTTCATAGTATACACACTTCATAACATATACACTTCATAGTATACACACTTCATAGTATACACACTTCATAGTATACACACTTCATAACATACACACTTCATAGTATACACACTTCATAAAATACATACTTCATAACATACACACTTCATAGGATACACACTTCATAACATACACACTTCATAATATAGACACTTAGACACCATACACCACAGGAGTCTGCTGAGGGGATGACGGCTCATAATAATGGCTAGAATGGAATGGTATCAAACACACGGAAACCACTTGTTTGATGCGTTGATACCATTCATTCCATTCCAGCCATTACTATGACGCCCGTCCTCCCCAATTAAGGTGCCACCAGCCGCCTGTGCTATACACACTTCACAATACACACACTTCTTCACGTTTCAGTCCCTTGTGGTACAGCAGTGAGATCCGCCAACGACCTTCTCCCCTTCAGGTCCTTGGCTGTGTCTGAAATGGCATCCTATTCTCAATTTCAGACACAGCCCCTCAGTGTTCCAATGAATACTTAAAGAAGTGGGTAGCCAAGGGGGCTGGCGAGGGGTGCTTGACGTACCACCCCCCCTTAATTCTGTATTGGGGTACACGTGTGTGGGTCCTGACATGCAGAGTCTCCCTCAGGGCAGGCAGAAAATGGAGACAGGACACACAAGCACACACACACGTGCGTGTCCACAGTGTGTGTGTGTGAGTGTGTGTGTGTGTGTCAGCAGTAGGGGAGTGACTCAGTGTCACTTGTTGTCCAGTGTAGCTGACACCGTGTCACTTCTACAGTGTGTATGTCCTGTCTACATCTCCTCCCACGGTGACTGAGTCACTGCAGCAGCTCCATAGCATGTTAGTCCCTGTCAGTGTGTGTGACACAGTGTGTGTGTGTGTGTGTGTTTCTCCAGAATAATGTTTGATGTAGTTCTGTCAGTTAACCCTCAGACCATTTTTACACTCTTCTCCCCCCCCCCCCCCCACTCCCCACCTCCCAATGACATCTGATTATGTTCTCTCAGCTCGCTAGAGACCAGTATCAGATGGAGAGTGTTGACCTCTACTGATGCTCTGTGTTTGTGTGTGTGTGTGTGTGTGTGTGTGTGTGTGTGTGTGTATGTGTGTTCTGCCTCAGGGCACTATATGAACTCTCTGTGTCTGAGATCTGTATCCTCCCACACCTTTCCCGAGGATGTCCACGGACCAATTTAGTGCAGTCTTGTGTGTGTGTGTGTGTGTCCTGTGTTTGTGTTTGTGTGTGTGTGTGTGTGTGTGTGTCCTGTGTGTGTGGTACTATACAGTATGTGTATTATTCATCATTTTCCCGTCCAGATGTCCTGAATGTTGTCAGTCTTATGCTTGTTGCTGCTACCCTGGTAGGTCAGGTCTCAATCATCACTAGTGATAGGAGGCATCAGTATGAAACAATCCTCATATCCATCAGGACCCTCTGACCCCTCACACACAGACAGCACACACAGACACAGCACACACACACACACACACACACACACACACAGCACACACACACGATGCCAACTCTATCAAGATATCTTAATAAAACTCCTCTGATGGATAGAGAGAGAGATGGAGGGATCGGTTGAGATGGAGGGAGAGAGAGGAATAAAGCAAATTACTTGACACTGTCAGGCAAGAGTGTGGGTGTGTGTGTGCGTGCCTGTGTGTGTGTGTGTGTGTGTGTGTGTGTGTGTGTGTGCGTATGTGTCATTCAGTCAGTCAGGCAAGCGACTGATGGGAAATCTAACCAAAAAACATGATTGTGACATGTTGGGGTAATCCCTGTGCCTCTACAGCCAGCCAGCCATCACCAAATTAATCTGACAGAGTATGCCTAGATGAAACACAGCCTGAACTACAGTAATGCAATATTATTAAAAAAGCAATCACATATTTGCACGACAGCTACAGCTGTATAATCTCTCCTACATTAATTTCACCCTACTTAGAGAGAGAGAGATTTTCAATTAAAATAACTTTATTTTCCCGGTGAGGAATCTTCTTGTGTAGGGATTTAGAACAATACTGGCACAATGTGCTTCTTTACTGAATCCTTGGCTGTGTTCCAAATGGCACCCTATTCCCTATATAGTGCACTACTGTTGACCAGAGCCCTATGAATACTTGATGAATACAGGCCCTGCTGTAGGAAATAGGACCACTTTCAGATTCGGTCTACAGAGCAAAACAAGGCCTTCTTCTCAACTGCTGATCTCGGATCAGGTCCCACCTGTCCATGTAATAATATTAACTGTGATCTAAAAGGCTAAACTGATCCTAGATCAGTACTCACACACTGAGAAACTTTACGAATACAGGCCCTGCTGTAGAGAACAAGGTTCCTTGACTGTGACCACAACACACACAGTGCCTGTGTTGTCATATTTCTTTTAAGAGGGCTGTTCAGGCCGAGACAACGGACGACAACATGCATATATTTACCCTGTTAATGAGGGCTGCCTGGAAGAGCGGCGGACACACACACAGACGGGGGTAGGGGGTGTCTGAACAAAAACACATCGGAGGGGGAACAAACACCATTCAGCCGCCGTAATCCAATTCTGAAAGATGTCTTTCAGAAGGAGGGGGGGAATGGAGAGAGGCTCAGAAAGAGAGAGAGAGAGAGAGAGTTCTTTAATGTCAATAGGGAATCACATTACACATCGACACAAAAACAACCCATGACCCTCCCCCCCAACCCCCAAACTCAGCGCCCCCATCCTACAGATCCCCTTAGGGTTGGTGGGATTTTAAAAACTAAGTTCTTCTATGGCGGACAGCTACAACGATTTCCCTCCTCCGCTGGGGTGGCAGGTAGCTTAGTGGTTAAGAGCGTTGTGCCGTAACCGAAAGGTCGCTGGTTCTAATCCCCAGAGCTGACTAGGTGAAGAATCTGTCGATGTGCCCTTGAGCAAGGCACTTAACCCTAATTGCTCATGTAAGTCGCTCTGGATAAGAGTGTCTGCTAAATGACTAAAATGTAAAATGTACTCCCTATTCGATAACACAGTGCTTTTATCAGGGTCTAGAATTACATACTTTCACTGGGCACCCTATACAGACACAGAGAGAGGGAGAGGGACGGAGAGATAGAAAGAGAGGGGAGGAGAGAGAGAGAGGGGGGAGAGAGAAAGAGAGAGAGACAACAGAAACAGAGAGAGAAACAGAGAGAGAGAGAGAGAGAGAGACAACAGAAACAGAGAGAGGGAGAGAGACTTTGATAAGCGCTGCAGGGATCCAGTCCGTTGGGCCATTCGGTCTCTCTGTGGGCCGGTTGAGGTATCGACGGGACGGACGACAGTGAGTCCGTTATTAGCTTTGTGAGGAGCTAGTAACACAAGATGCTGCTGCTCAGGTAGTCAGTAACATTAAGTAGTTTGGTAGAGAGTTCTTTCCCTAGTAGAGATACACACGCATGCACGCACACATGAACTTGTAAACTTTGCAACCTCAGCCAATGCAAACCTGCTTGACTTTCTTTCCCACCAACAGCTGTGGGCTAGTTAAAGTGAAGGGTCATGAATCTATATGATGAAACTCCTCCCAGACAGTAGCCTACAAAGTACAAACCATAATAATAACAACAACTTCACAGAACAGGCCATGGTAGTGTCCCAAATGGCACCCTATTCTCTATATAGTGCACTACTACCCTATAGGCCCTGGTCAAAAGCAGTGCACTATGTAGGGAATAGGGTGCCATTTGAGCTGCACCCAGTCTAGCCTGAACAGCTCTCTCTGGTACAAACATTACTCTAAAATATCATATCATATAATATATAAACATTACCCTATAGCCTGGTCCCAGATCTGTTTGTGCGGTTTTACCAACTCCTAATGATCTGGGATCAGGGCCCATTTCCACACCTGCCCATTTAATCATATTCATCATGATCCAAATAGCAAAACAGATCCTAGATTAGCGCTCCTACTCTGAGACGCTTTGTGAAAATGGGCCCTGGTCTCAAATGAGTTGGCAAGACAGCATATACAGATCTGGGTCCAGGCTACAGGGAGCTGGACTGCTAAAGAGTAATGTCTATTACCGGAGAGAGCTGTGAAGATGTATGGCCTGTGAAGGTATTATTAATATGGTCTGTAGGCTGTGGTCTGTATGATTCATACCCTGGCCTCTGCTATAATGAGTAATCAGCTCCCAGTCATATTATTATTATTATTAATATTATCTCCCACCTAGATTGACACAATTTATGTCCCAAATGGCACCCTATCCCCTAAATAGTGTACTAGGACCCTGGTCAAAGTAGTGCATTACTTATGGAATACTTTTTGGGACATACCCAGTAACTCTATGGAGTCAGAGTGCAGGGCAGATGCTTTCAAGCCTCCTCTTCCTCTTCCTCTTCCTCTTCCTCCTCCTCCTCCTCTTCCTCTTCCTCTTCCTCTTCCTCTTCATCTTCCTCTTCCTCCTCCTCTTCTTCATCTTCCTCCCTCCTCCTCCTCTTCCTCCCTCCTCCTCCTCTTCCTCCTCCTCCCTCCTCCTCATCCCTCCTCCTCTTCCTCTTCCTCCTCTTCCTCCTCCTCCTCACGGGCGAAGCCTTCAAAGGCTCCTTCTCTTTATGCAGTGCTGCTGCTGCCGCTGTGTCTAAGGATCCGTACCAAATGGCACCCTATTCCCTATGTAGTGCACTTTATTACAAAGGCCTCTGGTCAAAAGTAGTGCACTATGTAGAGACTAGGGTGCCATTTGGGAGGCTGTCTATCACAAAACCCCTCATGAGAACTATAAATACTGCCGTCGTCGATTGAATTTAGTTACTGGACGATAAGCTAAGTTGAGAGGATAGATAGCCTCCGAAGAAATAAGCTGCCTGCCTTGCATGCGTGCTTCGGGTCTCTCTGTGTGAGGGGAGGGGGCGGTGTGTGTGTGAGGCTTGTACGTGTGAGGCTGGCAAGAGGGGGCGTTAGCAGAAAACACAGAGCTCTGAGAAATGACAGTTTGAAAGATTTGTAATCGCCAAGGCTGCGTGTGCTAAGGCTTGCTGACTCTCTTTTCAAATCTTCTCTCACTCTCATCTCTTCTTTTCTTCTTCTCCTCCCTTCCCTCTCTCTTTCTCTCACTCCGTGCCCCCTCCTTCACCACCAGTGTCTCCTCAAAATTCCTCCTCTCCTCTTTGACGGTCCTCCCTCCAGATTTCACCATATTATTCTCATCTGTTTGTGTCAGCTCATTTGCATCTTATTCTATAGTATCTCTTCTTCAACTGTCTCCTTTCTCCTTTTATATCTCTCACTTTAGTGTGTGTGTGTGTGTGCGCAAGTGTGGGTGTGCGTGTCTCTCTGTGTGGCATTTGTATGTTTGTGCATGTCTCTTCTAATCTAATCTTCTGATGTAATCTAATCTGTGTGTGCGTGTGTGTTTGCGTGTGTGTGTGTGCGCGCGTGTCACTGTCTGTGTGTGAAGTTGTTTATTCAGAGTCCTCTTAGCTTCTCCAGCTATCTCCCCCCACACACGTTTCTGGTGTCCTCTTGATGTGTGAACTAATGTGTTCGGTCACAGAGCCACGGACCTCAGCCCACTTCAATCACTGACGGAAACAAAAACATTTGCAGCCACTTGAATCCCCTGAAGCTACTGTTCTAACTGTTAGGGATTCTCATCTACTCTCTCTCCCACACACTGACCCTGCCTGCCTGCCACACACACTGATACACCATACCACCTGGGTTCAAACAGTATTGGAAATATTTTCTATGTACTTCTCAAAAGAGGCCATACAAGCTCAGTCAAGCACAGATTAAGTATTTGAAAGGAAACAAATAGTGTTTGAACCCAGGTTTGACTGATACACCATCAAGACCACCCACCACCGACAGCAAGAGAGAGTGAGGGTAGCAACGGTAATCAAAATTGTTAAAAGGTTTTAAAAACAATTATAATAATTGCAACCATTGGACAATGGATTAAGATACTCCAAACGTTTAGAGTTTGTATAATCCATCAGATATTGACTGAATTATAGCACATAAAACATTATAGTGGCACGAACAAATAAATAATGGAGTTCATGGATTATTGTGGGAATTCAGGTATTCAAATTAGAGAGAGAGAGAGAGAGACTCTGGTAAAAGTGAAGCGTTCAGTAGAGAGAAAGAGAACATTATCAGGTACTCATGTTATTTACATTAACACTTCTGGTGGGCAACAATGCTTCAATGTTGAGACTAGAAAAACAAAAAAACATTACTCCCTGTAGAAATCATTTGTTTCCAGCAGTGAATGTGTTCCCTTTCTGAATAAGCATTGGCCTATCAGAGTAGGAGTGCTGATCTCAGACCAGTTTTGCCTTATAGATCATAATGAATAGGCCCTATGGGCCCTGGTCAAAAGTAGTGCACTAAATAGGGTATAGGGTGCAATTTAGGATGAAACCAGTGTCAATAACAGAATCGTCAGTGCGTCAGTCAGTTTAAAACACATGACTTTAGCATGACATTCTGACACTTCATCATCCTGTCTGTTTTCAGTGTTCTGACTGATTCAGGTTAGAGTATCGCAGTGTGACAAGGGCCTTACTGTTTGGAGAAGTTCTCTCTCTCTCTCTCTCTCTCCTCTCTCTCCTCTCTCTCTCTCCTCTCTCCTCTCTCTCTCTCTCCTCTCTCTCTCTTTCTCTCTTCCCCTGTGTTTCTGTTGAAATGTTTTCTGTGTGAGTCCTTATTCTCTCTCTGTGTGTGTGTGTGTGTGCGTGTGTGCGTGTTTTCTCTGTATATATCTGTGTCTTGATCAGGTTGTGTCTGCATCCCAAATGGCATCCTATTCCCTATAGTGCATTAAAATAGGTTGCCATGTGGGATGAGGTTGTGTTTTCACCGGCTTCTTTCAATTAGCGTCTCATTAGAGCTCTGGCAGAGTGGCTTTGTCTGCCATTTGAAGTGACACAGATCTCAGCAGTGCAGCCAACCAGCTAGGCAGACACACAAACCTTCTCCACCTCAGCCACCGATAACACCATGGCAACAACAGCAGCAACAAGACATTGACAAGGGGACACTGTCTAGTTGCAGTAATCATAGTATATATCAAACACGTTGTTTTGTATTAGTTTTTCCCTTCAAAAAGAAGAAAGATATGTGTTGTTATTTTCTTTTAGAGGAAGTTGGATGTGACTTGGGGGTCAATTTCCATTTTAGGCATCTCCGTGGCAGACTGAGTCTCTTGGGGATTTAAATCACTCTGTATTGTACTCATACAGTATGTGTCTTCTCAATTGTATAGTACGTATTATAAAACTATTTACAACTAGTGCATACTATTATTAATGTGTATTCTAGCATTTAAAACTATTTATAAACAAGTCCAGTAAGAATTAATTATCAATTTATAAGCATTTATAATGGCTTATTAATAAAAGTAATAAAAAACTGTTATCCCATGTAAAATGAAAGACTCAGAACAAACATAATTGATTTGAATCATTCAACTTTTAATGGTTGCTTTTTCCCCATCATCCCTCAGTACAAAGCTTTGGGAAGTCTAGCTCTGATTGTCTCTAGCTGTATGATCTAGTTAAAGTTTCCCGTAGGTACAGATCAAGGATCAGCTTCCCCTTCCCCAATCCTAACCGTAACCATTAGTGGGGGAAATGCAAAACTGACCCCAGATCAGCGTCTACGGGCAACTTCACCCAACTCCTATATGATCAGAGCCCCCCAGTTGAAAACAGAAAGGTCCCTTTCAGTTCAACTACAAAGTCAATAAATATCATATGAGAATGAATGGATGCCATGGAAAGGAGATAATGTCACTGAAAATATAGTCACAGGAAAAAAGATCCAGCACATCATTTTGTATCACATCGACACTTACTCTCTCAGAAATATGCTCCCAACAAAGACACAGAATTTGTTGAAAGAGACACTCTAAAAAACAGAACACAGTTCATTCTAAAATAAGACTTTTGTTCCACGTTGTTCTAAAAGAGAATTTGATAGCTAAAGAGAGTAGTAAAACATTAAACTGCTAGTCTAGTGTTCCTAAACCTAGTCTGGTTAACATTGAGTTGTGGATAAGTTCTGTGCTGCTTTTTTCTCACATAGAGACACCGGCCAAGAGACGGTACACTACGTCCCAAATGGCACCCTACTCCTTATTTAGTGCACTACTTTTGACCAGGGCCCTGGTCAAAAATAGTGCACTATGTATGGAATCGGGTGCCATTTGGGACTAAGAAATAGAGTACAATCAAAGAGCACTTTAAAAATGAACAGCAGTTGAACATGGAGGATTTCACGGGGTCAAGGGTCCCTTCTGACAGTTATCTTTCTACACTGTCCTCTTTCCACTAGACTAGGACTGAGTTCCAAATGACACCCAATTTCCTACATAGTGCTTTATTTGTAGTGCACTATGTAGGGAATAGGGTGCCATTTGGGAAACATCCTAGAGCATATGAAGCACTTAAAACACAATCAAATGAATGCTTAAGTGAGTACAGTTGGTGCCGTCTGAGTGGCTTTTGTGGTTGGCCTATGTAGAAAATATTTTATTCATCAGAACGTGTACAGTACAGTATGTTTTACCATAAGTGATTTGTTCCACATACAATGTTCTGTTCCAAAATCGTAAATATAAATCGAAGGTAAACACACAAAAACAAGTCTAATTTAGTTAATGAGACTAAATAATATAGTCAGACACAATCGCGCACCCAGGCGCGCACATACACACACACACACACACACACACACACACACACACACATCCGAGGGCTCCCCAGTCGGTTCATACCATACCATTAAAAGGTAATTAGAGTAAAACATACTTAACACATTAAACATGAACAACCAACTGCATAAAACGTTTTCCTCAGCGTGTCCTAATGAACAGGACCCAGTACAGCGTGTCCTAATGAAACAGGACCCAGTACCGTAGATAGTTCCTCCTTCTGCTTTGCTTGTGGTAGGTAAGCTGCTTTGGCATGGTCCACACTTCTCTAATGAAAATACTCTGCTGTGTGTGTGTGTGTGTTTCGCTGTGTAACCCAAGTGGAGGGTCCTTCCAAGGAGACATGATTAAATATTAACACTGTAGCTCTCACTCATCATTTCTTTCAGCAGGTTTGCATCACACAGGCTTGAGTCCAGTCCTCAGTGTGTGTGTGTGTGTTTTAAGACCCTATACCTTTACAAGACTTGACCAAGATAACTTTATTGCAATAACGCCCCAGATAAAAGAAACATGTAGGAAAAAAGCTTTCACACACACCAACCACATACAGATTCCCAAATGTAGAAACATCCCATATCTGGTTGAGTTGCTGGTGGAGAGGAGAGAGATGAGCTGGGGGTGGAGAGGAGAGAGATGAGCTGGGGTGGAGAGGAGAGAGATGAGCTGGGGGAGGAGAGGAGAGAGATGGAGCTGGGGAGGAGAGGAGAGAGATTGAGCTGGGGGTGGAGAATGAGAGAGATGACTGGGGGAGGAGAGGAGAGAGATGAGCTGGGGAGGAGAGGAGAGAGATGAGCTGGGGGTGGAGAGGAGAGAGATGAGCTGCTGGTGGAGAGTGAGAGAGATGAGCTGGGGGAGGAGAGGAGAGAGATGAGCTGGGGGAGGAGAGGAGAGAGATGAGCTGGGGGTGGAGAGGAGAGAGATGAGCTGGGGGAGGAGAGGAGAGAGATGAGCTGGGGGAGGAGAGGAGAGAGATGAGCTGGGGGAGGAGGGGAAAGAGATGATAGCTGGGGGTGAGGAGAGAGATGGCTGCTTTTGGGAGAGAGAAGTTTACCCTGGGGGAGGAGAGAGAGAGATGAGTTTGGGGAGGAGAGGAGAGAGATGATCTGGGGGTGGAGAGGAGAGAGATGAGCTGGGGAGGAAGGGAGAGAGATAAAGCTGGGGGAGGAAGGAAGATATAGCTTGGGGGGGAGGAGAGAGATGAGCTGGGGGAGGAGAGGAGATGAGATACTGGGGAGGAGAGGAGGGGATGACTGGGGGTGGAGAGGAGATAGATGCTGGGGGTGTGAGAGAGAGAGATGGCTGGGGAGGAGAGAAAGATGATTTGGGGAGGATAGGAAAAGATACTGGGGAGAGAGGAAATTAGCTGGTGTGGAAGGAGAGAGTTTAGCTGGGGAGGATGGGAGAAATAGCTGGGGATGAGAGGAGAGAGAGTTTGTTCTAAAGCGGCTCGGCTGCCTGGAGGGAGTGAGTCAGCGGAGGGCTGCGTGTGTGAGGGGGTTAGGGATAGGCCAGATTAAGGGATAGGCGGGTTAAGGGATAGTCCGGCAGGGAGATAGGCCGGCTGTCCTTAGACCTCTGTCCTGGGGCCTAACACCCACAGTGGGACGGGGGAGAGTCATTTGGGTAGAGGCCCAGAGCTTGCCTGGCTGTTGGGTTGGAGGATACAGACCCAGAGCAGTGACGAGAGAGAGAGAGAGAGAGAGAGAGAGAAAGAGAAAAGAAGAGAGATAGAGAGAGAAAAGAGAGAGAGAAAAGAGAAAGAGGAAAGAGCAGAGAGAGAGAAGATAGAAGAGATTTTTTTTGGAGGAAATAGATAAATTTTTAGGGGGTCCTTTCTTTCTTTGCTGCCTTCTCTTTTCTCTCTTTTCCTTTACCTCCTCCCTTCTCTCTCTCTCGTTCCTCTCTTTCCCCTCCTTCTCTTCTCTCTCTCTCCCTCTCTCTCTCTCTCTTTCTCTCTCTTCTCCTCTCTCCCTCTCTCCTTCTTTTCCTCTCTCTCTCTCCTCTCTCTCTCCTCTCTCTCTCTCATTTTCTCTCCCCTCCTCTCTCTCTCTCCTTTTCTCCCTTCTCCTCTCTCTCTCCGTCTTCTCTCTCTCTTCCCTTTCTTCTCCTCTTTCTCTAGCCTGTAAAGGGGACTTGAATCCTGTCCTTTCCCCGGTCTGTTTACCAGAACTCCTCTTCCAATCCCTTATATCCCCAGACCATTTCTGCCGTCAAGTGGTTTAACCCCCATGGGGATATTTACCCACTTTTTTTAACCCACTGTTTGGGTTACCAAATATTACTTCCTCTTGGTTATTTTTTTCTCCATTTTGGGTTGACCTATAAATGGTTGTTGTAGTCCTTTGGTTTTTAAGGGGTCTAATTAGGGGCGTGACTTTCAGCTAGATCTTATTGGCCACCCATGTTACATAGAGCAAATTAAAATGTTACTCAATTTATTTTGTATTTTACACATACTTCTATGATATTAAGATTATTTACTATATATTATAATAAGGTATACTGTACCACCTTGTCACATAATAAAGTGTACCACCTAACTGTATTCCAACAATGGGATTTACATGGGTTTTTAGGGAACTCATACACTTCTGTTAACCTCATTGAAGCTACAAAAACGTCAATGTACAACCTTAACATGTGATAACTATAAAACACAACAGATGAACAGGAATGACATTTACTGTCATGGGTGGCTAAAAATAACTATCTGAAAGCCATGCCCCTACTAAACTATGCCTCCATGACCCGCTGGGTCATATCTCAATAACCCAGCACCAATAACCTAGCACCCAGCATCATGAACCCAGCAGTTTTGAAAGAAAACAACACAACTAAGTGACCCAATGCCTGCAACCCAGCAGTTGGTTCATCCAAACAACCCAGCATTTTTAAGAGTGTGGAGGACTGTCTGTCTGCATTCAGTCTGTCTGTATTCTGTCTGTATTCAGTCTGTTTGTTTGTTTGTCTGTCTGTATTCAGTCTGTCTGTATTCATTCTATATTAAAGTTTAAAGTTATGGTGTCTGCCTCTGGGGGCCCGAGGGCCTTAGTCCCACCTTGGTGGCCCTGCTCTGGGTCATTGGGGGTCGAGGGGTTGCTGTGGGGCTCGAGGCAGGACCAGGTCCTAGAGGAGGGGCCTGCCGGTGCATCTGCTGCATCCCCACATATTGGTGGCGTGATAGTACCGACCGTATGGGCTGCTGGGGCTGAGGGGAGCGGAGGGGGTAGCTTCGTCGGTAGCGTAGCGACTGCGATCGTAGCAGGACCCTAGTGTACTGGACCTCGGGCATGATGAGCTTCAGACACAGCTCGTGGGCCAGGCTTCCGGGCCGTGTGGCGTTGGTGTTGGTCGGCAGGTCGTAGCCCACGATGTCCACCTTTGCGCTGGGCTGCCACGGCCGCAGCTCCTTGTTCTTGATCTGGGCGGCCGAGCGGAGCTGGGGGAGCCGTCCGCCGAAGCAGCCCCTCACCAGCCTCTCCTGGGCCCTGCGGAGCAGCCGCAAATCCCTGGCCACGCACGCTGGACCCAGGGCTGCCAGCTGGCGCCACAGCGAGTCGTTGAAGTGGTCATAGAGGCGTGCATCCAGGGCGTTCCAGGCGCGGATCTTGGCGGGGAGGCCTGGCGAGAGGCTGTGCTTGGAGCCGGACGTCCGCATGTTGAGCTTGACATAGAGCATGTCTTCCAGATCCCAGGAGAGGAGGTGACGGAGGAGAACCAGCGACTCGTCAAAGTACTCAGCGATCATCACCAGGGAGAAGACGCGCTCCGTCTCGGCCACGAAGGCCCGGGCGTACGCAGCCACGTCCGCCTCTGGACGGTCCTTGTCCCCACCCAGGTCAAAAGTCAGAGTGTTACGGGCATACATGGAGTCATTCTCGTCCGGACGGTAGTACCGCCACGGCTCATCCAGAAACGCCTCCAGAGACCCGTTGGGAACTCTCTTAAAACTCTGACAGTACTGGTTATAGTAGCTGAACAACGATTCAAACATGGACCCTGGTTCTCGAAGTATGGTCACGTAAATGGTATCATTGGGCATGAGGCGCTGCATCTCGGCACGGTTGAAGCGCATGTGGCTGGTGACCACGTTGGGTGGCAGGGTGTGCGGGTGGACGAGGTGGGTGCTGAAGGTGCGTGGGTAGCAGAACTGGTGTCCGCAGGCCTGCACCGGGAGCGCCACGGTCAGGTTGTGACGCTCGGCAAAGCGGAAGAGCAGATTCTGCATGGTGGTGCTGGCCGTCTTGTGCGTCTTGAGAAAGGCCACGTTGGTGTGTTTGGGCTTGAGAGAGAAGGATGGGTGGGTGCGCAGCGACGGACAGCCCAGGTGAAGGGCTTCCATCGTCCTGGAGGAGAGAGAAAGAAAGAGAGGGTGGAGTTTTGTTACAGGGTTTGTAGTTCAATCTTTAGTTTTAGCTTAGCTAACTCCTGAGCTAGCAAGTCAACATAGCTAGCAGAGAGGGTGGGATCTTTCTGACAAAAGTCAAGAGTGAACTGACGGAAGAGTGAAAACTGAACTGGTTCCTAGCTGTACAGATAGCTAGCTGACCAAATAGCAATAACTCAAGCTTAGGTCTAGTAAGCTTGCACTTGGTTTATTTGTTACATGCAGGGACGGAGTTAGCGTAATGGAGAGTGAGTAACAGGAAGCATAAAAGGGAGGAGAGTCAAAGTGAAAAGGAGAGAAAAGGTAGGGAGAATGAGAGAACAGAGTGAAAGGAAATGGAAAGGGAGGGGAGAGGGTAATAGGACAGCGAAGAAAATTATATCCTCCCATAGCCCCCCCCCCCCCCCCGCACCTCCCCCCCCCGCCACCCGGACACACACGGGGACAGTGCGCCGGGTGATGAAGCCCGACCCCAACGGCCCTGGTCCCAACACTCTAGAACAACCCTGTCATTCTATAAGTGAGAACACCATTCTAATGTAGCTGCCATCTACAGTAAATACATATCATACTTCTGTACATGCATATCTTACACCTGACCGTGTGTGTGTGTCTCACCAGCTGAAGTGGCCCCCACGGTGCAGCAGTAGACTGACGGTACTGATCGCCACAATGACCAGGAATATC